ATTTTTCCAACTTTGGCAAGCTTCTATTTAGGGCGGCAGTGGTTTCTTTCCTGATATTCTGAACAAGCCTATGGTTACAACAGTATTTTCGAAGCATCCGGATGTTTCGCAAAATAATTCAGAATCGTTTTCAGCTGACTGAGGCAAGCTCATTTTTCTTTCAGGTTGGTTTTTTTTGTAAACAGGATTGCGGGTAAATCGTTTAGAATGGAAGCCAAATGACACTGACAGGTTGCTTGCCAATTTGACAGATTTTTGACAAATTGACATGCGGATGAAAAATTGACAAGGTGGTTAAAAAGTTCGTGTTTTGTTGTAGATGACAATTTTTCCAGCTTTAACAAGTTTTTTTTTAGGGCTGCAGTATTTTCTTTCCTGATATGCCGAACAAGCTAATAGTTACAACAGTATTTTCGAAACATCCCGATGTTTCGCAAAATAATTCAGAATCGTCTATTGCTGACTGAGGCAAGCTGATTTTTCTTTCAAATTGGTTCTTTTTGTCAACAGGATTGCGGGTAAATCGTTTAGAAAGGAAGCCAAATGATACTGACAAGTTGCTTGCCAATTTGACAGATTTTAAACAAATTGACATACGGATGACAAATTGACAAGGTGGGTAAAAGGTTCGTGTTTGTTGTAAACGACTATTTTTCCAGCTTTGACAAGCTTCTATTAGGGCGGCAGTGGTTTCTTTCCTGATATTCTGAACAAGCCTATGGTTACAACAGTATTTTCGAAGCATCCGGATGTTTCGCAAAATAATTCAGAATCGTTTTCAGCTGACTGAGGCAAGCTCATTTTTCTTTCAGGTTGGTTCTTTTGTCAACAGGATTGCGGGCGAATCGTTTAGACAGGAAGCTAAATGATACTGACAAGTTGCTTGCCAATTTGAAGAATTTTTGACAAATTGACATACGGATGACAAATTGACAAAGGGGATAAGAAGTTCGTGTTTTGTTGTAAATGACTATTTTTCCAGCTTTGACAAGTTTTTTTTAGGGCTGCAGTAGTTTCTTTCCTGATATGCCGAACAAGCTAAAAGTTACAACAGTATTTTCGAAACATCCGGATGTTTCGCAAAATATTTCAAAATCGTCTTCTGCTGACTGAGGCGAGCTTATTTTTCTTTCAAGTTAGTTGTTCTGTCAAAAGGATTGCGGGTTAATCGTTTAGAAAGGAAGCCAAATGATACCGACAATTTGCTTGCCAATTTGACGGATTTTTGACAAATTAACATACGGATGACAAATTGACAAAAGGGATAAGAAGTTCGTGTTTTGTTGTAAATGACTATTTTTCCAGCTTTGACAAGTTTTTATTCAGGGCTGCCGTAGTTCCTTTCCTGATATGCCGAACAAGTTAATGGTTACAACAGTGTTTTCGAAACATCCGGATGTTTCGCAAAATAATTCAGAATCGTCTTCAGCTGACTGAGGCGAGATCATTTTTCTTTCTGGATGGTTCTTTTGTCAACAGGATTGCGGGTGAATCGTTTAGACAGGAAGCCAAATAACACTGACAAGTTGCTTGCCAATTTGACAGATTTTTGACAAATTGACATACGGGTGACAAATTGACAAGGGGGATAAGAAGTTCGTGTTTTGTTGTAAATGACTATTTTTCCAGCTTTGACAAGTTTTATTTAGGGCTGCCGTAGTTCCTTTTCTGATATGCCGAACAAGCTAATGGTTACAACAGTATTTTCGAAACATCCGGATGTTTCGCAAAATAATTCAGAATCGTCTTCAGCTGACTGAGCCGAGCTGATTTTTCTTTCAAGTTGGTTAATTTGTCAATAGGATTGCAGGTAAATTGCTACGAGAGGAAACCAAATGATACTGACAAGTTGCTTGCCAATTTGACAGATTTTTGACAAATTGACATACGGATGACAAATTGACAAGGTGGGTAAAAATCCCGTGTTTTGTTTTAAATAACTATTTTTCCAGCTTTGACAAGTTTTTATTTAGGGCTGCAGTAGTTTCTTTCCTGATATGCCGAGCTAGCTAATGGTTACAACAGTATTTTCGAAACATCCGGATGTTTCGCAAAATAGTTCAGAATCGTCTTCTGCTGACTGAGGCAAGCTGATTTTCTTTCAAGTTGGTTCTTTTTGTAAACAGGATTGCGGGTAAATCGTTTAGAAAGGAAGCCAAATGATGCTGACAAGTTGCTTGCCAATTTGACAGATTTTTGACAAATTGACACACGGATGACAACTTGACAAGGTGGGTAAAAATCCCGTGTTTTGTTTTAAATAACTATTTTTCCAGCTTTGACAAGTTTTTATTTAGGGCTGCAGTAGTTTCTCTCCTGATCTGCCGAACAAGCTAATGGTTACAACAGTATTTTCGAAACATCCGGATGTTTCGCAAAATAGTTCAGAATCGTCTTCTGCTGACTGAGGCGAGCTGATTTTTCTTCCAACTCGGTTCTTTTGTGAACAGGATTGCGGGTTAATCGTTTATAAAGGAAGTCAAATGATAGTGACAAGTTGCTTGCAGATTTGACGGATTTTTGACAAATTGACATACGGATGACAAATTGACAAGGTGGGTAAAAATCCCTTGTATTGTTTTAAATAACTATTTTTCCAGCTTTGACAAGTTTTTATTTAGGGCTGCAGTAGTTTCTCTCCTGATCTGCCGAACAAGCTAATGGTTACAACAGTATTTTCGAAACATCCGGATGTTTCGCAAAATAGTTCAGAATCGTCTTCTGCTGACTGAGGCGAGCTGATTTTTCTTCCAACTCGGTTCTTTTGTGAACAGGATTGCGGGTCAATCGTTTAGAAAGGAAGCCAAATGATACTGACAGGTTGCTTGCCAATTTGACAGATTTTTGACAAATTGACACACGGATGACAACTTGACAAGGTGGGTAAAAATCCCGTGTTTTGTTCTAAATAACTATTTTTCCAGCTTTGACAAGTTTTTATTTAGGGCTGCAGTAGTTTCTCTCCTGATCTGCCGAACAAGCTAATAGTTACAACAGTATGTTCGAAACTTCCGGATGTTTCGCAAAATAATTTAGAATCGTTTTCAACTGACTGAAGCGAGCTCACCTTTCTTTCAGGTTGGTACTTTTGTCAACAGGATTGCGGGTGAATCGTTAAGACAGGAAGCCAAATGATCCTGACAAGTTGCCTGCAGTTTGACAGATTTTTGACAAATTGACATACGGATGACAAATTGACAAGGTGCGTAAAAAGTTCGTGTTTTGTTGTAAATGACTGTTTTTCCAGCTTTGACAAGTTTTTATTTGGGGCTGCAGTGGTTTCTTTCCTGATATGCCGAACAAGCTAATAGTTACAACAGTATTTTCGAAACATCCGGCTGTTACGCAAAATAATTTAGAATCGTCTTCTGCTGACTGAGGCAAGCTGATTTTTCTTTCAAATTGGTTCTTTTTGTCAACAGGATTGCGGGTTAATCGTTTAGAAAGGAAGCCAAATGATACCGACAAGTTGCTTGCCAATTTGACGGATTTTTGACAAATTAACATACGGATGACAAATTGACAAAAGGGATAAGAAGTTCGTGTTTTGTTGTAAATGACTATTTTTCCAGCTTTGACAAGTTTTTATTCAGGGCTGCCGTAGTTCCTTTCCTGATATGCCGAACAAGTTAATGGTTACAACAGTGTTTTCGAAACATCCGGATGTTTCGCAAAATAATTCAGAATCGTCTTCAGCTGACTGAGGCGAGATCATTTTTCTTTCTGGATGGTTCTTTTGTCAACAGGATTGCGGGTGAATCGTTTAGACAGGAAGCCAAATAACACTGACAAGTTGCTTGCCAATTTGACAGATTTTTGACAAATTGACATACGGGTGACAAATTGACAAGGGGGATAAGAAGTTCGTGTTTTGTTGTAAATGACTATTTTTCCAGCTTTGACAAGTTTTATTTAGGGCTGCCGTAGTTCCTTTTCTGATATGCCGAACAAGCTAATGGTTACAACAGTATTTTCGAAACATCCGGATGTTTCGCAAAATAATTCAGAATCGTCTTCAGCTGACTGAGGCGAGATCAATTTTCTTTCAGGTTGGTTTTTTTTGTAAACAGGATTGCGGGTAAATCGTTTAGAAAGGAAGCCAAATCACACTGACAGGTTGCTTGCAGATTTGACGGATTTTTGACAAATTGACAAGGTGGGTAAAAGGTTCGTGTTTGTTGTAAACGACTATTTTTCCAACTTTGGCAAGCTTCTGTTTAGGGCGGCAGTGGTTTCTTTCCTGATATTCTGAACAAGCCTATGGTTACAACAGTATTTTCGAAGCATCCGGATGTTTCGCAAAATAATTCAGAATCGTTTTCAGCTGACTGAGGCAAGCTCATTTTTCTTTCAGGTTGGTTTTTTTTGTAAACAGGATTGCGGGTAAATCGTTTAGAAAGGAAGCCAAATCACACTGACAGGTTGCTTGCAGATTTGACGGATTTTTGACAAATTGACATACGGGTGACAAATTGACAAGGTGGGTAGAAGGTTCGTGTTTGTTGTAAACGACTATTTTTCCAACTTTGGCAAGCTTTTGTTTAGGGCGGCAGTGGTTTCTTTCCTGATATTCTGAACAAGCCTATGGTTACAACAGTATTTTCGAAGCATCCGGATTTTTCGCAAAATAATTCAGAATCGTCTTCAGCTGACTGAAGCGAGCTCACCTTTCTTTCAGGTTGGTACTTTTGTCAACAGGATTGCGGGTGAATCGTTTAGACAGGAAGCCAAATGATCCTGACAAGTTGCCTGCAGTTTTGACAGATTTTTGACAAATTGACATACGGATGACAAATTGACAAGGTGCGTAAAAAGTTCGTGTTTTGTTGTAAATGACTGTTTTTCCAGCTTTGACAAGTTTTTATTTGGGGCTGCAGTGGTTTCTTTCCTGATATGCCGAACAAGCTAATGGTTACAACAGTGTTTTCGAAACATCCGGATGTTTCGCAAAATAATTCAAAATCGTCTTTAGCTGACTGAGGTGAGCTCTTTTTTCTTTCAGGTTGGTTTCTTTTTTACCTCAACAGGATTGCGGGTGACTCGTTTAGAAAGGAAGCCAAATGATACTGACAAGTTGCTTGCCAATTTGACAGATTTTTGACAAATTGACAAGGTGGGTAAAAATCCCGTGCTTTGTTTTAAATAACTATTTTTTCCAGCTTTGACAAGTTTTTTTTAGGGCTGCAGTAGTTTCTTTCCTGATATGCCGAACAAGCTAAAAGTTACAACAGTATTTTCGAAACATCCGGATGTTTCGCAAAATATTTCAAAATCGTCTTCTGCTGACTGAGGCGAGCTTATTTTTCTTTCAAGTTGGTTGTTCTGTCAACAGGATTGCGGGTTAATCGTTTAGAAAGGAAGCCAAATGATACCGACAAGTTGCTTGCCAATTTGACGGATTTTTACAAATTAACATACGGATGACAAATTGACAAAAGGGATAAGAAGTTCGTGTTTTGTTGTAAATGACTATTTTTCCAGCTTTGACAAGTTTTTATTTAGGGCTGCCGTAGTTCCTTTCCTGATATGCCGAACAAGCTAATGGTTACAACAGTATTTTCGAAACATCCGGATGTTTCGCAAAATAATTTAGAATCGTCTTCTGCTGACTAAAGCAAGCTGATTTTTCTTTCAAGTTGGTTCTTTTTGTAAACAGGATTGCGGGTAAATCGTTTAGAAAGGAAGCCAAATGATACTGACAGGTTGCTTGCAGATTTGACGGATTTTTGACAAATTGACATACGGGTGACAAATTGACAAGGTGGGTAAAAGGTTCGTGTTTGTTGTAAACGACTATTTTTCCAACTTTGGCAAGCTTCTGTTTAGGGCGGCAGTGGTTTCTTTCCTGATATGCCGAACAAGCCTAATGGTTACAACAGTATTTTCGAAACATCCGGATGTTTCGCAAAATAATTCAGAATCGTTTTCAGCTGACTGAGGCAAGCTCATTTTTTCTTTCAGGTTGGTTTCTTTTGTACCTCAACAGGATTGCGGGTAAATCGTTTAGAAAGGAAGCCAAATGATACTGACAAGTTGCTTGCCAATTTGACGGATTTTTGACAAATTGACATACGGATGACAAATTGACAAGGTGGGTAAAAGGTTCGTGTTTTGTTGTAAACGACTATTTTTCCAACTTTGGCAAGTTTTTGTTTAGGGCTGCAGTAGTTTCTTTCCTGATATGCCGAACAAGCCTAATGGTTACAACAGTATTTTCGAAACATCCGGATGTTTCGCAAAATAATTCAGAATCGTCTTCAGCTGACTGAGGCGAGCTCTTTTTCTTTCAGGTTGGTACTTTTGTCAACAGGATTGCGGGTGAATCGTTTAGACAGGAAGCCAAATGATACTGACAAGTTGCTTGCCAATTTGACAGATTTTTGACAAATTGACATACGGATGACAAATTGACAAGGTGGGTAAAAGTTCGTGTTTTGTTGTAAATGACTATTTTTCCAGCTTTGACAAGTTTTTATTTGGGGCTGCAGTGGTTTCTTTCCTGATATGCCGAACAAGCTAATGGTTACAACAGTGTTTTCGAAACATCCGGATGTTTCGCAAAATAATTCAAAATCGTCTTTGCTGACTGAGGTGAGCTCTTTTTTCTTTCAGGTTGGTTTCTTTTTACCTCAACAGGATTGCGGGTGACTCGTTTAGAAAGGAAGCCAAATGATACTGACAAGTTGCTTGCCAATTTGACAGATTTTTGACAAATTGACAAGGTGGGTAAAAATCCCGTGCTTTGTTTTAAATAACTATTTTTTCCAGCTTTGACAAGTTTTTTTTAGGGCTGCAGTAGTTTCTTTCCTGATATGCCGAACAAGCTAAAAGTTACAACAGTATTTTCGAAACATCCGGATGTTTCGCAAAATATTTCAAAATCGTCTTCTGCTGACTGAGGCGAGCTTATTTTTCTTTCAAGTTGGTTGTTCTGTCAACAGGATTGCGGGTTAATCGTTTAGAAAGGAAGCCAAATGATACCGACAAGTTGCTTGCCAATTTGACGGATTTTTGACAAATTAACATACGGATGACAAATTGACAAAAGGGATAAGAAGTTCGTGTTTTGTTGTAAATGACTATTTTTCCAGCTTTGACAAGTTTTTATTTAGGGCTGCCGTAGTTCCTTTCCTGATATGCCGAACAAGCTAATGGTTACAACAGTGTTTTCGAAACATCCGGATGTTTCGCAAAATAATTCAGAATCGTCTTCAGCTGACTGAGGCGAGATCGTTTTTCTTTCTGGTTGGTTCTTTTGTCAACAGGATTGCGGGTGAATCGTTTAGACAGGAAGCCAAATAACACTGACAAGTTGCTTGCCAATTTGACAGATTTTTGACAAATTGACATACGGGTGACAAATTGACAAGGTGGGTAAAAGGTTTGTGTTTGTTGTAAACGACTATTTTTCCAACTTTCGCAAGCTTCTGTTTAGGGCTGCCGTAGTTCCTTTCCTGATATGCCGAACAAGCTAATGGTTACAACAGTATTTTCGAAACATCCGGATGTTTCGCAAAATAATTCAAAATCGTCTTTAGCTGACTGAGGCGAGCTCTTTTTTCTTTCAGGTTGGTTTCTTTTTTACCTCAACAGGATTGCGGGTGACTCGTTTAGAAAGGAAGCCAAATGATACTGACAAGTTGCTTGCCAATTTGACAGATTTTTGACAAATTGACAAGGTGGGTAAAAATCCCGTGCTTTGTTTTAAATAACTATTTTTTCCAGCTTTGACAAGTTTGTATTTAGGGCTGCAGTAGTTTCTTTCCTGATATGCCGTACAAGCTAATGGTTACAACAGTATTTTCGAAACAGCCGAATGTTTCGCAAAATAATTCAGAATCGTCTTCTGCTGACTGAGGCAAGCTGATTTTCTTTCAAGTTGGTTTTTTTTGTCAACAGGATTGCGGGTGACTCGTTTAGAAAAGAAGCCAAATGATACTGACAAAATGCTTGCCAATTTGGCAGATTTTTGACAAATTGACATACGGATGACATATTGACAAGGTGGGTAAAAAGTTCGTGTGTTGTTGTGAATGACTATTTTTCCAGCTTTGACAAGCTTTTATTCAGGGCTGCAGTAGTTTCTTTCCAGATATGCCGAACGAGCTAATGGTTACAACAGTATTTTCGAAACATCTGGATGTTTCGCAAAATATTTTCAGATTCGTCTTCAGCTGACTGAGGCAAGCTCATTTTCTTTCAGGTTGGAATTTCTGTCAACAGGAGTGCGGGTAACCCGTTACGAGAGGAAACCAAATGATACTGACAAGTTGCTTGCTAATTCGACGGATTTTTGACAAATTTTCATTCGGATGACGAATTGACAAAGGGGATAAGAAGTTCGTGTTTTTCTGTAAAGGACTAATCTTCCAGCTTTGACAAGTTTTTATTTAGGGCTGCAAGAGTTTTTTTCCTGATATGCCGAACAAGCTAATGGTTAGAACAGTATTTTCGAAACATCCGGATGTTTCGCAAAATAATTCAAAATCGTCTTTAGCTGACTGAGGCGAGCTCTTTTTTCTTTCAGGTTGGTTTCTTTTTTACCTCAACAGGATTGCGGGTGACTCGTTTAGAAAGGAAGCCAAATGATACTGACAAGTTGCTTGCCAATTTGACAGATTTTTGACAAATTGACATACGGATGACAAATTGACAAAGGGGATAAGAAGTTCGTGTTTTGTTGTAAATGACTATTTTTCCAGCTTTGACAAGTTTTTATTCAGGGCTGCAGTAGTTTCTTTCCAGATATGCCGAACGAGCTAATGGTTACAACAGTATTTTCGAAACATCTGGATGTTTCGCAAAATAATTCAGAATCGTTTTCAGCTGACTGAGGCAAGCTCATTTTTCTTTCAGGTTGGTTTCTTTTTTACCTCAACAGGATTGCGGGTGACTCGTTTAGAAAGGAAGCCAAATGATACTGACAAGTTGCTTGCCAATTTGACAGATTTTTGACAAATTGACATACGGATGACAAATTGACAAGGTGGGTAAAAATCCCGTGCTTTGTTTTAAATAACTATTTTTTCCAGCTTTGACAAGTTTTTATTTAGGGCTGCAGTAGTTTCTTTCCTGATATGCCGAACAAGCTAATGGTTACAACAGTATTTTCGAAACATCCGGATGTTTCGCAAAATAATTCAGAATCGTCTTCAGCTGACTGAGGCGAGATCATTTTTCTTTCAAGTTGGTTGTTCTGTCAACAGGATTGCGGGTTAATCGTTTAGAAAGGAAGCCAAATGATACCGACAAGTTGCTTGCCAATTTGACGGATTTTTACAAATTAACATACGGATGACAAATTGACAAAAGGGATAAGAAGTTCGTGTTTTGTTGTAAATGACTATTTTTCCAGCTTTGACAAGTTTTTATTTAGGGCTGCCGTAGTTCCTTTCCTGATATGCCGAACAAGCTAATGGTTACAACAGTGTTTTCGAAACATCCGGATGTTTCGCAAAATAATTCAGAATCGTCTTCAGCTGACTGAGGCGAGATCATTTTTCTTTCTGTTTGGTTCTTTTGTCGACAGGATTGCGGGTGAATCGTTTAGACAGGAAGCCAAATAACACTGACAAGTTGCTTGCCAATTTGACAGATTTTTGACAAATTGACATACGGGTGACAAATTGACAAGGTGGGTAAAAGGTTCGTGTTTGTTGTAAACGACTATTTTTCCAACTTTGGCAAGCTTCTGTTTAGGGCGGCAGTGGTTTCTTTCCTGATATTCTGAACAAGCCTATGGTTACAACAGTATTTTCGAAGCATCCGGATGTTTCGCAAAATAATTCAGAATCGTTTTTGTTGACTGAGGCAAGCTGATTTTTCTTTCAGGTTGTTCTTGTCAACAGGATTGCGGGTGAATCGTTTACGAAAGGAAGCCAAATGATACTGACAAGTTGCTTGCCATATTGACAGATTCTTGACAAATTGACATACGGATGACAAATTGACAAAGGGATAAGAAGTTCGTGTTTTGTTGTAAACGACTATTTTTCCAGCTTTGACAAGTTTTTATTCAGGGCTGCCGTAGTTCCTTTCCTGATATGCCGAACAAGCTAATGGTTACAACAGTGTTTTCGAAACATCCGGATGTTTCGCAAAATAATTCAGAATCGTCTTCAGCTGACTGAGGCGAGATCATTTTTCTTTCTGGTTGGTTCTTTTGTCAACAGGATTGCGGGTGAATCGTTTAGACAGGAAGCCAAATAACACTGACAAGTTGCTTGCCAATTTGACAGATTTTTGACAAATTGACATACGGGTGACAAATTGACAAGGTGGGTAAAAGGTTCGTGTTTGTTGTAAACGACTATTTTTCCAACTTTGGCAAGCTTCTGTTTAGGGCGGCAGTGGTTTCTTTCCTGATATTCTGAACAAGCCTATGGTTACAACAGTATTTTCGAAGCATCCGGATGTTTCGCAAAATAATTCAGAATCGTTTTTTGTTGACTGAGGCAAGCTGATTTTTCTTTCAGGTTGGTACTATTGTCAACAGGATTGCGGGTGAATCGTTACGAAAGGAAGCCAAATGATACTGACAAGTTGCTTGCCATATTGACAGATTCTTGACAAATTGACATACGGATGACAAATTGACAAAGGGATAAGAAGTTCGTGTTTTGTTGTAAACGACTATTTTTCCAGCTTTGACAAGTTTTTATTCAGGGCTGCCGTAGTTCCTTTCCTGATATGCCGAACAAGCTAATGGTTACAACAGTGTTTTCGAAACATCCGGATGTTTCGCAAAATAATTCAGAATCGTCTTCAGCTGACTGAGGCGAGATCATTTTTCTTTCTGGTTGGTTCTTTTGTCAACAGGATTGCGGGTGAATCGTTTAGACAGGAAGCCAAATAACACTGACAAGTTGCTTGCCAATTCGACAGATTTTTGACAAATTGACATACGGGTGACAAATTGACAAGGTGGGTAAAAGGTTTGTGTTTGTTGTAAACGACTATTTTTCCAACTTTCGCAAGCTTCTGTTTAGGGCTGCCGTAGTTCCTTTCCTGATATGCCGAACAAGCTAATGGTTACAACAGTGTTTTCGAAACATCCGGATGTTTCGCAAATTAATTCAGAATCGTCTTCAGCTGACTGAGGCGAGATCATTTTTCTTTCTGGTTGGTTCTTTTGTCAACAGGATTGCGGGTGAATCGTTTAGACAGGAAGCCAAATAACACTGACAAGTTGCTTGCCAATTTGACAGATTTTTGACAAATTGACATACGGGTGACAAATTGACAAGGTGGGTAAAAGGTTCGTGTTTGTTGTAAACGACTATTTTTCCAACTTTGGCAAGCTTCTGTTTAGGGCGGCAGTGGTTTCTTTCCTGATATTCTGAACAAGCCTATGGTTACAACAGTATTTTCGAAGCATCCGGATGTTTCGCAAAATAATTCAGAATCGTTTTTTGTTGACTGAGGCAAGCTGATTTTTCTTTCAGGTTGGTACTATTGTCAACAGGATTGCGGGTGAATCGTTACGAAAGGAAGCCAAATGATACTGACAAGTTGCTTGCCATATTGACAGATTCTTGACAAATTGACATACGGATGACAAATTGACAAAAGGGATAAGAAGTTCGTGTTTTGTTGTAAACGACTATTTTTCCAGCTTTGACAAGTTTTTATTCAGGGCTGCCGTAGTTCCTTTCCTGATATGCCGAACAAGCTAATGGTTACAACAGTGTTTTCGAAACATCCGGATGTTTCGCAAAATAATTCAGAATCGTCTTCAGCTGACTGAGGCGAGATCATTTTTCTTTCTGGTTGGTTCTTTTGTCAACAGGATTGCGGGTGAATCGTTTAGACAGGAAGCCAAATAACACTGACAAGTTGCTTGCCAATTCGACAGATTTTTGACAAATTGACATACGGGTGACAAATTGACAAGGTGGGTAAAAGGTTTGTGTTTGTTGTGAACGACTATTTTTCCAACTTTCGCAAGCTTCTGTTTAGGGCTGCCGTAGTTCCTTTCCTGATATGCCGAACAAGCTAATGGTTACAACAGTGTTTTCGAAACATCCGGATGTTTCGCAAAATAATTCAAAATCGTCTTTAGCTGACTGAGGCGAGCTCTTTTTTCTTTCAGGTTGGTTTCTTTTTTACCTCAACAGGATTGCGGGTAAATCGTTTAGAAAAGAAGCCAAATGATACTGACAAGTTGCTTGCCAATTTGAAGAATTTTTGACAAATTGACAAACGGATGACAAATTGACAAAGGGGATAAGAAGTTCGTGTTTTGTTGTAGATGATTTTTTTTCTAGCTTTGAAAAGTTTCTTTTAGGGCTGCAGTAGTTTCTTTCCAGATATGCCGAACGAGCTAATGGTTACAACAGTGTTTTCGAAACATCCGGATGTTTCGCAAAATAATTCAGAATCGTCTTCAGCTGACTGAGGCGAGATCATTTTTCTTTCTGGTTGGTTCTTTTGTCAACAGGATTGCAAGTGAATCGTTTAGACAGGAAGCCAAATAACACTGACAAGTTGCTTGCCAATTTGACAGATTTTTGACAAATTGACATACGGGTGACAAATTGACAAGGTGGGTAAAAGGTTCGTGTTTGTTGTAAACGACTATTTTTCCAACTTTGGCAAGCTTCTGTTTAGGGCGGCAGTGGTTTCTTTCCTGATATTCTGAACAAGCCTATGGTTACAACAGTATTTTCGAAGCATCCGGATGTTTCGCAAAATAATTCAGAATCGTTTTTTGTTGACTGAGGCAAGCTGATTTTTCTTTCAGGTTGGTACTATTGTCAACAGGATTGCGGGTGAATCGTTACGAAAGGAAGCCAAATGATACTGACAAGTTGCTTGCCATATTGACAGATTCTTGACAAATTGACATACGGATGACAAATTGACAAAAGGGATAAGAAGTTCGTGTTTTGTTGTAAATGACTATTTTTCCAGCTTTGACAAGTTTTTATTTAGGGCTGCCGTAGTTCCTTTCCTGATATGCCGAACAAGCTAATGGTTACAACAGTGTTTTCGAAACATCCGGATGTTTCGCAAATTAATTCAGAATCGTCTTCAGATGACTGAGGCGAGATCATTTTTCTTTCTGGTTGGTTCTTTTGTCAACAGGATTGCAAGTGAATCGTTTAGACAGGAAGCCAAATAACACTGACAAGTTGCTTGCCAATTTGACAGATTTTTGACAAATTGACATACGGGTGACAAATTGACAAGGTGGGTAAAAGGTTCGTGTTTGTTGTAAACGACTATTTTTCCAACTTTGGCAAGCTTCTGTTTAGGGCGGCAGTGGTTTCTTTCCTGATATTCTGAACAAGCCTATGGTTACAACAGTATTTTCGAAGCATCCGGATGTTTCGCAAAATAATTCAGAATCGTTTTTTGTTGACTGAGGCAAGCTGATTTTTCTTTCAGGTTGGTACTATTGTCAACAGGATTGCGGGTGAATCGTTACGAGAGGAAGCCAAATGATACTGACAAGTTGCTTGCCATATTGACAGATTCTTGACAAATTGACATACGGATGACAAATTGACAAAAGGGATAAGAAGTTCGTGTTTTGTTGTAAATGACTATTTTTCCAGATTTGACAAGTTTTTATTTAGGGCTGCCGTAGTTCCTTTCCTGATATGCCGAACAAGCTAATGGTTACAACAGTGTTTTCGAAACATCCGGATGTTTCGCAAATTAATTCAGAATCGTCTTCAGCTGACTGAGGCGAGATCATTTTTCTTTCTGGTTGGTTCTTTTGTCAACAGGATTGCAAGTGAATCGTTTAGACAGGAAGCCAAATAACACTGACAAGTTGCTTGCCAATTTGACAGATTTTTGACAAATTGACATACGGGTGACAAATTGACAAGGTGGGTAAAAGGTTCGTGTTTGTTGTAAACGACTATTTTTCCAACTTTGGCAAGCTTCTGTTTAGGGCGGCAGTGGTTTCTTTCCTGATATTCTGAACAAGCCTATGGTTACAACAGTATTTTCGAAGCATCCGGATGTTTCGCAAAATAATTCAGAATCGTTTTTTGTTGACTGAGGCAAGCTGATTTTTCTTTCAGGTTGGTACTATTGTCAACAGGATTGCGGGTGAATCGTTACGAGAGGAAGCCAAATGATACTGACAAGTTGCTTGCCATATTGACAGATTCTTGACAAATTGACATACGGATGACAAATTGACAAAAGGGATAAGAAGTTCGTGTTTTGTTGTAAATGACTATTTTTCCAGCTTTGACAAGTTTTTTTTAGGGCTGCAGTAGTTTCTTTCCTGATATGCCGAACAAGCTAAAAGTTACAACAGTATTTTCGAAACATCCGGATGTTTCGCAAATTAATTCAGAATCGTCTTCAGCTGACTGAGGCGAGATCATTTTTCTTTCTGGTTGGTTCTTTTGTCAACAGGATTGCAAGTGAATCGTTTAGACAGGAAGCCAAATAACACTGACAAGTTGCTTGCCAATTTGACAGATTTTTGACAAATTGACATACGGGTGACAAATTGACAAGGTGGGTAAAAGGTTCGTGTTTGTTGTAAACGACTATTTTTCCAACTTTGGCAAGCTTCTGTTTAGGGCGGCAGTGGTTTCTTTCCTGATATTCTGAACAAGCCTATGGTTACAACAGTATTTTCGAAGCATCCGGATGTTTCGCAAAATAATTCAGAATCGTTTTATGTTGACTGAGGCAAGCTGATTTTTCTTTCAGGTTGGTACTATTGTCAACAGGATTGCGGGTGAATTGTTACGAGAGGAAGCCAAATGATACTGACAAGTTGCTTGCCATATTGACAGATTCTTGACAAATTGACATACGGATGACAAATTGACAAAAGGGATAAGAAGTTCGTGTTTTGTTGTAAATGACTATTTTTCCAGCTTTGACAAGTTTTTTTTAGGGCTGCAGTAGTTTCTTTCCTGATATGCCGAACAAGCTAAAAGTTACAACAGTATTTTCGAAACATCCGGATGTTTCGCAAAATATTTCAAAATCGTCTTCTGCTGACTGAGGCGAGCTTATTTTTCTTTTAAGTTGGTTGTTCTGTCAACAGGATTGCGGGTTAATCGTTTAGAAAGGAAGCCAAATGATACCGACAAGTTGCTTGCCAATTTGACGGATTTTTACAAATTAACATACGGATGACAAATTGACAAAAGGGATAAGAAGTTCGTGTTTTCTTGTAAATGACTATTTTTCCAGCTTTGACAAGTTTTTATTTAGGGCTGCCGTAGTTCCTTTCCTGATATGCCGAACAAGCTAATGGTTACAACAGTGTTTTCGAAACATCCGGATGTTTCGCAAAATAATTCAGAATCGTCTTCAGCTGACTGAGGCGAGATCATTTTTCTTTCTGGTTGGTTCTTTTGTCAACAGGATTGCGGGTTATTCGTTTAGACAGGAAGCCAAATAACACTGACAAGTTGCTTGCCAATTTGACAGATTTTTGACAAATTGACATACGGGTGACAAATTGACAAGGTGGGTAAAAGGTTTGTGTTTGTTGTAAACGACTATTTTTCCAACTTTTGCAAGCTTCTGTTTAGGGCTGCCGTAGTTCTTTTCCTGATATGCCGAGCAAGCTAATGGTTACAACAGTGTTTTCGAAACATCCGGATGTTTCGCAAAATACTTCGGAATCGTCTTCAGCTGACTGAGGCGAGATCATTTTTCTTTCAGGTTGGTTCTTTTGTCAACAGGATTGCGGGTGAATCGTTTAGACAGGAAGCCAAATAACACTGACAAGTTGCTTGCCAATTTGACAGATTTTTGACAAATTGACATACGGATGACAAATTGACAAGGTGGGTAAAAATCCCGTGCTTTGTTTTAAATAACTATTTTTTCCAGCTTTGACAAGTTTGTATTTAGGGCTGCAGTAGTTTCTTTCCTGATATGCCGTACAAGCTAATGGTTACAACAGTATTTTCGAAACAGCCGAATGTTTCGCAAAATAATTCAGAATCGTCTTCTGCTGACTGAGGCAAGCTGATTTTCTTTCAAGTTGGTTTTTTTTGTCAACAGGATTGCAGGTGACTCGTTTAGAAAAGAAGCCAAATGATACTGACAAAATGCTTGCCAATTTGGCAGATTTTTGACAAATTGACATACGGATGACATATTGACAAGGTGGGTAAAAAGTTCGTGTGTTGTTGTGAATGACTATTTTTCCAGCTTTGACAAGCTTTTATTCAGGGCTGCAGTAGTTTCTTTCCAGATATGCCGAACGAGCTAATGGTTACAACAGTATTTTCGAAACATCTGGATGTTTCGCAAAATAATTTCAGATTCGTCTTCAGCTGACTGAGGCAAGCTCATTTTCTTTCAGGTTGGTACTTCTGTCAACAGGAGTGCGGGTAACCCGTTACGAGAGGAAACCAAATGATACTGACAAGTTGCTTGCCAATTCGACGGATTTTTGACAAATTTTCATTCGGATGACGAATTGACAAAGGCGATAAGAAGTTCGTGTTTTTCTGTAAAGGACTAATCTTCCAGCTTTGACAAGTTTTTATTTAGGGCTGCAAGAGTTTTTTTCCTGATATGCCGAACAAGCTAATGGTTAGAACAGTATTTTCGAAACATCCGGATGTTTCGCAAAATAATTCAAAATCGTCTTTAGCTGACTGATGCGAGCTCTTTTTTCTTTCAGGTTGGTTTCTTTTTTACCTCAACAGGATTGCGGGTGACTCGTTTAGAAAGGAAACCAAATGATACTGACAAGTTGCTTGCCAATTCGACGGATTTTTGACAAATTTTCATTCGGATGACGAATTGACAAAGGGGATAAGAAGTTCGTGTTTTTCTGTAAAGGACTAATCTTCCAGCTTTGACAAGTTTTTATTTAGGGCTGCAAGAGTTTTTTTCCTGATATGCCGAATAAGCTAATAATTAGAACAGTATTTTCGAAACATCCGGATGTTTCGCAAAATAAGTCAGAACCGTTTTCAGCTGACTGGGGCAAGCTCATTTCTCTTTCAGGTTGGTTCTCTTGTCAACAGGATTGCGGGCGAATCGTCTAGACAAGAAGCTAAATGATACTGACAAGTTGCTTGCCAATTTGAAGGATTTCTGACAAATTGACATACGGATGACAAATTGACAAAGGGGATAAGAGGTTCGTGTTTTGTTGTAAATGACTATTTTTCCAGCTTTGACAAATTTTTATTAAGGGCTGCCGTAGTTTTTTTCCAGATATGCCGAACAGGCTAATGGTTACAACAGAATTTTCGAAACATCCGGATGTTTCGCAGAATAATTCAGAATCGTCTTCAGCTGACTGAGGCGAGATCATTTTTATTTCAGATTGGTTCTTTTGTCAACAGGATTGCGGGTGAATCCTTTAGACAGGAAGCCAAATAATACTGACAAGTTGCTTGCCAGTTTGACAGATTTTTGACAAATTGACATACGGATGACAAATTGACAAGGTGGGTAAAAAGTTCTTGTTTTGTTGCAAATGACTATTTTTCCAGCTTTGACAAGTTTTTATTCAGGGCTGCAGTCATTTCTTTCCTGATATGCCGAACAAGCTAATAGTTACAATAGTATTTTCGAAACATTCGGATGTTTCGCAAAATAATTCAGGATCGTCTCCTGCTGATTGAGGCGAGCTGATTTTTCTTTCAAGTTAGTTCTTTTTGTCAAAAGGATTGCGGGTAAATCGTTTAGAAAGGAAGCCAAATGATACTGACAAGTTGCTTGCCAATTTGACAGATTTTTGACAAATTGACATACGGATGACAAATTGACAAGGGGGATAAGAAGTTCGTGTTTTGTTGTAAATGACTATTTTTCCAGCTTTGAAAAGTTTTTAGTTATGGCTGCAGTTGTTTCTTTCCTGATATGCCAAACATGCTAAACTGGCATGACAGGGTGCATGCCAATTTGACAAATTTTTTGACAAATTGACATACGAAGATACCATAAGGTTTGCAACGAAAGTAAATGTTTGCAAATGACCGTTGTTGGGTTTTGCAGTTATCGATGAGCACAGTCGCAGGATCACTGGTTCTTACTGACAGTGATATCACGCTATGGGAAATCCAAGTAATTTCACTGTTTTGGGGCATGCTGCTGTATTTTGTTTCCATCAGCGTGCAGACGATCATCTTTACATGCGGCATAATAATTTGGGTTTGTGTGCGATCATTGAATCGAGTGGTGCTACTGTCGCAGATATGTAATATATGTTCCAGTAAAAATATACCGAAGATCCACTTGGTACAGGAGTTGGAGGGTTTAATTACATCCACGCGACTAGCCGGCAGAAAGGTTTACGGGTTTATGGTTTACGATCAAAGAAACCGTGTAAACCTTCCCTCCGGAATTCGGCAGAAAGACACACGCGCAGTTGCACGTGGTAATGCAAGCCTTTAATCTAGAGATGGCAACGGCCGGCTAAACGGCTGACCTTTCGCATGACGGCCGGCTGAAGCCCTTAGCCGGCTAACTCAACGCGGCTGGAAGTCTCAACCGGCTAGAGCGGCTGACCAAATTTTCCAGCCGGCTACGGTTGTAGTTGTACATTGCACTCCGTAGCATTTTTTTGAAGTTCCACTCATGTTGAAATGTTTTGTTGGTGTTGTGCAAAGTTCATTACATTGGCTCCTCTCTTCCTTAAAAATTAATAATTTCACGCACGATTACTGAGTTTATGAATAGAGATCTGAATAGAGTTTTGGTGAAGAAAACGCTGAAATAAATGTGGTGAACAGTTTACCAAAATTTCTCACATTAGCCGAAATTCAATTTTCGTTCACTATGAAACGTAGAGAAATTTTTGCTTCAGATTGCATTAAAGCGCCACGGTTTTCATATGGTGTGCAAGCTGAACGTTCGCGACTCCGCATGGCGCTTGATTTGGGTAAAAGATGTTTCCGCTCATCGAATTTTGCCACACATACAGTATTAGTGGCATCACCACGTGCAGATACTGAAAATAGTGCTACTAAACTGGGTTTCTAAATTCCTTAAAAAAGGCACTACATTATCGATTTCCTTTAGCATCGCGACCTTTGGAAAGATTCTCTTCTTTCCCTTCAACATTGTGCGACCAGGCAGTTAACCAAAATGTCATCATATCGTTTTTGCCTTTCACAGCCAGAAGGCCCCGGGTTTCCACCACAAAGTGGTGGTTCTTGCCCAGTAGCTGGTGGGTATCAACACTCAAATGGATACGTCCCGGCAGGCCTTGACTGCACATCCGCGAGGCCACATTGATCGTATCACCAAATCTGGAAGAAACGGAACACTGCCTCAACAAATTTAAATTTTGGCTGATTCTGCCATGGACGTACAGACAATAGCGCGGTCTTTTTGTGCCCATTATACCAGCGGCGCAAGGACCTAAAAAATTAATGACTGCTTATTTATAACGTCATGCTATTCGAAGCTGTCAGGGTGCTTCGATCATAACTGATTCTTTACCAGTATGAATGCCGATTCGGAAGCAAAGTTTCTCTGGTAAGCTTAGCGCTGATCCCGTCTGCATAACTTTAAGGGCAAATGCGCAGATGTAGCGAACATGTGAATCGCCGTTCCGCTGCGGCAGACCACTGGCAGCCTTCAGCAAAAAACGCGCCAAATTATTCATAGTACGTACAGATGGTCCAAACATAATTCCTGTAATCTTTGTGAATTTACGTAGTGGATTTAAAAATTAAAAGGTACTGAAAAAGTACCAGGAACATGTCCCCAACGGCCTCCACTTTATAAATGTCGCACTGTGTGCATAGTCTATCGAAAAAGTCTTCGACTTTGCCGATAAGGGATATCGTCACTTCCGGTGGCTCAGCACTGACAAACTCCACAAAACCGTACAGGTCGGTGAAACTGAGCGTGACACTGTTGAATACCTCGGGTGCCACTGCCAGACCAACACGTAATCGGCTGACAATCTCCCTAGAAAGCAGACGTCATTGCGTGGCTCCGGGCTCGTATAAAATATGGATACAACAACAATAGAATAAATCAAACAACATTGTGGTTTAGACTTTGTGTATATACCGTGGTAAGATTTGGCTGATGAGAGTATCGCATTTAACCATTTCCTCGTGCAGCAATTTGGTTCTGGTCTCCACTTCCCACTCCAATTGGTCAGCGTAGGCCGCTAAGCGCTGCTGGATCTTATCGAACAGTTTAAACCGACGCATGCCGGGCGCTAGTGACGGCGAGACAATGGCTAACCGGGCACGCAGTTGCCCTATGGTTGGGCGCCCGGTTGGGTCACGGTCCACGCACGCCCGAATAATCGCAGCTAACGGTTCCACTTCAGCGTAGTCGATGGCGTTTACCAAAGGATTCTCGGTAGGTTCATTTTGATGATAGCCCTTTTTATCTGCAGTTTCCCAAGGCGCTAACAAATGGTAATGTTGTAAGACAGTTAGCTAATCTTACTATGCGAAATGTCCCCCATTTTCTTGCACAGGGAACTCCTCGTCAATATATCGTAGAGGATCAATCCAGTGGAAAAAATATCAACAGCTTGCATGCTTTTGGTTTGACGGCGGCCGACGGGCAGTGTAGCATCCTGGAACAGCTCTGGCGGCGACCAAAAATGCTCTTCCCAGGTTGCCGAGAAGGGCCAAGGACAGTTGGTAAGCTTGCTTGCGCCAGCAGCCTGTATCGTAGGAAATAATCTATCGCTGGCTAAATGCATTAGCTTCAAGGTGAAGTGCTTGTCGATCCAGCAGTTAAACACGCTTAACCGCCCATGATACCCAAACGCCGAATTATGTACTGCTTCAACACCCTGCAAACGAAAACGTGGCTTACCAACAATAAACCCTTAAAATTCGGTAGAAAGATTATGAAAAATTAAGACTGAAAGTTTCGAGGTGGTTACTTGAAGATAGTCCAAGATTAGTGAGCTGACCAGGGCAAAGTCATTGGTGATAAAACTGTGCGACAATAACGGTAGAGTGCCTCGCGATGGGCATTCGAAAACAGCTGATATGTCAGCAATGCCGATTGACCTTTTATCTATACTTAATCCATAAAACCGGCAGGTATTAAGCTGTTCAAATCCATAGAACTGCAACCAGCGTGCACGGTTATTCAATTTATACGAATAAAAACGTTTGCTTTCTAAATCATACCATTTTCAGCATACTGGACAGTTCTCGGTTGGAACCCAGCTCCCCGAATGTTATTGTGGTTGTCGCATGTTTTATTATCGCGACAGGATAGCCGATCACTCCGATTCCTTTATGTAAGGCGCGGAATCCGGAAATATGGACGTCCTAAATTGACCACAAGGAATGTGTAAACACAGACTTTTTACGCTTGATTTGCCATGGCTCGAGCAGTAGTAAAATTAACTCTGGAAAAGGGTATGTGGATTTAGTAACTTAAATGTCGCATTATGGAGCAACACTAGCACGAGCTGATTTACTACATTACCAAACCTGAGCTAACTGCACAACGGAAAAAAAAGAGTTCGCACAAATTATGCACTGCCTTGCCTAAGTTTGATTATAAAATCGCTTACAAAGTTTATTTACAAACAGATGTTGGGAGAAACATGTTAAATTAATATGCCTGAATGGCTCGTACATTGTCATCGTAAGCAACACCATCGTAGTGCTCGGCTTTTGCCTCCGCGAATACCGATGAATACAGTGTTCGCAAAGCGGATGGATGGGAGATGCTGTCAAGCGTCAACTGCCACCATGTATTATGAATCAGCTGACCGTGGGCTTTGCGCTTGGCAGACCTTTAAAGAGCACGGGTAAAGGTTATAATAGCAGCTGTGCGTAGGATAAGCCGATTGCCTTGCATCACGCACGTACCTGACGCAGCATATTATCACGGTGAACACAAGGAGGACAACTCCCGCAATAGTAAACCCAATGATGTAAGTTTGATTACTGCCATCTGTAATTCCATAATGCCAGTATTATGTAATTAAAGAGCGGAATATCCAGAACACCCTTGTTTTCTTGGTTACCGAAATAAAGTAACAAAAATTTTTGCTATACCGAAATAAAGCGCTAAGAACTATTTGAAAAAAACGTAAAACGGGAAAAAATCCCTTTGAATATAAAGTAGCGAGATACAAATTTACCACTAGTTGTCGAGCAAAAAAGAGTTTAGAGCTTTTCCAAAGAATGCCTACATTTTTGCAGGCATGCCGGTTTCTGGTGTAAGTAACCGCAAATCGGTTCGCTCAGCGGGGGGAACGATGCGGTGGACGAATTGCCCCAGTGGTCGAGCTGTGTGATTTCTATCCAGGACCGCGTCATCCCATCTCTTGCGACCAGCCGCTGAATACCATCACATTCGGTATCATGTTTCGCCATATTCTGCTACAATAGGTACTGTGTTTACAATATTTCGATTACCTCACGAACGCCACTGGACAAGAAATACGATACAACGAAATCCGTACGCCGTTGGCCATTCTCGTCAATGTAGAACGTGCCGTACTCATTAGTAAAAGTACGGTTAAGGAAACGACGTGCCAGCGCTCTACCATCGCCCAGGTCCCGGATGTGACCTTCCCTTATTGAATCGTTTAGAACCTTTGCAAAAACTCGCACATTTTGATATGAAAATTGGTTACCTACAGTAGAAATTTGCCACTTACCGTTGCTATCGTCGGAAAGGCCAAGTAGCTGTCAACAATCGGCAAAAATGGCTGCAAAACAGTACAATCTAAACCGTATACCGAGTAGGTATTTCTCGGAACTATGGTGCACATTTGCAAAAAGAATATTTCCGGTTACAATTAAATAGAATGTTTTTACAACCAGTAGGTTTCTCACCGGCGATGTACTGCATCTTCAGGCGCAAAATTACCGCCTATCGTTTTCTGAGTATATCAAATCAGTGCATTATAATTTATTGTATTTGTCTAATGATGGCTATAATTAATTTATTTGCTGATTCACCGACCTGATCTTGAAGGCTGTATGTAAAGTTATAATCGAGAAAGGAGCGCCGGATGAATTCTGGTCCTAAGCGCAGATCGGTGCCCATGTCCACGTTCTTCTGGTGGACAATCAGCAGCGATTGGAAGGCTTGCAGCGCTTTCTACAACGTAGCGGCAACCAGATTGCATTTGCATCACGTTGCAAAGGTTGTTTGCGGGGTAGGTACCTCGTCGTTGGCGTCGTCATACTTCCAGTTCAGTCGGCCGAGAATCTTGTTGCGCATACTTTCCACGACGATGTAGACCTACAGTTGACGCATTATACAGAAAACTGCCATGTGAATGCTGAAAACAGCAGCTCATTTTTTATGTGTAATGTTATCGTCTTACATATTCTCCGTTAGTCATGCCCATATTGGCGGCGGTAATCTACAAACAAAATGACGCATATTATTCCGTCACTAACTACGATACCCACGCATTTTTATAATAAACTAACCAGGAATTCACGCAGGAATGCGTTGTGGCCAAAAAAGAGGACGACTAAATGCAAAATGCACTGTTATTTATTTTAGTTGTTTTTAAAGTTAACAAGTGCGAAAAAAGAGCAAATGTTTCTGCTATGAAACCACTTAACCTCGGCTGATTTTGCGTATGTCTTCCAGGATTGGTCCGAACTGTCCAAACGAAGCTCCGGGTTTTGTGGGGATTTCGCGCACAATTGGCGTGACGATGCGATTCTGTTTCAGGTCGTCAAGCAAATTGGACGCAATGATGGGATAAACCGGCGGTGATCCTTTATCGATAAGGACGAAGATTGTCGTCCAATTGTATCGTTTAAACAAGTCAATGTAGAATTCCGAGCACTGCGACGGGGCAAAATGGGTAACGGCGATCCATGAGGGATTCGCTTGTCGGTCACGAATCTGCCGACTGGTCGACTGACTGCACAAGAAACGCATTAAAGCAAATTGTTGCATTAACCAACTTTACTACTCTATAGTATAGAAGTAAGGCATTTTAATTCTTTTGGTGCGCGCGTTCAGAGGCTGCGTGCGAGTGCTATATTATATATATATATAGGTTCTCACTATCTTTTTACGTTAGAGTTAAAGAGAATGTATACATACGTGGAAATCCACAACATGTTCCATTGGCTCATAAAAGAGGGAATATCGCTGTTTTCCACGCAAGCTATACAACGAATAGAGAGTAACCGCTAGACATTTGAAAAAATGTATTTCACTTAATTTTAGAACGGTCGTAAAGTTTAACACAAATTATAAAAGTCGAAGCCACTGTAATAAGCGCACAGGTTTCTTGTGACGGCTTTCGTCTTGGTTGTAGCGGTTTTCCGCTAAAACGTCCACGTCGCGCTTTTGACACGGGGCTTAATAATTATTAAGCGAAATACTGTATCATAATAAACGCAAATTAATCAGCAGAGTGCCGAAAAACCACTACATAGCACAATACCGTTATTCAGATAAATCGTCAGATCGCTGGGATCCCGCTGCCGGTAGTGCCAGTCGGCCGCCATCCGTACCGCCACATCATCTAAATCCGGACATGTGTTGCGCAATGGATCTGTCAGGAAGCGGAAGGTAAATCGGATGCTGTCGGCATACGTTCGCTGTACGTATTCCACGCCTAATGACATGGCTGGTCCGATGTAGACGAGCGAGCTGAGCCCGATGGGTGCAGTGTACCCAATGGCCACTAGACTGATATTCAGCACGGGATGCCGGCTTTCTTCGGCGGCCACACGCAAGCCTATACACACCGCGAAGCTGAGCCGCCACAGCACGTCCGCTAGCATCATCATAAATTAATATTCACAGAATGTTGGCGCACCTGGGTTTCGTCCAACAAGCGCAAATCATGATGCAGATTAGTGTAAACCCGTAACGATTTTTCAGTTTAACTTTGAACGGCTTTGCGGTTATGCAATATTGTTCCAGAAGGGCTCAAATTTGCACCCGGGACGCACGCTGTACTGGATATCTTATTGCATAAGAAAGAGTGTAAAGGTTATTGCGCGTGTCTCTGCCATGAAAATATGGCTGGGAGCATTACTTTCTTCTAGGAGAAAAAACGTCAACATAGCACTCAATATGCCAACTATACGATCCTCCACACGCTGGATATATCTGTATCTTCTTCGCGTAACATAAATCCGCATACTGTGCAGGCGGCCACCTTGCAGCCAATCAATATTGATCTCAACTTAGCCAAGACTCGGTCTGTTAATTCAAATGCATGACGTTGGGAAAGATATTAAATGACGGATGTTACCTCATTGGTCACCATTTTTGGCAGATTCAGTTAATGCGCCCAACGCAGACATAAGCGTGAGAATCGTGAAAAAAGGTTGCACGTGTTCTGGGCGATAATTACCTCGAAGAAAAAAAGTGTTGCATAATATTTTACAGGATACTGCGTTGTCGAGTGCTAGTGTGCGGAAAGACGCAACACACCGGTGCAAGAAGACCTTGACAGTTGGCAGATTTTCGTGCAGTTCATTCTGTCTCGATCGGTGGGAGAAAAGAAAGAACATCCGGTGGATGAACGCTGCCCGCTTTATAAGGATTACTTAACCCGATTAGCTGCCGTACCTTTAGTAATCAGTTGCTCATGTGGGTGCTGGCGGCAAGTGACGTGGTAAATGCGCATTTAATTACTACCCCAGTGATAGCACGTTTAACTGTTGGTGTCGTTTGATTAATAACCGGTGACAGTAGCTTTTAAATGTATTTGTGAAAAATATGAACTACTCTAGGTAATCTTTACATGGAGATTAAGCAAGTTCCCTTTTGGTGCACTTTCAACCATGCCAGTAAGGGTTAGTAAATCTCTTTTTTAAGACAGTGCTGCAAACATGCGGACCAGTTTCTCGGGAGTGCCTCCGATGCGTTATGCAGGAAAATATTGTTGACTAGAACGTTGGACGCTGTATCATCGGAAGAACGGTTGGCAAGATCTCGCACGACTAGCACGTAGGTTAGAAACACTCCCAACATCTGCAAGGCGCAATTTATGTCACCATACTACAACTGTAATTTACGCATGTGGCAGATGCGATTCCTGGGAAAAATATTTCGAAAATTGATTTCGTCAAAGAGTTCAGAAATTCCTGCTTAAACTTACCGACAGTGCCAGATTGCGATCAATGTTAACGAACTTCCCTGCGGTAAGGACCCACGGATTCTGGCGGAAGACATGAAGTCGCGACAGCAGCTTCATTTCGCTGCGCCAGTCGACCCCACTTTTCCCGGCTAGACTAGGGCAGTGCAAGCGTTCTTCGATGACCTCAATCAGCTTTTCAATCTACATTATCGCGAAAGTCCGTCGTTACCAAACATAAAGCTTGGTCCAATATTTTGCCACATAAATATTTCGCTTACTTGGTAAATTTTTAAACCAATAAAAGTCGGCGTCGAATGTACGAATTTATACTTACAGCAGCGTTGTATCGTACAGCAATAAAAATTGGCACAGATACCAAAGCGGAAGCATACCACAAGATGATTATAATGGGAAATAATGGCGCCAAGGTCGTTCCTTGATTAGTTAGCTCTTTGCTGTCAAACGACGATGAGAACGATAAAATCGTACTGAGCATGTTCAGGAAATGGAGGAAGAGAATGCTGGAAAACACTTTATCCAGAGATTTGCCGGTTCTCTGAACATGCGATATGGCCGAGTTAAACACTTGCAATGTACATTGATCCGAATGGTGTTGACATTCCTGTTTCTGACAAATCGCGTGAATTAATGTGCGGTACAATTGGGTATTCCAGGACACGACGAAACAGAAAAAGACGATGATTAGATGTTCACCCCAGACGACAACATTCTGGGTCAACAGTAAAGCGACTTCAATACCGCAAAACGATGCATTGCGAGACAGTGGCCAGTATTCTATACCGGACATTACAGTCCATTGGGTTAAATAGGCGAATTCAATTTCGTGGATAATGAAAATAATTATTACGAATACCGTACCAAAAATCACGACTAAGCGTTCGTAATACAGGAGTTTTCCTCGGATTCGGCCAACGACTTCGCTGCCATATAAATCGATGACAAATGATTGCATTCTTTGTTGATTATGGAATGTATTATCGAATCGCGATCTGGATGCGTAGAAGCAAATGAGAGCCAGAAAAGAGAACACTACTTTACCAATCCACTTAAATTCGACGAAAACGAAAAAGGTAGTAATGCGGTTAAAATAGAAAAAGTGGAATACGCTACTAACTTCGCGCAACGTTGCTAGAAGAACGATGGTGATGTACAGGCATTTACTGATGAAAACTAACCATCGGAAGAACTTTGTCCAAGCTGATACGTAAGTTGGGGGCGTGGTCAGTGTGAAGAACTGCAGAATGTGCTGACTGTGCCATGGGACCTGAATTAGCACACCCTGTAGAACGACGAAGGGTTTACGGTTTAACCGATACAAAAGCAACTTGTTCTTTGTTGAATTACTTACCGAGTGCGCCAACTGTTTTAACATCTAGTGACTTTTTTACTCAGAAAGCGCGCATTTAAAAAAAATACTTTTCTACTTGTTTAGAACTGTTTGTTTGGTCCGAAGCCCGCTTTGCTTAATGTATCTCTCTATAAGCAACAATGCCATTCCATCGCGTTTTTGCAGCATCAACCTGCTGGTTTTCCCCAAGGACCATCCTACAACATTTTCGGCGCGGTATTCGATGCAGGGTTATTGATTTGTGCAACGTTGTACAGTTCCTCACTACGAAAACGGTGCGACATTATCAACGGAAACACTTGGGCTTTTGAAATTGAAAATCCAAAGGTCATTCACAATGCAATTTCTTTCGTGGAATCTTCTCCAGTTCTTTATCATCCGCCGACCATCTTCTTCTCTGAGTTCACGCCAGAAACTGATGCAATGGACCGTGTTACTTCTGAAAATAACGTACATGATTGTCGTTGGTCTGACTATCCTCCGTGAAGACACCAACAGTCTTCGGATGTATTTCATGCAAGGTCTCCATTCATCCATATTCTTTACGGATTTTAAATGGACGGGTAAAGTTGCCTGCTCGCTGTTGACACTCATCTGTTACCATGCATCACAGAAGCAGTTTACTAGCTTATTTCTGCGTCAAGGTAAACTGGAAGTTTTCATTAGTAATATCTGTTCAGATAAAAACGCTTTCCTGAGCCGGCAAACCGCAGTCTATCGCGAACGCTTTGCCGTAATCATTGGAACGATATTGATGATTCTGATTTTCGTGACCCATGAAGCAGAGTTTGCCTATGACAACCAATGGAACATTACATACAATATGGATTACTGGCCAATCTCCGCACATTTTCCATTTTACATCGTTGAGGTTATCTTAATACTGACCCAGAATGTTGTCGTTTGGGGCGAACATCTGCTGATAGTCTTCTTCTGCTCGATCGTATTCTATCATGCGCAACTTTTTGACGTGCTAAGACATTCGATCCATCAAGAAAAGATTCCACACCGTCAAGATTTTCAAATGACCCCGGAAATCTTGGAAGGCTTTAACTCCATAATAGCACAAGTGAGGAACTCCAGTAAATCTTTGGAAAAGACGTTTTTCAAGATTCTTTTTCTCCACTTCCTCAACATGTTGAGTACGATTCTCTGCTTCTCATCGTCATTCGATGATAAATCCTTAACTAAAAAAGGAACAGCTTTGGCACCGCTGTTTCCCGTTATTATCATACTATGGTACGCACTGGCGCTGGTAGCAGTTCCAATCTTCTTTTCTGTACGCTTTGCCTCTGCGGTAAGTCGTTCTGCTTAACGTAAAATGCCATCTTGTAACATGTCGACAACGACAGAATGAGATTTTTAGATCGAAAAGCTGTTTGAAGCCATCGAACACCGTCTGCATGCCGGTGACCTTTCTGGAAAGGGGGAGGCTGAATGGCGCTGCCAGATGAAAATTCTGATGCGCATACAGGGCCTACGTCAAAACCCACTCGTTCTAACGGCCGGAAAATTCTTCAACGTTGACCGTAACCTGGCTTTATCGGTAATACAGAACTGGGCACTATACAGTTAAATTCGCAGTGCTAAAAGTATTTCGACAAACGTGATACACGTAAACATGCAATTGTTTGCAGATGCTTGGTGTATTTCTCTCTTATATACTGGTCGTGCGCGATCTGGTTAACCGAGTGCCCGAAGAGAATAACACATCCGTCATGTACAATATTTTTCATTGCAACTCCACGCGAATGGTAGCCAGCAACTGGTCAATGTGTATTAATGCAACTGAAATATACAGTAGCACACTAGTCTGAAATCGATTTTTTGGAATGAATGTTGCGGGTGTTTTCTAATTTTGCTTAGTATCATAAAATTCGTTGTCTGTACTACAGACTGTGGTTGTACAGCAATGAGACAACATATCATGCAGTTTTCAGAACAAACGCTATCTTACGTTTTTTTAGGCAAAAGACGGGTTGACACACCTGCTTTTCTGTTTAAATTGTGAACTGCCGGTATTACAGACACCGAAAACAAATGGATTTTCCTGATAGTGTTGTTAAAAAATCGATAAAATATATCGGTGCTATTTCGGTGCTATTAGAAGTAAGACTATTTCAACGGTATGGTAATAATCTCGGAAATACGTAGTCTCTCAGTTGTCATCAGTTTTCCCAAGCAAACACTTGGGCAAACTTTCATTTTGTTCAACCTGTGTTTTCCTTACCCAGTGCTTTGGATCGTCGGCTTTTATGAGGCTCGTAGAGGCATACAAAACGATCGCCGATTAACGATTGTTTGCTCTTAAAAGTAAGGAAACGTCATTTTAAAGCCATCTATGTAGAATTAAAGATCTCTTTATCAAAGCCGACGAATAACTGTTTTTAACGTTTGTTTGTGCTTCATCTCAGAGAAGCAATGTTTAATTTCGAAGAAACTAAAATGCTAAACGATGATTCGCATCAGCTCTTAAGCTGGAACATTCTGCGAAAATTGCTTCCAACAGCGTATGTATCCAACGAAATTCCAGGCACTGGGTGCAAACTTTTCTTTAAAAAATGTTGGCATTATTTTCTCCAGTTTTGGAAAGTAATATACATCATCTGCCTTACTGTGGCGGTTATAAGGGAACCCTTCAACTCTATCCGCTACTACATTATAACGAACGACAGATTAACGATTCGCATGTTCCTGTCTGATTTTAAATGGACCGGCAAAATCAGCTTATGTGGCGCGACGGTAGTTTATTACTATGTGACCATCAAGAAGATGAACGGGTTAAACCAGATGTACCATAATATCGCGAGACTTCAAGGGGAAGTACTTGGCGAAAAGACCGTATTGGAAATACATCGAAAGGTCACGCGTTTGGATCGCGTTTTTGTCATACTCGGAGCCATTCTGTTCCTGTTAATATTTGCAACACACGAAGCCGAGTACGCGTATCTGTACCCGAAGATCCTGACGGAAGGCCGGGATTACTGGCCGTCAACCCACAACGAACCGTTTCTCCCGTTAGAAGTGTACTACGTACTGGGACCCGGTGGGGCAGTCTTTTTGGAACAACTGATCATTACACTGTTCTCCACGCTCTTATATTTCGGTATACTGTCGCTGAATGCTTTTCACCATTTTGTGGAGAACAGCAAACCGTCTCCTCACACCACGCAACATCTGTGGAAAGTCATTGCACAGAGTCGTTTGATCTTCCAGTCCATCGAGGCGTGTTTCAGTAAGATCCTGTTTCTGCATTTTGTCAACATGGCCATGACCATCTTGTCCTTTACACCGGCCTTCGACGGGGTGTCGCCGGGAGATCCGGGATTGAAGCGTCCCTGGGCGCCGCTCTTCCCGCTGATTGTAATCACGTGGTATGGAGCGATATTGATCGCCCTGCCGGTGGAACTCTCCACACAGTGTTCACAATCGGTATGACGGTTTTCGATGTAATTAAGTTGATGATGAAGTTCAAGTTCGTTATGGCTGTTTCTCGTCTGCAGATGAGTAAACTCATGGAAGCGATGCACGAGAGTGTCTGTTCGGTCAACAGTGGTGTTGATAAATGGGCGACATTTGGGAATGAGCTGAAACTGCTGCTGACGATCAATTTCACCCGGCAAACCTCTCCCGCCATCACCGTTGCCGGATTCTGTGTCGTCGATCGCACCTTTGCAATTTCGGTATGAATAATCATTAATATTGTTGTCGATTAATTTCGATTACTCATTTTTCCACAACAGGCTTTTAGTGCATACGGCTTTTTTTTTGCAGCTCTTCGGCTTGTTCCTTACCTACGTCTTCGTCGTGCGCGAGATCATTAATCGCACTGGAGAAGACCTGTGCGAAGGTCTCCGGCGCTGCAATGGAACAGTGTATTAATATATATCTACAATATCCACGAATGCTTTTTCATAATTTACATATTCCATAACACAACTTTAGCATGCTTTTTCTTAATTTACAATAATTATTCCATAAGTGACTCATACCGCTTGATATGAGGCGCCGCAAAAGGACCGATTTGCTGCCAACTAGCTGGAAACTTTGTATTAACAACGTTTGCACTTTAGCTCCCTAAAAAGCTTGTTTTCGGTAGAAAATGGCTTTATGCGAAGCCCTGATAATACGTAATTACGATATGCACCGTGAACACATGCTATAACTATGCTCCCTCATTATTTTGAGCAGTTATTTGGCGTTACCAGAGGAGAGGACTGGGATTCTCCTCAGTGTAAATATGAACATACGTCAGCAATTGTGATGCATGTTGGTATGACGGTGATCAGCAAATTTGTATGCTGATGTTCCTGTTGAGTATTACAGTCAGTCAGAACATAAATTTTGAAAATATGATTGTGTTCATAATAACAAAGTGCACCATATTTCTGCTACGCCTTTTACGTTGTATTAGTGGTAGGTTTTAGCTGCCAGGTATTAAGTGGCGGTCCACGATGGCTACGCCGCTACCCACCATCTGAATCATCTAGATGTGCTTTTAAGCTTCAGGATAATGCAAAACCTACTTCCGGTACGCTATGTCGGAAAAGCCATGCACAACTCTGGGACTGAGACCGTACTAAGACGAATTTCTCACTGCGTTCTTCAGTTCTTAAAGGCAGTGTATCTCATATGCTGCATCCTAGCCGTTATCCGGGAACTAGGCAGCAGTATTTGTTTCAACGTTTTCGATAGCGATCGCATAACCATGCGGATGTTCCTATCGAATTTTAAATGGACAGGGAAAATCCTTTTTTCTGGCTTGACAGTTGTTTATTACTACTGTAATAGCACAAAAATACAGGAGCTCAAACAGATGTGCGGAGCCGTCGAAAAACTACACAGAGAACTCTTCGGCAAAAGTGTTATGCCGCAACTGACTCGCAAAGTCAAGCGTTTAGACCGTATCTTTACCATCGTTGGAGCGATCTTATTTATTCTAGTTTTTGTAACTCACGAGGCAGAATATGCGTATTCGTATCCAAACGTAATGACGGACGGCAGAGATTTCTGGCCTGCACAACAGAACGAACCCTTTCTTCCTTTAGAACTCTACTATGTTCTTGGGCCGGGAAGCGTCGTCTGGATGGAGCAATTGATTATCACAGTTTTCTTAACGATAGTGTATTCTGGTATACTCGCGTTGAATAATTTCACACGGTTTGTTGTAAGCCAGCCGTCAACGGAAACGGTACAACATTTCTGGAAAATCATCCTACATGGTCGATTGATCTTTCATTCTATTGAGTCATGTTTTAGCAAGATTCTCTTGCTGCATTTTGTCAACATGGTCATGACGATTCTGGCGTTTATACCGACATTCGACGGTGTATCGCCCGATGTCCCCAAATTAAAGCGTCCTTTGGCGCCGCTGTTTCCCCTGATTATCATCGCATGGTATGGTTTGTTAATCGCCCTACCGGTAAAACTGTCAGCACAGTGCTCGGTTTCGGTATGAAAGTTGAGTATACTGTAATTTCAACTGATGATCTGAGTAACAGCCTTTGTTATTTGCAGATATATAATCTTTTGGATGCAATGCACGATATCGTCTGTGGAACCAATGGAAACGTAGCGACAAATCTTGTACCCGAGAAGTCGGAAAGGGATCTAAACTGTTGAATGCCATCAGCTTTGAACGACAAAAATGCCATGCGATAACCATAGCCGGCTTGTGTCCGCTTGACCACACGTCTGCCATTTCGGTAAACAGATATGATGAGGCACTGCGGTCACCGTAAAATTGTTCTGCTAACTGTATTTGCAGCTCTTTGGCCTGTTTATGACCTATGTATTCGTCGTCCGTGAAGTAACCGACGGGAAAAGCGGCGATGTGGGCGACTTGCGACGTTGTAGCGTAACACCAGGTTTCACTGCTTTGAGACGGATCGGATTTGACAAAATTTACTGTAGAATAATGACAATTATTCCAGTTAAAAAGAAAATAATTTACTGTTGGACACACGTTGACCACATCAAGTGTCGAACTTATTATTGTTTCTTCATCAAAAATTTCACAGAAGCTTCGGAAACAATCACATGTTAAGCATAAATCGAAAGAGGCGGCCTGATTACAGTGTCGAATTATCGTCAACAGGAAACCGTTTTACCGCGTTTATCAAGAAATTTTGTGGCTATGCAGTTTGTCATGTACGTATTACAAACAGTTCCCCTTGTAAGTATCGTCCTCTGTGGCGAAAGCTTGTATAAGCGCACCAATGCCTTATTTTTTGTGCAATCCGAATGTTGCGTTTAGGTAAAAAAATACTGAATATGCAAGTGTAGTAATAAGGTTGCTAGACTATGAACGAGATCAACCGACTTGGAAGAATGTTAAGGTGTTGTAAAGCATATTCATGTCGTTAGCAAAGTACATACGTATATCAACATGACAACATCTATGTCTATGTACTGTACTACTGAATATGCAAGTGTAGTAATAAGGTTGCTAGACTATGAACGAGATCAACCGACTTGGAAGAATGTTAAGGTGTTGTAAAGCATATTCATGTCGTTAGCAAAGTACATACGTATATCAACATCTATGTCTATGTACTGTACTTCCGATGCACTTCATCTGCGACCGGTTTGGATTTTTTAACACCTAATTTCCACTGTGGTATAACGGCATCATAGTTTAAACTAAGCGAGACACGGTAAAATACAGTAGTTTAGCTACGGTTGCACATTCCGATCTCGAGGATATTTTCGCAGTATTTAACGCCTGGATGGATCAGATTTCATTCGTTTGGTACGGCGTTTCATTTTAATCCGTTAACTGCAGTGAAGTAATTGAAACGAAAAATCCACAACTGGTTATCCAAACCGTTCAATTTATTTAGTTCATCTTTTTTTCCGTCTAAAGAAATTATGCTTTGAAATCCCAGGAAATAAATCAGCAGATATGGTGTATTATACGGATAGGTTTATCTGCAGTATGTTGATTATGTTCGAGGTACCAGCGTGGTGATGATCTGTTATACAATTTTCCGGTATTGTCGACACTACCGTATAAGCCATACACAGACGACGTCGTTTAAACGATCATCTCGCGCTGGGTCAGCACTGTACACCAAACAACAGCAGCGTGACCATTTGACTGCCGAGTTGAATGTCTGGATTACACGGCACATAACGCTTTAATCCTCCGCACCGTGCACAAATCCCCAGACAATCGATTTCTATACAATCCGCCGTTCCAACAAGAAATCTTCAGCAAGAAAAAAATGCTTGTCATCCAGCCAAAAAATCCACCGAAAACAGTATATAACCACCCTTAAGAAAACAGCCCAGATCGTGTCGCGTACGGACTACTAGAAAACTATTCGATATTCTTCTGTATCGAACCGCGGTCAGAATGCGTCTCTTCCTCGCTGTTTTCTGCCTGACTATCAGCGCTGTTCTGGCCCAACACGACACCGGTCACGGCGCGCCGGCCCCCGCCCACGGCGCCACCACCAAGCCGTCCGCCCGCGGCGGCACTACCGCCAAGAAGGGCGCAGCCAGCGCTGGCGGCCATGATGCCCACGCCGCACCCGCTTCCGGCCACGGAGCGGCCGCCGACACCCATGGAACCGATTCGCATTCCAGCTCCAGCCACGCTGCTGATTCGCATTCGTCCAGCGCCGGTCACGGAGCCGATTCCCATGGAGCTGACGCCCATGGATCAGCCAGCAGTAAAGACTCGCATGCTCCGGCTTCTAGCGGTCACGGGACACCCGCGGCTTCAGGAGGTCACGGAGCGCCGGCGGCCTCTGGAGGACACGGAGCCTCATCGGCGGCAACAGCGCGCCGAGGAGCCGCAGCGGCTAAACCGACGCCGGCGGCTCATCATTAAGTTGCCTGATGGTGACCTCGCGCCGGTTGGTTCTGCTACCGGCTGCATGTATACCATATACAATTTTTCTGACATTATTTTGCGTGCGGCATATTTTTGGCGGGTAAAATGACAACAGAAATTTACACTAAATGCTAGATGGCTTCGAATAAAGGTTTGAGCGCTTGTGCTATGCTACCGAATACGTATCGAGGCAAAGTATTCATATTCGTTTTGCCTGGAATATGGTTAATTAAGGCACTAAATTATTCTGCCCGTTAGTTATACCGGTTAATTACACCGACTAATTTCAAGCCGTAATTATGAATCATATAAGGGACAATATCGGCGATTGATACTCATAAATTAATACTCATAAGAACGTCATAATAAACAAAACCTTATCTTCTGTATGATCAGGATTTCGCATAAAACCGACATGAACACATAAAATTTGATATATGGCAGATTTTATTATGCACACAAAATCTTGATCGTTTAAGAGGAACGCGCATCATCACCGAAACTATCATCACCGTTGTCAAAAACATCTGATCACCAAGTGCAAGCCCATAACATTTATAACTCCGCGCAACGACGCCCGGCAATCAAGCCGCTCATTATGCTTATTCCATCGCGTGCACGGCATGCTCAAAACTCAAAAGTCAAACAAACTAAGCAGTGCCCGTCCGTCTGGTGACGTCGGCGTCTAGAGATGCAGTTGCTCTTGGTCTTCCTCTCAATCCGTCTTTGTGGTACTGTTTTCCCTGACTACACAAATTAACCGACACACAGAGACGATCGATATTTATACAGCGTCACTGATCTGTCACTTCCAGTTTCTCTGAACGATACCATGCTGATGGCGCGTGATACAGTGAGAGAGGAATTTTGGATGCGTCTCGCTCGACATCCAAGAGAAACCTTATTCCATAACCTTGAAACACGATACCCAGTTCGCCCTTTTTTCGACCGCGGATAAATTCATGGCTGTATTGGTTACGGTGATTCGAGGGTTGGTACTGTGTTGAAAACGGTGTGATTTCTGTTTCCCGGTAAGTTGACGGTATGTTTACCGTGTTTTTATACGGATTAGCGGGTTTTGTGTAATCTGTTGACATAACTATTTCAAGAGCAGTCGAGTAGTCAATAGACTATAATAACACGCTGTGAAAGCGTCCGTAACCGGTCTTTATGGCGGCCATTCAGCACTGCACAATTTCCAAAAATTCGATTAATTTGCACTTTTTGTGGATAACTCGCTCAGTTTATATTTTAGTCCGATATGCGAATGTGCAGTCTATGCACAGAACTCGATCATAAATAAACGAAAGCAGTTAAATTGGCAAGCCTATCATTACCGGCAAATGTAACGGTTTTATAATTTCCGTGAGCACTGGTTTGCGTACAATTGTACATATCTGTATTCTGGAATACAGTATTTGGTGATCGTGCTAATTATTTAATCGTTTGTTAATCAATTTGTTGATCAGTATCGTTTTTAATTGGATTATGGTTTGCTTTTACTTGGGATATTTTATCGCTAGTAATTATGTAATTGAGCCGTCCACAACCGTTTTTCTTTAACCTACAAATACATGGAAAAGTTTTTCGAAGCCAATAAATAATTTGCTCTTTCTACTGCCTTTTTGTTAGCCATCGCTGTGTGTACAGTCTACCGTAATTATTCCTGGTGTGATAATTAATAAACCCCGGCGCACTTATAAAAGATGCTTCAACTAGCGCTTTGTTTTATGTCAGCAGTACGTGCTGTACTTTGTGTACTTCTATCACTACTGTCTTTACCGGCTGTCCAATACGTGTACGTGTGTATCAAAGGATACAACTTCCATTAAGCTGGACGCAAATTTAGCATCCCGGTATAGTTAGCTGCACAGGAGTCAGGATCTACCCCTCTTGTTTCCTGGATGTGAATATGCTGTACATACCTAATTTGTATAAATGCTGTTAATGAATGTCAGTAGTTCGCCCACAGGCAAATTAGTAACGCACGCCCAATGAGCTTTAACAGTGTAAAATTAGTCTAATTTGGCCATATAAAGGCCACATGCTCTTTTATCGCGGTGCCATTGATCCTGCGCTACTAGCCATACAATAGCTGATGGGAGCTATTCAGTTATGGCGCCCTATCATTTTGGCCACCGTTCATTTTGGCCACCATTCATTTTGGCCACCATTCATTTCGCCCACAACTGATTTTGTTACCGCTTTCGATTTTTAGCTAATACATGCACTCGCTACTCACTTTGTAAGACTATGATCAAGCAATTTTTTTTAAAACGAAACGAACAAAGCAAAAATAAGAACCTAAGAGACCTAAGAAGTGAACCTCCCGGATTAAAAAAGCCTCGTTTTTGAGATAAGATTCGCAGCTTGCCAACATCTGTTTACTTATGACTTGATCTGCGCATGTTACTGGCGCAGCTCCCACAAAACGTTACTATCTGCATAATCGTGAGGTAACAGTAGCATCAGAAATTGGAACACTATTTTTTTGTCAACCACAGCATACGAAAGTACTGCCCAAGAGCGGTGCATGCCGTAAGTAAATATCAGCGAGGTATGAGAGAACTATTGTTCGAGTGCTGGGTCAATGCAAAGCAGCGGCTATTGAGGTGGTGGTTGGGAGCTAGTGCAGTACAGAAGGCGTGCGAACTAAGTATGCGTTCTCTGTTGTTTAACGCGAACGTCAATGCAAATCCAGTCACAGTTTACCAATTTTAATAATAAATAAAAACAGCCCTGCGCTGTGAGCGAGCGCTGTAACAAATGCTTAGAAAAATATTGCCAACACCAGCAACATTAAAACACAGTTATTTATTACTTATCACATAGCTGGCCGGAGAAAAACAAAAAAACAACATCGACAGCACAATTAATTGTAGAACAAACGCGTCGATCTGAGTTCTGCCAAAAACGATTTCGTTTTTACCAAGATATGTCCTAAAATATCGTCTTTCTTGGCGTCGGATTTCACGTGATAGTCCTTCCAGCCGTTGAAGATAGCTGTCACCAGGCCAGCAGCCAAAGCTCCCCGTTCGCGAGCTGCTCAAGTACACTGAAAAAACCCGATTTTGTTAAAATGTGTTCAGAATGTTATAATATAATCGGCTTTTATTAATTTATTTATCTCAACCTAATAAAATGAGAAATTGAAAAGTGAAGAGGAATGGCGAAGTAACCAAAATACGAACCACATAAAGCAAAAACATAATCTGAGGAAAACAAACGATAAAATCATAAAATTAAACGAACAGAACGATCATGCATTCCAAATACGGCGAGCTACGAAAAATACTGTGCGGTATGTTTGTTAGTATTAAGCAAGTACAGGGATTATTCAGCTGAACCACCTTTATCACATACCTTGCTTAACGCGATCTCGCTCGTTCCTGCTGTCCGCCATATGCCGCAAAGTTCAGGATGGAATAACGACGGGTGGCTAGTCAGATAAACAAAATCATTTTTAGTAACTGCAAGATGATTAAATAACTTATTGGCAAGACTTCTGTCTCTATGTGGTTTAGCTGAGGACACTAAAACGGTAACTCGCAGTCTAACACTCGAACTGTAGTGACTCACTGTAGTGAATGCGACTCCGCTTTCCGTTGAATGGCTCGTTCTCCATGCCGCTGCTTCCCCTCCATGGCTTTTCAGCTATCCCTAGGTTGTGGCGGGGTTTTTGAGGACAAATCAGGAAAGGAAACGCGAGCAAGGGTATAAACGTCATCAGCCCAGAAGCCAGGAGAACAAGCGAAGTCGCTCAAGCTAGCAAGTAGTCCCCAGTTCCAAGCGATTTCGCGCATGGTGGCGAACAGTATTATTAAATGTACCGCAAAAGTGAAAACTGCTTTAATAAAAATAAGTTTGCAGGACCAGAAACGAGATCGCTGAAACGACAACAACTTAAAAATTTTACGAAGACTGAATAACTTTTACTGACGGCAACCTGCAAAGCCTGAAAACCCGCGTGCAGAGCAACATCTGCGTCGACAGTACGCATTCAAGCACGTGGATTGTGCGGTGTGCCAACCGCACAGTCACAGAGCTACATTATTTTCGGCACAGTCGCCAACCGCCCAGAGCGCTGCTTATAGAACCCTACGGCGGTCAGAGGCCAGCGGCTAGTTTAAAAAGTTTTGCTCTGGTGGCCTGCGATTAACATCACAGCTGACACATGCGTAGCCGCTCGAACAGCCGCTGAGTTACTTGTATGTTGGCAGCGCCCAATTGTTTTGTTACTGGCACCGGAAATACAAATTTTCAAATCTGCCGTGGAAACCGGGCCTAAGAATAAAACACAAGAAATAAACATTTCTTGACTCACAGATTCCCTTTGTCAGTACGAGTACATATACTTAAAACCTAAGAAAAAACACCAAAGAAAACCTAAGAACACATATAAATACGAGTACATACATATAAAACCTAAGAAAAAAAACCTACGAATACCGTAAGAATACTGTAGCCGCCCGCACAAGTTGCTCCATTGGCAGATCCGGCCGTTGCCTTCTCCATGCACGCGCTGCGCTAAACAGCGAGCAATGTGAGTGCAAATATGCGTACACCTCACTCTGTGGAGCAACTTGTGCGGGCGGATACAGTAACTTAAGACAATCGAGCGCGGTATTAACCAAATCAGTGATGGCCGAAATGAATGGTGGCCAAAATGAACGGTGGCCAAAATGAATGGTGGCCAAAATGAATGGACACGTTCAGTTATTGCGTCAGCCTCTTTTAGTCAGATTATATGTATAGCGAGGTTTCTCACGATTGACAACTGAAGTAAATCGCGCGATTTTCTGATTTGTCGCTGTTATTTAGATATCTTAAAATTACATTACAAAAATATTGGCGGTAGATAACTAAAGATTTATCGTTTTGTGTATTATCGCTAAAGATTATCGCGATCTCCATCCGCACCATGTCCGACCAGGGGAAGCTGACCGGCAAACTGGCCGTGGCCCTCTTCGCTTCCACCTTCGGCACCTGGTTCCCGCACGGCCTTAGCGTCTCCGCCCTCAACGGGCCCCAGAACATCGTCCTCAACTGGATCCGCTCCGTCAAGTGCGTCCGCTGGGGCGGCCAGTTCGCCGGCAATTACACCAACAACACCGACCTCCACGATCCCAACCACTACTTGTGGTGCCGGACCATCCCTCAAGCCGAGGAAAAATCCCTGAAGCAGAACTACGAACTGTACACCCTGTGGGCGCTGTGCTCGTCCATGCTGTGTGTCGGCGCCCTGATCGGCACCCTCCTAACCAACCTCTTCATCCACGGACTGGGCATCAAAAAGTCACTGATGCTGGGCGCCGTCATTCTCCTGGCCGGGTGTGTCCTGTGTTCCTTCGGCCCGACCGCTGGTTCATGGGAGCTGTTTCTATTGGGACGGATCGTCATCGGACTGGGCACGGGCCTGGTTACCGTGGTCACGCCTATCTACACCTCGGAGATCACCCCTGCGAAATTGCGCGGTGCCGCCGGGACCCTGCCGCCGGTGATGTACGTCCTGGGCCTGATCGTCACCACCGCCATCGGGTTCCCGTACGTCCTGGGTCACGAGACAGGGTGGCCGTATTTGGTCAGCGCCGTCATCATCCCGGTGGTGATCGCCTGCGCCATCCTCCCGTTCTGCCCAGAGAGTCCGCGGTACCTTTATATCGAGAAGAGCCGGGAGGCCGACGCCCAGATGGCGCTTATGTGGTTTCGCGGTGCCGGTTCGGTCAAGGACGAGCTGGAGGAGATGCACACCGAGGCCGAGCACCTCAAGGGCACCCGCAACGTCACTCTCCTGGGGCTGTTCGTCGACCCCTTCCTCCGCAAGATCTGCTGGCTGGTGGCCGTGCCCATGCTGGCCCATCAGTTCTGCGGGTTCTACTGCGTGACCTTCTACTCTACCTCCATCTTCGACGATGTCGGGTTGAAGCAGATGGACGCCGTGTACGCCACCATGGGCGTCTGGGTGGTGTACCTCATCGCGCTGCTGACCTCCATGGCGTTGGTGGACCGCCTGGGCCGCCGCACCCTCCTCCTCATCAGCCACCTGGGGATGATCGTGGCGCTGGTGCTGTTCGTGGTGTTCGCCGTGACCCGCGAGCAGGGCGTGGAGTGGACCAAGTACGGGAGTGCCGCCTGTATGCCGCTCTTCATCGCCTCCTTCGCTACCGGGTCGGCGTCGGTGCCATGGATCCTCCCGGGAGAACTGTTCCCCCAGGAAGCACATAATTCATCGGCTAGCCTGGTGGCCGCAGTGTCCTGGGCGGGAGCCATTCTGACGACGCTGTTGTTCCCGCTGATTGTGGTGGTGGCTAAGCATTATACGTTCCTCATCTTTGCCGGGTTGGTGGCGCTGGCGACGGTGCATATTGTGATTAAGCTGCCGGAAACTAAAGGAAAAACTATTGAGGAGATTCAAGCTTTATTGCGCAGTGAACGGCAGACGCGATAATTTACGAAGACAAACAGCAAACTATTAGACAATTATCCGTCACAAACAAAAAATATCTGAGTCAAAAGTACAGATAGTCATAAACTGGGTTTCGCCATAGCTCTTTTGCATATATGAAATACTGTAGTTTTGTGGCTGTGTTACATTTACTGGTGATTTTTTCCGGATGCTTCCGTACGGAAGTTTATCACAGTTATTAAATTTGTTGCCGATGTTAGATATCTTCTCGACGTTGCAACGTTAATGAGCTACTTGAAAATACATTGTTTTATCCATGTATCAAGGCAAGAAACCGGCAATGTTATTCATCACATTGATATTATATTCTGATAAAATGCCAACCGCGCATAATTAAACCGTAATCCGCTGACCGCTAAGTGAAAATCGTGCTGACAGATGTGACTATGAACGAGATACCAGAAACCCGGCGGCATTGGCGATTTCCCTCCCTACCATCGGTACACACGGCCGATCCTTTACATTTTTCGATACGCTGCAGACGGTAATCATCGGCACGTAGCTGCTGCTATTTGCCCCTTTTTCCGGGATTATTCATCGGTGTTCCTGTGTACGCCCCCAGAACCAACAATCATGGCCTCGATCACTTGGTTATGCGTGATTACGGTGTTGCTCTTAAGCGTCTTAGGTAAAACGGCTACGGGAGTTATGAATGTTGAAGAATTGTCATAGAACGGGTTTAAAAATGTAAATTAAGGTACAGATATACTGTACGTGTTCACAATAAACAGGTAGTTTCGGGGCGTCCCAACATCTGCGCACCATCAATGTGGACGGTGCGTATGGAAAATGGAATGCATCGAGTATTCCCTACTGCATCGACGCCGATTACTGTACGTCAATTTCTCAGTTTTTCGCGTGCAGTATAATAACGCAGTATACATACATAATCACACCCATAAGTGCTGCAATAATTTTCTTTTTACAGTATCTAATCAGGAAAGTAACTTTCGATTTGTATAAGCACAGTAGTGCTAAGTACGAGTACTCTGTACATGGTTTTAGCGTATAAGTGGATGTTTTTGTAATAATATTTGTAATAATATTATGTAATTTGTAATAATATTAATTTTGTAATAATATTATGTAACCATTTTGATAATGGTTTCCTCTTATACAGCCCCGACAGAAAGGTCAACAATTCAGCAGGCCATCCAGATCATGATGGATGCACTGTCCGGTAAACTGATATTTACTCCCGTGGACTGCACGGATAGCCGTTACAAGATACGCTTTACGGCGCTGACCGGAGGACCGTAAGCCATTATTCGAATCCGTTCGTAGGCCGACCACTCGTTTACTGTACGGTTGACTGTACGTCCGTACTGAATCCTACAGTAGTAAAAAGGATCGGTTCGCGAACGGATTCGATGTATCTGTAAGAGTATACTAGGGTAGTACATGTTATGCAAGACAAGCCTCCGTTTCTGCTAGGGTAGAATTTATTCTAGCTTGCTCAAAGTAAGGTCTGAAATTCAAACACTTTTGAGCCGTTTTTGCAATGAGATGAAATACAATGAGATTTAAAACTAACCAAATTATTTTACAAAAACCCCTGAAAATCTTTAATCGTTTAGGAGTTGAAGTGATTAACAATTTCTCGTCCTTTTTTATCGTTTTGTCAGCTGCCTTTCGTCAAAACTTCGTTAAATCCTGTGATACCGTAGTATAAAACTGGCTTGTTAAGAGTTTAAAATAATACTTAAAATAACCAGGTTTTAAATTAATCAGCTATTTCAAACACGCAGAAAGCCTATTTCGTTATGGAATTGATACGACGTTGTAGCTTGAAATTTTGAAAATATACCGTAAATAATTTCACCCTACTGCAGCTTAAAGCGAAGCCAACTGACCACAGTGGAAGTCGGCTTTACTGTTGGGCAACCATACTAATGATACATTTACTTAGAGTTCGAAACCCATCCTAAGATTTTGTGCCATTCCACAGAGGCAGCGCCAACCGCATCTCCTCGTCCAGTGATCCTGGTGTTAATTCAGCCCAGCAGAGGGCGTCCCAGACCGAGCAAGTGGTGGCCATTGCCCGTGACAGTCTGGGCTGCTCCACCGATGTGCACTGTGCCCTCAAGTTCATCGCCATCTGTCTGGGCAAACGGGAGGAACAGCTGCGCAAGGATCGCGACCAGTATATTACCGTCACGCTCAGCAACGCCGTTACACCGGTACGCCAGTCATCATTAGCTTAATAAAACTGCACCGGGTTTTTACCAAATTAAGAAGCACGTTTCCTACCTAGTCGTCCCGTGCATCGGCACTGCGCATCTAATTAAGGGGATAAGATGAAATCGGGTTGGGAATTTCGTGGAAATATAGTGTTTGAATATAGTAACTGACAGCTTGATGGGTTCGCAGAGTCAGTTCACTACTTACCTGGACACCCAGGCGTATATTGGCCGATTCGGCTACGACTACTGCAGCATAACGGTAAGTTTATATAACCGTTACTAATGGAGAACGTTGTGTAGTGTCGTTTCTAGTTACAGTTCCCGCGGATGAATTACCGTAAACTAGAATAATATTAACAAGTCTAAGAAGCTGTCTACCATTGTATGGTGTTCTCTGGATGACAGCATAACCAGCCGACCGATTACGCCAAACCCGGCACGGTGGTCTTCACCGTCCCTGCGGGCAAGCCAAACAGTCCGGGCTGTATCCCCAAACTCAGCAATATCAGCAACACCGACTGCCAGCTCATCAGTTTGTTGTACGGGCTCGACGCGACTTTATGCAAGCCGTGTAAGTTATGCGTGATGCATCGATCTAACTGCGGAAAATAATTCCTAACCACAATAATCAGTTAGCATAACCACGACCTATAATAACCTTTGCTGCAGTAAACTGCGCCGCACAATCCTGCGTGACGACCACCACGACCACGACGACAACCACGCCCACCACACCGACGACCACCACTGCCTTGACAACCACCGGGGCATCCACCGACAGCACAACGTCCACAACACCAACAACACCAACGACAACACCAACGACCGGCACGACAACGGCTATGACCTGTCCAACGGCGGCGACGGTTCCAACAAGTATGGGAACATTTATTTTTCTATGGATATAAAATTATTAATGAAATAATTTATAAAAAAAATCACAAGCCTGCGGTGCAAAAGAATTCTTTGACTTGCAATGTAATTTTGCCATAAACGTCGTTATCTTGTTATTCCTCCTTCAGCAACCCCGCCCCCGACATGTTCCGTTGACTTCTGCGCCACACCCACTCCGACCATCGACGAGGCGAGCATTCTCTGGAACGACAAGTATTACATGTTTTCCGGTACATGATCGAGACTTTCCCGATCCGCTAAATTTGCCGTAAAACAGTTCCGTTCAAATTGCAGGTGACTGCGCCGTACAGATCGACGATCATAACAAAATCATCGGCACGTCGGTGCCGGTCAGCTATGTCCTGCCCGGAGTCTCCGGTCCCGTGAGATCCATCTGGACGGACCTAAAATATAAGATCACGCGTGTCGTCACCGACGTACGTGCTTAAAAAGAAATAAAAGTAATTTGCTTAAAATACAACGTCAGCTTCCGTCGAAGAAAACTCCCGTTCTGGTGGTTATCTACGGTTATACCAATGCGGCTTGGCGAACATATTCTGTTGCGATGAATACAACTGCATAATTATTTTTTGGGAATATCCTTGATTCCCGTCTTTCCTTTGCAGACAACACAGTACAACTGTTATGCCGCCGGGTGTTTTCCCGTATCGCCGATGGTAGACGATATCCGACCCCGCTGGGAGTTCATTCGCACCGATTCCGGCGGACTTATGGCGACAACCAGCCCGTACACAACGTACTCCTACGACGGTATGCGGTGCACGCGCACAACCGCGTATCACGCCAATTCACTTGACACATCTAACCAACATCTATAACCTTTTGCAGCGGATGTTCTGGCCTATGCAGCGGATGATGACTCGGGCAATCTGGTCGGGATCGGGAATTTGTGTATACTTACCGATCCTAACTGCAAAATCACGCAGGGATGGAATGCCGTGTACATGGTCAGTTCAAAGTGCTTATTAAGATAAAAAGCGACAAACAACAGCAAAAATAGTCGATTCCTTTGCACGGAATTTTTCTTATTTCGGCCATTCGTTAAATCATTGCCTTCTCCTTCGAAAAATTTTATAAATGGGCTCTCCTTAGCTTTGTGCTAGATGACAGTTAACTGGGTTCCCAGGTTAACTTATGTTAAACCTTTTAACTTTGTCAATTTACTAGATGAGAGCCAGATGTGTAACCGCGTTATTGTATAAGGAAGTAACGGAGCCCATTTATAGGTTTTTTCGAAGTACGCTTAATTTACATTTATGAACCGGTCCATAAACCGGTTTTGGAATTTCCTAACAAAACACAGCTTTTAGAAATGACCAGTTTAGACCTTAGACTTTGCTCATAAGTTTGTAAGTGTACTGTGTACGGAGTACTGTAAGCTTTAAACTAAATTACCCGTACACTGATTTTTTTTAAAAATAAAATGATTGACAGAAATTTAAACTAAAATTTAAATTCCAATGACCGGTTTACAAAGACGTGCATTTAAAGTTACTGAAATACGAAGAACGTAGCGACAGTTTTTTTTTGCCCCGCGGCCGGCGTACGACTTTGTAGCCCACCAGATGGTTAACTCTTCCGCAGTACAAAAGCACCATATTAATTAGCCACAACATCACACTCCCGCCGGGCACAAAGCAGGATTTTTCAGCTCGGCTGTTTTCAGTCCCTGTTGTTTGCTGGATGATGCACGGTAACGTAAAGTATGTATGATTAGGTGAAAGGCACCGCTGGGATAAACTATGTCAACGTTATCGGCACCGGCGACGACGGCAACCAGTACCTTAACACCATGTTCTGGGTTGCCACCGACTACTTTGCCTATTTATCGAATGGTGATCTGCTCTCCAAAGCCCTCCAGTGCCCCAGCCCGTAAGCAACCCCCATGGCATGCGGAGTCGGCAACCGAAATCCATGTACGATCATATCGTAGATGGGATCTTTTTTCAAAATGTGAACTGTAACTTTTGCATTGCGACCATACTGCACGTTTTATAAGTGTGACAAATTAGCCCAATTCGGCAAATCGTGCCATACTAGTAATGCAGGGAATGAACCCCTCTTACTAACTCTGCAGGTTAATGTTCTTATCGTTGATAAGACAGATTGAAAACAGGAGTTACCTTGAAAATACCGGCAATAAATTTCCAGATTGTCTGCGCGGTCGTTCACTGAAGAGAAATAAACTGTTATGTTATACTTTGTATCATACGTACACCAGGGTAGCCAACATGTCTACATTTATACAACTCAGAATGTAAATTTACAAGTGAATGTAAATCTTCGCCCATTATTATTTCTATCAAGCAAAAGCTAAAAAAGTATTTTTTTCACTTTGTTGCAAAACTGATCTACGTTTCTAAGCGATACTTTACCCTTTACTTTTTTGAAGTAACCACTTCCCAACAAACACATGCTTCGCTTAAATTCGCCACTGAACAAACCGATGGAAATTGGAAATCTATCCAGCAAGCACAGATTCATTCTGGGAGCGCGTATCTTTTATGTATCCCATGCTGTCGTCCGTATGCAACAACTTCAGAATCTTAGCGTACTAGTATCCATACTGTATTCGTTTCGTATCGCTGGAGTGTCCAGTTAATTACTTCAGGTTTCTTATTATTTGATGTTCTTCGTGAATCAGGATATGTGATAGTGCCGAATTGCACCCGGCTTGGCTACTCAATAAACATTCAGTCAATCAATTAGTGGAATACATGCGGATTACTTAGAGAATACTCCAGGAATCTTGTGGAATACGGCACTGAAAAAAAAGGACGTAGAATTAGTAGGATGGCTGGAACAGTAGTAGGATACATAAAGGCTACGTAGAAGAATACTGTGGAATACGACGGGATGCTCCGGATACATATCAAACATCAACAGGTACTGAAAATTTAACTTGTACAAACTGTGCCATAAGTGTAGCTATGAAAGTACGAACACAGTTGAGCGGTATGATTTTCTGCAAATTCAGAATTGGTACAACACCCGTGTAGACTTGTTACTCGTAAAGGCGTGGATGAATCTGATCTTTCAGAAACGAGCGAAAATATTGAAGCACATTAAGCAAAATAGGTTAAAATTTAAGAAAGATTTCATGCTTCTCCGGTTTTTGTTGGTAATTTCTCAACATCACAAATTTTTATGTCTCGCGATGGAATTCAAAAAGGACCTCCCATTGATCTGCAACGAACAAATTCATGCAACGATAAGTCCAGCGGTAAATTATTCCAGCGTAGCAACGAATAAATATGCTTTTGCTAATAACCACGTCAACCAAGCATTCCAAAACTAAATCTGCATACCTCGAAACGCTCTGCGACCGGCATTCTCCCGACAATCGGAAGTCCTTTACGCACAAGTGTCTCCAGGTGAATATCTCGCGACGGCTTGTCCCGCAGCCGTATACAGAGTGTCCCCATGATCACATGCTCAGGGAACACAAAGCATACTGGTTTATCCATATATCGGGCATGCATCCGGCCATGTTATTATAACTCTGATAAAATGTCGTCAATCAGCGCATAATTAAGCCATAATACGCTGACCGCTGAGGGAAATTTTACGCTGACAGAAGTGATTCGCGTAGACAAAACACAAAGAACCCGGCTGTGATGACGTTGTTCCTCTCCGCCGGTAGTGTGCACTGTGCGGTGTGCGGTATGCTATACACTGAATACATCTTGTATACTCGTAGATTCCTGGTAAAGGATTATAGGCACGTGGCTGCTGGTGTGTAATCTTTTGAGGGATTGTCTGCTTATCCCTGTTCCTGTTAGCGCCCACAACAACCGAGCATTATGACACTGACCCCATCGGTATGCATGGGAATAGTGCTTATTCTACAGGGTGCCACAGGTAACAGAGACAGAGTAATATAATTGCTATTAGAACAGAGTAATATAATTATTAACAGAGGTAACAATTATTATTATTTATTATTCGAGCCTTATTGAGTCTAGGTTTTTGGCAGTCGGTAATGATTGTTGAACTGTACTTTTTTAAAATGTATGGCACTTCACGCAAACAGGCAGTTTTGGCGCATCCCAGCATCTGCGCACCACCAACGTGGATGGGGCATATGGAAAATGGAATGCATCGAGTATACCCTTCTGCATTGATTTGGATTACTGTACGTTGATTGAAGTGTACTGTACAATATATACCGACACACCAGTTCACCATTGCATACCTACACTTAGTCTTCAGAGTATACAAGTATAGATAGTTGTAATTTGTTAATGTAACCTATTTTTCAGTTAATACGTTCAGTTGCAGTAGTCCTCTTGATATCTTAAACAACGTTTTATCATATTGCACTGTGTGAAAATGTATCACGTGCCCATTGTAGGCGAAGACAGATCAGAGAGAACTTCATCTTGTAAAAATCGAATTTTAACTTTATATATTTATTGTTTTTAATTTAAAATTGAAATTTATGGTGTTCTATGTAGCCGCGACAGAAAAGTCAACAATTCAGCAAGCTATCCAGATCATGACGGATGCCCTGTCCAATAAGATGGTATTCACTCCTGTGGACTGCACGGATAGTCGCTATAAGATCCGCTTTACGGCGCTGACCGGCGGACCGTAAGTCAAATAAATATATTCGGATAAATTATAGCTAGAATATTGACTTTTTTAGCGACAGCACTTATATTTAAGACTAGACAGTCGCGCGCTTCAACATCCAGCATTTCGTACTCACGTGGCGCAGTACACTGCCCGACAAAAGTAAAATATCCGGCTGTCGTACAGCGTACTGCGCCGCGCCACAAGCGTACCGAATGCTGGAAATTTAGTATGCAGCGTGCATTTTCTTACCGTCCTCATCAATAGAGGCAGCGCCAACCGCACCTCCTCATCCAGTGATCCCGGGGTCAATCGGGCGCTCCAGACCACCCAGACCGAGCAGATGATAGCCATCGCCCGTGACAGTCTGAGCTGCTCCACCGATGTCCACTGCGTCCTCAAGTTCATCGCCATCAGTCTTGGCAAACGGGAGGAACAACTGCGCAAGGATCGCGACCTGTATATTACCCTGAACCTCAGCAACGCTGTTACTCCGGTACGCTTCTACCTTAGGTTATAAGGTTATACAAGCTGCGCTCTGCTGATAGATTGTTCAATTCGCAGAGCCTCTTTACCGTTTACACGGACTCGCAGGCGTACTGGGGCCGGTTCGGCTACGACTACTGCAGCATAACGGTAATGTACTGCTGATAATTACTGGTATTGATAAGTCTCCAGATTAATGTCGTCGCCGTGGTTATTGGACCGCTGAATGAACCCCTGGAAATGTTAATATACATATTATGAGATTGAATCAGCTTATAGTTGTACGGTGTTTCGCTTGTTGACTGCAGCATAACCAACCAACGGATTACGCCAAACCCGGCACGGTGGTCTTCACCGTCCCTGCGGGCAGGCCTAACAGTCCGGGCTGTATACCGAAACTCAACAACATCAGCAACACCGACTGCCAGCTCATCAGCATGTTTTACGGTCTCAACCCGGGTTTATGCCTGCCGTGTACGTTACTGGCCATGGTGGATACTATTCTCATCCTGATACACTTCTACTGATCGAAATGAATGATTGATGAATACAATGAATGATGATTGATGAATACACGAAAACAATTTTCCTGTACTGCAGTGAACTGTGCCGCCCAATCGTGCGTGACCACTACGACCGCAACGACGACAACCACACCCCTAACGACCACACCGACAACTACAACTGCCTCGACAACCACCGGGACGTCCACTGACACCACAACGTTAACGACAATCTCGACAACGACGGCGTTGACGACGACACCGACGACCGACACAATCACGGCTGTGACGTGTCCAACGGCGGCGACAGCTCCAACGAGTAGGGGAATTTTATTTTTACTATACAGTTACACAGAACAGCCAAACTGAAAATTAATTATCGCAAAGGGCTACACTGCACAGTTTTACAGCCGCAGTCAGGATTTTCCGTAAATAATAATAATTTTGACATTAGCTCATTGGCCCTAAATACCAAAAAACCGATGTCATAGAAAGTAAATTTTTAATAAATTTTCGTATTGCATGTTTCAGCAACCGTGCCCCCGACATGTTCCGTTAACTTTTGCGCCACGCCCACTCCGACCATCGACGAGGCGAGCATTTTGTGGAACGACAAGTATTACATGTTTTCTGGTAAAAAAATTTATCTTCTACAGCATTCGCCAAATAAAAAGCTTTCCCTTGTCTCTGTTACAGGTGACTGCGCCGTACAGATCGACATCACCAACAAGATCATTGGCCCATCGGTGCCTGTCAGCTATGTTCTGCCGGGGGTCACCGGTCCTGTGCGCTCCATCTGGACGGACCAAAAGTATCAGATCACGCGTGTCCGCACCGATGTATGTTGTATTAGGAAGTAATTTGCAGATCGTATGACATTTGCCGATAGTGGTACTTTAAGATAAACCGCCGCTCCGGCAGCCTACGGTGATACGTATTCCAGTTACCGTGATAGGGACTACTACGTTGATAGTTACCTGGTACTATGGTGGTGCTTCTGCGTGGCGATCGTTGTTGTATATTTCGATGGAAATGCTGGAATCGCTTTGCAGACAGCACAGTACAACTGCTGGGCATCCGGCTGCTTTCCCGTGTCGCCGATGGTGGACGATACACGCATCCGATGGGAGTTTATTCGCACCGATTACACCGGCGCTATTTCCACGGTCCGCCCGTACACCACGTACTCGTTCGATGGTATTAACTGGAGCACTTCTTTGACCGCCTAATACGAATATAATAAAATTATCTGTGACCTTTTGCAGCGGATATTTCGGCTTATGAACCGGATGATGGGGGCTTTCTGGTATCGACGTCATCATTGTGTGTCATTACCAATAACTGCAAGATCACACAGGGATGGAATGCCGCTTACATGGTCAGTTAAAACTGCAGACTTTGGTATCTTTCCCATGAGAAACACTTTCGCTGTGTAATTCCTACCCTTTTCATAAAAAAATTCACCTGTAGTATCAGCACCGGGTCTAGCTCCATTTGTTTAAGGATAATAGCTGACGGAAGTTATACGGACATTATACGGTACATTCCAGTCTTAGTTTTGACATTTTTCTACTGTACGATTAAATAGTGTATTCGGAATGAACTTCTTTAACAGATACAATATCATTTTATCTTAGCCGATGCAGAAAATAATTTTATTTTTACGTGTGAACCAACGCGGAAAAATTTTGTGGCGTGTTTTATTATTCGAAGTCGAGTAGCAAAAGCTTTCTGCAGAAGGTGCAATGTAGTGGGAAAAACAACGAAGTTTAAAGGGGATTGGCAATAACGGAGCTAAAAATAATCGCTGTCTACCTTTTGTCGGGTACGGAAATTACATATGTACAAAATAGCTGTGTTACTCTCAACGCCTCGATTGTTCATCCTCGACGATATAATATCATGTGTTCAACAGGTAAAAGGCGCCGGCAGTATGAACTATGTCAACGTAATCGGCATCGGTGACGACGGCAACCAGTACATCGAATCCCTGTTCTGGGCTGACACCGATGTCTACGTTTTCTTGACAAATGGGGATCTGCTGTCCAAATCCCTCCAGTGTCCAAGCCCGTAATAATACCGATCTAGACAAACCCGGGGATCCGAACTCCGAATTACGACCCAACAGATGTTTTTAATGGCAGTCACCACCATAACATTCCTGTTAACGACTGCTGCGTAATTTTCGGTCATCCTGACAGCTGTAAATTTAGATGTTGACAAAATGTTCTAATAAACTGGCCAAATTCGGGTACCATACTACGCAGTATTTGTACGTACCATACACGGGCAAAGCCTTATTTGCTGTGCGGATAGTGTCATCGCTTTAATTAGAAAAATAAATGCAAAAATTTATGTATGTAAAAAGTTTTGCCATAACCGGTGCAAAATCGTTGGTATTTATTGTATTTAACATTACTTTGTTGTGCAGTTAATAGTGAAACGCATACTGAAGTACATTATGTGCTATCAATTTATGTACGATACAGTACATTATGTACTCGTATCTCTTAACGGTTTGTGTTAACGGACTCTAGCGGCGGAAAATTACAGTGCACGTGGATAATGTGGTGGATACATATTGTCCTACTCCGGAAACACGGAGTATTCAAATACACACCGGTATTTTGTAAAACCACTGCACTTCCGAGATCTACCATATTGACTATGGTATCAGGCTTAGCAGCATATCTCTCGGTCTATCGTACATATGGTAGGGCGGTTTACTTTCTTCGCGATCCAGTACCATCATGTAAATTAAGTTATAGAGTAGGTAGGTAGTACATCTACACGACAAAATGACATCAGTCCTATAAATTTTGCAAAGTTTATTTGAATTTCGGTATTTTCTATTACTGTATCTGATAAACTTCTGCTAGGCTGTCGTATAAGTCTGCCAAATTATGGCTGAAATCTGCATTCCTTACTTAAGCATTCATTAATTTCGGCGTTGTACAAGCGTGGCTGAGCAGGTTTGTTTATCGTTATTATTCGTTGGCTTCAGCATCAGCGCACCACAATACACCCGTGCAGGCCTGCTGCAAACGTACGTATTTGACCCTTCCAAAAATATAACTTATTACACATGGGAATTACCGGGAACTGTTTATAAAATTATACAGCAATTTTTATTTTCACGTCACGTGCACCAAAAGCCATGGCCCATGCATCCTGCTGCATAGCCGCTGCTGCTGTAAAAACGCCAACTGCAATAAATCGTCGATCCATGCATAAACCGCCACTGTCTGTTTTGGTCGTTCCCGGCGTTTTTTAATCCAAGCCAGTTGCCATTAACAATCGCCACTTCGACGTTTTTTACCCATCCAACCCAACGGCATCTTCCGGGTGGCAGCGATTTTTAATTACCCCAGCATAATTAATAACGGCCCTTCCAGAAAGCTGTTTAATATTCTCCAGCCGGCGGATGATTATTCTGTGCACTACCGGCAAATAAATTCCTTTTCTAACGTGTCGCTATATAAGTTTCCTTACCGATCTCTAGCAGGCTGGCTTCTGACAGTGCTGGACATTTATACACCTCGGTGACCTTGACATAGATAAAATCATTTATATCCACAATGACAGCCTGTTTTATTGCCGGGATTGTGCTGTTGGGATGTGTGTTCCTTCAAGGTTAAACACAATCATCATTAGTTTTAATTTTGTAATGTTATTCTCGTTATACGTTAATAGTCGCATTATAATATTTTCAGAAAACTATTTTTGGTTCTTGTTTTGTTAGTAAACTTGGACAATTTGTTGGTACAGGTGTGACGGCACGCAGTGCTAACCTCCGCACCGTCAATACCGATTACCACTTCTCCACATGGACGAAAGGAGTGGCGATTCCTTATTGTCTGGATTCGACCTTTTGTACGATTTTCTCTCCCATCATAAAATATTACACTGGAACAGCGTAGCTGATTTGTATCACGCCGGTTGTGTTTTTCTACAGTGCAGAACGAGGTCGATGCGTTCAACAAGGCCCTCGCCAACATTACCGCTACTATCGGCAGCTGTATGACCTGGACCCCCGTAGCCTGCAGTGCCACAACATTTAAGAACCACTTCATGCCCTTAACGTAAGTGGCTCTATGTACTTGCACAGCAGTGAGACGGATTCCGGCCTTTAATTTCACCGCACCATAAAATTACCATTATACTGATTTTCCGCATTTTATCCTATTAGGGATGGTACGACCCCGTCGTTCGCTTATCCAGGAAAGAATTTAGATCTGGCCAATTACACAAAGTCGGGAGTATACGAGCAGGTTGTCGGATTACAGCGTTCCGATAGTACAATGTGTTCCACGGATTATCGTTGTATCATGAAATGGTTGGCTGTTACAATGACCTTGCGCATGGAACACCAACGCTACGATCGCGACCCGTACATCACCGTAATAACGGCCAACTTGCGCGTTCCGGTAAGACTACATGACTGGTTGTGGCAAAGAATCTGACAAAATTTTAAAAGGTTTTATGCCGGCATCGTAGTCAGCGTACACCAAGTATCTCGCAAACGGAGAAGCCTACTGGGGATTGTATCCCGTATACGACTACTGCAGTATCACGGTAAGGGACATCCTGTTGCTATTTTTCTTGCGGTTGTTTAAACGGCGCAACTCACCGCGTGTGATGTCGCAGCATAATCAAGATACCGACTACGCCGTAGCCGGCACCAAAGCCTTCACCGTCTCCCAGGCCCCCTACTGCATCCCCAAGCTGCCGACAATCAGCAAATACGACTGCTATTATCTTACCAAAAATTATCAATGCCCGTCAGCCGTCTGTGACAGTCTTCGTACGTCCGCTACTCGTATCAACGACATTATTCGCTGTGCTTAAAAAAATACGACATTTATATCCAAAATAATTTTATTTAATGTTAATTCAGTTAATTTGATTTAATCTCCTAGTCATGTAATAATGTAATAATAATGCAATAATGTAGGAATGTTTGCGCGTTTGTAATATTCAGTTTTCTGGTTAACTTTAAATGATTTTTCAGCCGACTGTGCGAGCCAGACCTGCCAGCCGGCGACAACCACTCCCACCACAACACCAACAACACCCACAACGCCCACCACGCCCACCACCCCCACGACCCCCACTACCCCCACCACGCCTACCACGCCTACAACGCCCACAACCACGCCCACCAGCACCACCACGGGTTCAACGACCACCTCCACGTCCACCACGTCGACCACCACCACGACCACACCTACCACCACAACAACCACCACCACCACCACAACCAGTACGATCACAATTTTCGATAATAATATTTTGTAACGATTGAATTTTAATGGACTGGGTATCTCCTTACAGCCGCGCCCGTGTGCATCGACTTTTGCCTGGACACGACCAACATTGACGAAGCGTCCAAACTCTATAATGGAAACTACTACATGTTTTCCGGTAACCTATTTTAAGTGCCCGCTTTCTATGAATGCAGCGGGTCAAGTTAACCTCAAGTTCCGTATTCCAGGAAACTGCATGGTACAAATCGATACCAGCAACAAATTGGTTGGCCGTTCAGTGCAGATCAACACACTCCTTCCCGGTGTCACCGGACCGGTGAAGTCGGTGTGGACGGATAAGTACGGGACCACGTTCGTTATCACCGGCACGGTACGAGGAGCAGCATTACGGTATAGCCATTTTCATTTTCTTTCGCATATGACAGCAGTGTCTATTTTTCTAGGCTCAATATCAATGCCTCGGTACCCCGGTCAACTGCATCACCCTCCCGATTGTGGACACGGCTTTTCCCCGTACGGATTTCTTAGGAACCTTCTTTAGCTTGACCTGTGAGTTCTGAGTCGCGATAACTTGTTCACCGACATTATGTCGACTGGCTCTTCGTCGACCACATCACCAAGTCGACCGCCTCGGTTAAGAAGATCTGAGAAAACTAAGAAATTTATGACAACACCAAAGTGTTTTTAGGTTTTTTACGATTTCGTAGGTTTTTTAAAAAAACTCGAGAAAACCTAAAAAATCCAAGACTGTTTGAACTAACATGAGCTCCATTTTGTGACGGGTCGAAATTGTATCTGTTGGTCGACGAATTTCCGTCAACGAAATGGCGGGTCACACAGATGTAATCATGCTAGCTAGGAAATGACCATATTCCGTGTTGCAGCGGCCGCCCCGACCACTACCTATCAGAACGATGCGCAGAATGCCGTGGTCCCCATCTCCCTTGGTGTTAATTGCCAGTACACCGGCACGTGTGTGGTGGATCCGGCGACATGGAGTGCCATGTATACTGTAAGCTATTGGCATATTTTTGTTGGAACTGCCCACAACTATGCAAGGACAAAACTATCCTCAATTATACGTAAATGTACTGCTGCTGCCACCCACCGGAGCGCAGCGTTACGCCAGTACATTTGGTTAACTGAGACGCGTTCCATTAGCATCCTGTTTAGCTACAACGTAAAACTCCAGCCTGGCGACGGCAGGCTCTACATGAAGATGGTTCGAATAGCATGGTTTTCACTTTTGTATACCGTTCTTGAGGCACAGCTGAATGACTTTCGTGATCATCCGAGGGTTACTCGGAAAGTAATGATAACTATCGCACGATTTTTTATTGCATCAGCGCTTTCCTCGTATTTTCTCAAAACAATGTCCCTTAATCTCTATACAACGCAAACAGCTAAACAGCCACTCATCAAACGTTTTCGAAAAGAAATTAGGCGGTATCTTAGAGATCGGTGTACTGATATTTTCTTCCAGTTATTCATAATTTCAAACTTTTTGCCCCGCAACAATTTTTTCAAGCCAGGAAATATTTGGAACAGATAAAGGACTAAGGTAAACTAAGAAAAATAATGTGGAACGATAATTTTACTCCAGGCCGAGAAAAAAAATAAATCAGGGACGGGGTGCTTATCTGTGGATTTTCGCGATATTGCACCACACGGATGATACCGTGCCAGAAACCATTTTCTTCTGCGTTATCAGTAAGCAGCTGCAGCACACTCTCGACACCTTTCCTTCCATAATGATTAGACCCTCTGCTATTGCTTCGGGGTCGGAAAAGGATCTTTCTCGATCAGGGTTTTGACTATGATTACTTTTCGAAAGTGGAAACTCAAAAAATATTCCAAAATTTGAGCACCGTTGTCAAAACGGAGTGCTCGGTGGGAGTTCGCTGGAACCAACTGGCAACATCAGCAAAGAATGGTCCTTATTAAGGCGACAGAACAGGCAATACAGCATGAAAAATTCTACACTTCTCTCTGCAAATCAATTTTTCAAAATAATATCATGAAAACTGGCCAGTAATTAAGGCAACGCTTTCAGTGATCAGTGAAAAATCAGCGCTACCCAGCCATGTTCAGAGCCTTGCTAGCCGCCAACCTTAGGCGGTATGGCCACGGCCATTGCCCTATGATCTAGTTATGAATGCTACAGTTTTTAAAAAATCAGTGCATAATTTTATGATTATTAACTGATACTGATTATCATTACTTTCCGAGTAACCCTCGTAATTATGCAAAAAACTCTATCTCAAAATTTTTAAAATTTTTTCTAATAACACACTGGTTCGATCTCTCTAGATTGTGAAATGAATTTGGAAAATTTCAAAGTCCATTATAAATTTTTACTGATGCTACTGAACCTCTGATCCGTTGTGGGTTTGCACAAACGTCAGCACAGTTACGTTGTATACTTCTATAAACCCTTTAATACGGCACCCCTCCAACTCTTCTGTACTATATCCCGGCAGCCGGCTAGTTAAAAGTGCAGTATAGCATCTAGTGTGAATTTTACTCGTACTTATGCTGGAACTTACAGCTTATACTGATTTTAAGTAAAAAGTAGAGCACTTTTACTTAAGTATACTGATCATAAGTAAAACTCGAGACTTTTATTTACGCTGCAGCTCAAGTAAAACCCACCGACTTTTACTTATAATGAGTCTATTTTAACTGTTTTACTTAAGCTGATCAAAAGTACTCAAGCACCGAAGCAAAACTCAAAAAATTTTATTTTTTAAAAATTTTTTAAAGTTGCTGTCTGCTGCAATAGCACTTTGAAAATTTCTGTAAAATGCTGTCTTCCCACTGGTAACGTCGCCTTGCGAATGCAAACTCTGTTAGCTAATCGCAAGATAATCTTGCTTGTTACGAATCACAATTTTGTATATTCTTTTACTATTGATTTTTTGTGCGGCTGTGCCAGACAACTTTAGTTCTCAAACATAGGATTAGGGAGCCCCTGAGCTCTCCGCGTGGAAAGCCGTGTTCGTCCGTTTAAAAAATTCAGCTCTCTCCCGGTTTCCCTTCCGTAAACTACCTGAACCGGAGCCGTTTCCCGTTCAGTTCCGGCCCGTCTACGATAGAGTGGTATACCGGCCCAAGTCCTGGCCCGTTACGTCGATTCCGCTAGATGGCTCATGCAAGCGGAACCTGCTTGTGCAGTCGGTTTCGGCGAGCAAATACGGTCAAAACTGCTAAACAGCGATCCCCATCCAGTATTAAACCTTTTTTGCCTATTTTAATTTTGTAAAGCTTTCTATTCGGGTCTTCAGATTATCACAAAAAACTGCCTTTGCCTGCTTACAATTAGGCTGATAATTACGCTTCTTAAATTTTTGCTAAAAGTTAAATTACTTTAGCTGATGACTTTTACTTCAGCCTAAAATTTCTAGTTATTACTTAAGCTGATTATAAGTAGTCACTAATTTTACTTATGACCGGCTCAAGTCCAAAGCTTCTGCTTTTACTTGCACTTATTATACTTAACAAGGTAGAATTATAGCTTTCGATCAGCTTAAGTAAAACTACAAGTTAATTACTTCTAATCAGTCAAATATTCACCAATAGCATCTGCCTAGTATAGCTGAAAATGCAGCGTAGCATCTGTACGTACAGATGCTCCGCCGACCAATAGAAAAATTCGAAAGCAGTTGAATCGAGTGCAGATGATAAACGTGCAGTCGCCAGCGAGGACGGTTGCTCATGCTGCATTTTCAACTAGCCGGCTGCCGGAATCTGGTACAGAAGTCAAAGGGGTGCCGGAATAAAAGGTTTATCGAAGTATGGCATCACAGAGGACGCGTAGCCGTAGCCCGTATGTATCTCGGCCGGTCAGATAAAGTCCTTAATACGAAATCCATTAGCCAACACATTTTCTTTGTGGAGCTCCTCTAAAGACTGCCTGTCGTTATAGGACTGAATCTATGGCACTACTGAAGTTCACCTAGGTCGTTAAGACCTGAAATAAAACTTATTGTAGTAAATACATGTGAGTGCTTTTATTTGACGTCAGAATTATTTGTTCTTGCAGCTTGCTATATCACCCACGTTTGGCATAATGTACGTCATCGGTAAGAGTCCGGCCACGCCGGGACCGGTGCAGCGGGCCATGATGACCTTAATGCAGGCGGACGTAATAACTCCGGCCAACGCCGGCGCCGGTACCAGCAACAATTTGGCTACGGTCGGCAATGATGGTGTCCTGCTTAGTACCGTCCTGGGTTGTCCTAATGCGGGGGCAGGATAAACTGCACCTTCACAGCCAATACGTCAAAAGCTATAATTTGTCGCCTTGGGATGGGAAAAACAAGTCTTTTCGACTGTTTGGCTTGATCTACTTTTTTACTACTTGATCATGTTTGCTGGAGTGTTTTCTGCACAGACGTGTCGCTTTCCTAATGTAAGAAAAGCTGGAGTATAAGGAGCAGTGCTTTAAATTTTCCGATTCTTACATTTCTGGCACCTTTAAAGTGTATTAACAAAACCATTAAGAAAAGACTGCAATAAAATTAGATGCCAGACAGAAAGCTAACTGTCATCTGGGGATTGTTATTCAAGCACTTTGGTGAACACCAAAACGGACATTAAGTTTTAAGGTTAAACTGAAACCCTAGAAATATAGTTGTACGGTAATTATGTAGGATCTCTGGTGTCTGTATAATTATGTAGAACTAATAATTCTCCACCGTCCTTCTGGATAGATGAACACAGATGTGCCCCCGAAAAGTACGTTCGATATTATCGAAGCGCTTTTACTACCACTCGCACTTTTTCACATTGGGCTTAAGCCGCATTTCGTGTACATCGCGAAGGCTGGTACTGCAATATAATGGCGCATTTTCTACTTAAAGTGGTTTCAATTTATTATTTAACATAGGCGAATTTAGCTCGCTTGGGTGGAAGGGGCACATAGAACCAAGAACCCCAAAGACAGCAAAATAACTTACCGCAAAACTTATAAAAAATATTATATAAAGTACGAACAGAATCAAAATGGTCGGTACAGCAAGGTGTCAACTGTCAAGTCAAAAATTACATGACAAATGGACGTTTTCGCGCGAAGCGCGAAGGGAGCGAACGTGTTAACTGCAGAAATCGCTAAAAATTCCATAAAAAATAGCTGAAATAACTGAATTGTTTCTACAGCTGAAGTCAAAAACCAAAAAAACAGTGCGATATTTCATGTACAGAGTTCAGAAAACCAGTGAAATTTCGCGCGAAGCCCGAAGCCGACGGACGTTTTTACACCTGGATTTGCTAGAAATCTGATAAAAAATAGTAAATTATTACGAGTTCCTGAAAGAGCTCCCTTTGGAACATGGCTTATAGATAAAAGATTATGATCTATTCCATGATAAATACGCGCAGCGCGCTTCATGGAAAACAGTGAACAATGCACGGAAATAAATTGACCAAATATTGAGCAATGGTGTTAAGTTACAATCGTTGAAATGCAACCCCGAGGCACTTTCCCGCGAAGCGCGAAGCTAACAAACGGCTTGGCTACACAAACCGCTAGAAATTCAGTAAAAAATAGCAGTATCTGCAGTTTTTCCAAAGGCGGTAAAATTTTTCGAGCAATAGTCTCTCTCCCCTTTCCCTTTTTGAATTACCCATTTCCATTCCCCGAGGGACATGTGCCCCCGTGCCCTTTCCTTAAATTCGCCCCTTTCATATTCTTGTTATTAGCACAAGCCAGTTACATTGAGAAAATTCTGTAACTAAACAGCGCCAATTAAAATAAAAGAATCTCTTCAAAGCTGGCAGTTCCGCCATGCTCCCGAGGAAGGAAACCGCGTTGCCTCGTTGCATTCCGATCGACAAGCGTTGGCGTCGGGATTCGTGAGAGCGAGGTTCACCATAGTGCTGCTGCAGCCGCTGGCTGATTTCCTTAATTGGAACTGAACCGACTTTCCCCAGTGGCCGAGCTTCTTATTAATTAATTCTGTAACAGAAGTAGTGCATGAAATCATTTTCGGTGACGAAAATCAAAAAGATATATATGTGTCTGTAGATACATACTACCAGTAGGAAAACGCACTAAACTATGCATTTGTCGACCGGAGCGCAGGTACTGCATTAGGGTCCAAGGTTGAAGCCAGTTCGTACGGTGCTACTGGAGTCACAATTAAGAAAACACGGTTCCTGCAAGAAAATAAGTCAGTAACGTGGCTAGCTAGCTCCTACCAGCTAGCTCTACATTCCCAAATGGGTATTGGGAATTTATTTTGTCCCAGTGGTAATAAGAACAACATACTGGTATTGCTATACAATGTGCAGCCACGTATGCATCTGTATACTGTTGCGCTTACATGTAAACAAGTGTTTATGCAGTTGTTGTGACCGTTTGTGATGCTCCCTTTAAAATCTGCGAGTCGCACGAGTGTAGTAAATGTCATAACTGTATAAATCTCTGGACGGTTATGAACCTATGGTTACTCAGACCGTTTCTCCACAGTCAGACATCCCGCCATTTTGGGTTGAGCAGCATTGTTTATCGCGGATTGTTGTCAGCTGTTTGTTCGCTTCGCTTCGCTTCTACAATATTCGCTTGAAAGCGAGGCTTGCACCTCCCTTGAGACGTGACGTGCGTAGACACGTGGCGCAGTCGCATGTAAACGCTACCTCCATAAACGCAAGAGTTGCCGAAGAGAGCGAGATTGTATTCTTATTTGGAGGGCCGCTACATATTCGCACCGGTTGCTGTCGAGACACTGGGACCGTGGGTACCGTCCGCTATCGCCGTTGTTAAAGAGCCAGGCAGGAGACTCAGGATCCCATGAATTTATGCAACAACGATTATTGCTGGAAGTTTTAAGAGGGAATGTGGCATCTGTCCTTTGGACCGTGGGCGAAACGGATAGATTAAGCAAAATTTTTGTGTTTCTATTTCGTGTTGTTTGACTTACCGACGATACCACGTAAAAACCGTGTAACTGTTTAGTATAATAATTAAAGTACAATCATTGTAATGAACTATGTATCTTCACATACGTAGTTATCTGCGTCTACAAACGTCTGTTTTGTATGCTTACGGCTTACCCTATTTGTTAGCGTAGCGCTGAAGTTGTGTGGTTGAGCGATTCAGTGTCTGTCATGAGCGTGCAGAGTAAAAATCATTAATGTACTTAGGCAGTATTTTCCGTTGTGGATAACGCAAGATACGTTCGTTTATCAGTGAGAAACCTCCAGATTTTTTTAGATAAAATCAGTACTTAGAGAAGTAGTTTCTCGTGTGACTACTGGCTGCTGCACGGCTTCGTTGACATCAGTGGAACCCAAAGCGAAGTACCGGCAGTCGTTGGGAACTGACTGTCCTTTAATATCATGTAAACACTTCTTATTGCCGTCGAAACTTCAGAAACAACTAAATCTTACTGTTAAGTTTTTTCTCGGCAAATGATTCCGACAATCAGCCCAGTTTGGTAAACGTTTTTGCCACTTTGCAAAATTAATTTAACGATGCCAGTTTCTTTTGTTTTTCAGTTTAAGTTCTTCTAGTTAAGTATTTTACTTTATTCAAACTATATTACTAAGCAGTTATACTTCGTTTTGTCTCGTATTTCGGTCACTTAAAAGGCTGCGTTTTCGTATTTCGGCCACCTGGCGTTAAAATTTCCGAACAACACACAACAAAAATGCCAGAAATGAATGGTTTCCATAATAAAAACTTCGTTCAAGAAATTCGAAGCATAAACAAAAGAAATTTTAATAAAAAAATATCAAACAGAGAAATTGGACCGTATGTAATGTAAAAGAACCGCTCTTCCACGTTTACAAATTTAAGAAATTTTATGCTCCAATATTTTTACTTTTGCTTTTATAATTGTAGACAGATGAAAAATAAATCATGAAGAAAGTTATGCGATCAGCAAGTATTCATGTAGCGCGCCACAAGGGGTGGTGTAAGTGACCGGCGACCAAAATATATTTACTTTATACTGAAACATGTGACAAAACGAAGTATTTCATTTTATAATTTTTTATCGTTTACAGTCGATCCGGTAGTTTCCTTCTATCCCTGCTTCTCAGGGTCCATATTACAAAATATCTGCTCCGAACCTGTTACTAAAAGTGCCAGTCCCGATAAAACTACTCTAGTAAGTTCACGGGGTTCTTAACCGTGGCAGCATTACAAGTACGATCGCGTCGTGCTAATTTTTCTTCAAAAGCACACAGCAATTATTAATGAGAATATATTCTCACGGACCACTACGTAACTGTAGCTACTGAACCACCAATCAGAAATCAGCTAACCTTTTTGGTGCGAAGATGTCTCAAAGTATACAGATGACGGTACATCCTCCAAGAGGACTTACTTGTAAGACGATTGATCGAGCGAGCGTATACGTATTAATCAAAAATTGCGAAAATTTTGAATGTGAACTATTAAATATTTGATTCTGTTACAGTGCATTCTTTCATCAAAATTTATTATAAATATGATAACAATGTAAATTATAGATCCCCGTAATATGGGACAGGTACTGATGACGTCATCGGGTCACTTCCGTAAGAGACAGACCGACGGACAGTCAATTTTTTATTTCAGATTTAGAGAACCTTCGCTGAGCTTGATCAATAATTTTATCTTTGAAAAGGTCACTGTGGTGTACAAATGTCCAGCATTGTCAGACACCAGACTGCCAGAGATTTGTAAACAAACTTATATAGTGACACGTAGGAAAACAAACTTATCTGCCGCTATAGCACAGTACAGTCATCCGGCGGCTGAAGAATATTATATACTCGTAGCTTTCTGCGTTTCTGGGAGCGCCGTTGCTGAGGCAATTAAAAATCGCTGCCACCCAGAAAAAGCCGTTGAGTTGGAGGGGTAAGAAGCGTTGAAGTGGCGATTGTTAATGGCAGCTGGCTTGGATTAAAAAACGCCGGGAACGACCAAAACATACAGCTGCAGTGACGGTATACGCACTGATCGGCGATTTATGGCGTTTTTATAAGTGGTCAGCTGGATGCAAAGCTTTTGGTTCAAGTTCAGGTGACGTAAAAATAAAAAATGCTGTATAATTTTATAAACAGTTCCCGGTAATTCCCATGTTCAATATTAGGTTGTATTTGTGGAAAGGTCAAATACGTACGTTTGCAGGAGGCCTGCACGGGTGTCTTGAAGTGTGCCAGTGCTGATGCCATCAAATAGTAATCATGGATAAGCCTGCTTAGCCACGTTTGTACAGCGACGAAATTACTGAATGCATAATGCAGATTTCAACGTACACGACGTAGCATATGTACAAGCTTGTCCGGTAATTTCTGCCGGTTCAAAACAGCGAAATACTTACACAAATTTGCGTGTTACGCCAAGCGTAGTCTAGTGGCAATCGCTATAGCGCAAACTGGACGCTAAATATGTGCTATCTGTATCTTTACGACAGAAATTACCGGACAAGCTTGTATACGACAGATTTCAGCCTTGATGCGGCATACGTATAAGACAGCCTAGCAGAATTTAATTAGATAATAAGAAATACCGGATTTGCAATAAAATTGGCGGAATTTATAAAATTGATGTCATTTTGTTATGTTGAAGTACTACATAACCTATAACTTAATTTACATGATTTTGTACTCGATCGCGAAGAAAGTAAACCGACTGAAAAATATGCTGCTAAGCCTGATATATACCATAGGCAATATATTAACGCTCCAAAGTGCTGCGATTTCACAAAAAACCGGTGCGCATATGAATTTTCAGTGTTGCAGGAGTTAGGAGTATGACTATGTATCGGCCGCAACGTATAATGTATTCCCTCGGTAGAGGTTCGTTGTTTCGCTTACATGTCCAATCCGAATCCGTTAAGAGATACAGTGACGGCATACAACAATGTACTTCAGTATGCTATTCACTAAAGCAGTTTTATTTTGCAAGACGTTTTGAGTAATTATCACCATGTTTTTTGAAGTAATAGCTTACGATAACCTCATCCATTCTAAGCGCAAAAGCAAGACCTTCTTGTGCGATAACCTGTCGAGGTTAACACTTCCAGGAATTTTGTTTCAGTTTCTATCTTAGTTTATCTTATTTCACTTTTTTTGTTAAAATGACTGCAACGAGAGAAAAAACTATTCGGTTAAAAATGTTCGTAATAGAAAGTCCGTTAGGAATGACAAGAAAATTCCGTTAGAAACGAAAGTAAATTTGGTTAAAAGCCAAATGTACAAAATTCTTTCAAAAGTCTTAGAAAGTATTGATTCAACGAAAAGTTAGTTTATACCGGACATGTACTGGCCTTTTTTGGTCACATCAAAAAGGTATACATAAATATAAAAAGAAAAACGTTAAACTATAACAGAAAAATGCCGGACCGGAAACTCAGTTTATACCGGTTTGTACCGGAATTTCTGTTATTATGAAATGAGGTATGCCGGTACGTGGTGCCAAATTCGTGTACAAGTACAAAAACTCGCTTTCGCCACTCCCGATTTGTTTTGCATAGTTTATCGCATTTCGTAGTCAAATAATTTTGTTTCTTAAGTTTCTGCGCGCAAAATTCGTTTGGGGAGTTATGGGGGAAATCGTTTCAAAAACTTCAGACGTACAGTGTGTACCACAAGTGTAATTTTGATCCGATCTAATTCAAATTTCCGGAAAACGCACGCTAATATGAGAGAATCAGGTATCCACCATGTTTTTCAAATATTAAAATGAATATTTAAAAAATTTAAAAAGAATTGAAAATATGAAAAAATTGGCGGAAACCTGATTGGGTGTAAAAAGGATCGTGTGCGTGCATTTCCATGCAAATTCGAAGAGGTTCGATCTATAATTACACATGTGATAATCACGGACTTTATAATGATAACTACCAGAATTCTGCAGCGAGAACAAACGTACTTCGCCGTTTCCGGTGTGTAACTGCAAAATGTATTATCATACAATTTTTGCTAACACATCGTTTTTAAAGTTTACTTGCTTTAAATTCCCAACAAAGAACGATGGCATAACCGCACGGATAACTGTCAACAGCCCAAATAATATTTATATATTCTAAGAGTTATTTTGGCCCAGTTTCAGCGACGACTATTGGCTATACCACTGCGAAAAAGCGCGGTATAAAGCCGGGTAACTATGCTGGTCGGAATCCTTGTAACTCGTACTGTCGCTGCCACACAGGAATCGGGTTCACCGTTGCTTCTTATCGACAAAAGAATACGCGTTCTATCATCGGGCGTTTTAAGTTGACTTATCTGCCTTTAGAAGACTAGTGCCTGACAGTGCTAACATTTATATAATCGTGACCTTGAAATTTCCATAAAACCACATATAACCACAATGATAGCCTGTCGTATTGCTGGTGTTGTGCTTTTGGGATGCGCGTTCCTTCAAGGTTAAACGGAATTTTCCTTACTTCTTATGTCTATAATGTTACTCTCGTTATCCGCTCATTAAAATTTTCTTCGATAAATTTTATTCTGGATTACGTTTGGTCAATAAACTGAGGACTTCATTAGTACAGGATTAACGGCACGCAGCGCTAACCTCCGCACCGTCAACGTCGATACTCACTTTTCCACATGGCAAAGAGCAACGCCGATCCCTTACTGCCTGGATGCGACCTTCTGTACGCTTCGACTATCCCAGTTCTAAAGAACTGCATTTTTATAGCCCGGCCTTTATGTTTACGGTGGTTGCGTGTGTTCGATAGTGGGACCGGAGACGACCGCGTTCAACACGGCCCTCGCCAACATTACCGCTACTATCGGCAGCTGCATGACCTGGACGGCCGTGCCGTGCGCTTCCACAACATTTAAGATCCGTTTTCTGCCGTTAACGTAAGTCCTGCCCTATAGCAAGTTACAAGTTAACCGCCTCCCGAATTTTTTTATGGGTAATTCTCAAATGTATCATGAACAGCGATGGCAGTACCCCCTCCTACGCTTATCCGGGCAAGAATCTGGCTCTGGCCAATTACACACAGTCGGGAGTCTATGAGCAGATTGTCGGACTGCAGCGCTCCGATAGTACGCTGTGTTCCACGGATTATCGTTGCATCATGAAATGGATGGCGGTTACCATGAGCAAGCGTATGGAACACGAACGCGGGGATCGCAACACGTACATTGGCGTACTAACAAACAATTTGCGCGTTGTGGTAAGTGCCTATAACAGGTCGATCTTCTGTCTTCCTGTACCCCACTGAACATACTCACGCCAAAGAATTACTGCAGCCGAGAGATTTGACCGCTGAGGGCGCCGACATGAAATGGCATACAAAACTGAAAACACCGTGTTTGTGCATGTAGGCAGCGTACAACTTGTACGCAACGACGGATGCCTACTGGAGCTTGTACCCGTATGACTACTGCAGTATCACGGTAAAGGTCATCCTCTTGCTCGTTTGCATGTTGTTGCTCTAATGGCGCAACGCATTGTGTCATGCCGCAGCATAATCAAGACACCGACTACGCCCAACCCGGCACCAAAGCCTTCAACATCCTCCAGGCACCCTACTGTATTCCCAGGATGCCGACGATCAGCAAATTCGATTGCTACTACATTACCCGCAACTACCAATGCCCGACAGCCGTCTGTGACCTTCTTCGTACGTCCGCCATTTGAATCAGCGGCATTACCTGTTGTACTTAAATAAACTGTGTGATTTCCAGTATATTCAATCAAACTTACTTATACTACGTCAATTCGATTAATTCGGTCAATTCGGTTTAATCACCTATTAATGCAATAATCTTCAGTTTTCTAGTTAATTTAAAGTTATGTTTGCAGCCGACTGTGCGACTCAGACCTGCCAGGCGACGACAACCACCCCCGCCACAACCCCAACCACACCTACAACACCCACCACCCCCACCACGCCTACAACGCCCATAACCACGCCCATCAGCACCACCACTGGTTCCACAACCACTTCCACGTCCACCACGACGACGACCACCACCCCAACAACGACTACCACCACCACGACCACGCCCACCACGACAACAACCACGACCACTACCACCACCAGTACTACTGCAGATTTTTTTTAATACTTTATATTATTTTCCGTTGAGATAGTTCTAATAGGTCGGGCATCTGTTTATAGCCGCGCCTGTATGCATCGACTTTTGCCTGGACACGACCAACATCGATGAAGCGTCTAAAATATATAATGGAAACTACTACATGTTTTCCGGTAACTAGTCTTAAATGCCCCGCTTTTCTGTGAATACAATGCGCAAAGTTAACCCAGAGTTCCATGTTCCAGGCAACTGCATGGTACAAATCGATACGAGCAACAAACTAATTGGCCGTTCGGTGCAAATCAACACACTCCTTCCCGGTGTCACCGGACCGGTGAAGTCGGTGTGGACAGATAAGTACGGTACCACGTTCGTCATTACTGGCACGGTACGTGGAGCAGCATTACGTGTATTGTACTGCCTCAACCACTTTCCTTCGCATATGACCGCAGTATCTGTTTTTCTAGGCACAATACCAATGCCTCGGCAACCCCGTCAACTGCATCACCCTCCCGATTGTAGACACGGCCTTTCCTCGTACGAATTTCATTGGGACCACCTTCAGTTTGACTTGTGAGTTCCCGATTGAGCGGAGAAAAACTTAAGAATACCTAAGACATCTGATAAACTTGAGAAACATAAGAATCCTGTTAATTGACGGCTTAGCAAGACGCGCTTAGCTTGATTTTGCCGCGGGTCAGCGTTGTGTTTGTTTGTCTTAGTGACAGTCGACGAATTTCCGTTAACGAGATGGCGCGTCACAGAGATTTAACCCTGCTAGATACGAAATGAACATGATCGTTTTGCAGCCGCCGCCCCGAGCTCTAACTACCAGAACGATGGATCCGGTGCCGTGGTCCCCATCTCCCTTGGCGTTAATTGTCAGTACACCGGCGTGTGTGGGGTGGATTCAACGACATGGAGTGCCATGTACACGGTAAGCTACTTTGCATGTTTTTGTTAAAACCGCCAACAAATCCGCTAGGACCACACAAAAACTTCCTCAATCAATAAAAATATTGTTTTTGGGTACAGCCTATTAACACATTGATGATCATATGAGAAACAAGCAATTTTGTTAATTTCGAAATGAATTGCAAAACTTTTTTTAATTCATTATGAATTTTAATAAATAATGGTGAATCTTTTGCAGAGCAATCGTATTATTCGTATAGACATAGTAACGTTACCACAGTTACTTTGTACGAAGTATACGAGTTTCGGTGCGAAATAATCTGTGCATGCAGACGGTGATAATCTGTGCATGCAGACACCTGTTTGTTTTTAAACTTTAGGAATCGTTTTTCATGCCTTACACGTAACAAGCAGATGTTGCGCGCACAAACGGTCTGCACGCCACGTGTATCCGAAATCAAATTTTGGCCAGGCACTTAATTTGCAAAGCTGTTACCATGTTCTAGAGTTTGCATGTCGTCAAGGCTTTATATTGCTGTGCTATTGCAAAATTATCATTTTGGTTAAAAACGTTACAACATATAGACTACAATAATGCAATCAATACTTGCGTCTGCGTTTGTACAATACGTGTGTGTGTGTTTACCTGACATCAGAATTATTTGTCCTTGCAGCTTGATATAACATCCACATTTGGCATAATGTACGTCATCGGTAAGAGCCCGGCCACGCCAGGCCCGGTGCAGCGGGCCATGATGACCTTAATGCAGTCGGATATAATAGCTCCGACTACCGCCGGCCCCGGGACCAACAATAATTTGGCGACGGTCGGTAATGATGGTACCCCGCTTAGTAGCGTCCTGGGTTGTCCCAATGCGGGAGCAGGATAAACTGCAATTAAGACGTCATCACAACCAACAGGCTGTAGTTTGTCGCTGCGTTGGAATGGAGAACATAAGTTTTTTTGGGCTGTTTGGCTTTTAGCCGGCTTGATGTACTTTTTAATTACTTGATTATGTTTGCAAGAGTGCTTTCTGCACGGACATGTAGCTTTCCTATGAAATGCTGGAATGGAATGAACAATGTAATACTAGTAAACTTGCCCACATTACGGCTACCATTAGTAAATTAACATGACCGTTAAAAAAAGACTGCAATAAAATCCAGATGCCAGACATCATGCTTACTACCTGACGTTTGCAGTTCAACAACGTCGGTAACAACAAAAGAGAATAAAAGTTTAAAATTTTAACTGAAAGCCTAGAAATTCACTTCTATGGCACAGTGAAACGTACAGGAATACTTCACATTTATTCTTGGTTTACAGTTTAAGCAAATGTGTCCAGAGCGTGATGGTAACGCGGTTGTATGGGACGCAACATGCTGAGACACGGTGACCGCCTCCCACGTGCATGCGAGCTTTTAAAAGCCGGGAATGTGGCGCAGCTAGCCGAAAATAAACGGCGGAAGTACGCTTTGGCCGAGAAAATGAGATATCTTTTTTATCCATGCAGCAGCCGAGACGCTAGGAACGACCTAGGAGATGAGGAACTTTTGGTACGGCCGTTGCCGAACCTATCCGTTTTATCGGTCCAAAAATCCGCGATGCTACTGGGGAACCACGATCTACGGCGTCTCCGAGACAGCACTTAAACTTAGTGGTAGTTAGAGGGAAGCAGCAGCCGTTCTTGGAACACGAAATACGCAGCCTAAGACCCCGAACAACGGATTGTGGTTTTCTTTTTCAATGATTAAGTTTTTACAATTTCAGTTAGTGTCCAGCGCCGGCATTTTTGTACTAAAGGTTATATATACCAACTGTGAGAAAACAGAGAAATAAAATTAAAGTAAACACGAATGCACCTGGATCGTACGGCGCAGCCGCACTCGTATGGTGAGTTCTACAGTTTTAGGAGTGTAGCGCAGTGGCTATGGTGGCGTTGCTAAAGCGCCTTCACTGACGTCTTACAACGCATTTGCAAAAAAAAAGGTACGAGGTTTTTTAAGAATTTCCAGTACTCTGGAAAGAGAATATTCTGCTTAACTGAGAAAAAAACTGAAAGGAAATCGGTTTGTGGAACTTAAAGTTTCATGTGATTCATTAAATGACCATCGCCTGTTCATAGAGCATAATGGTCCACTTATTTGTTAAGCCACCGTGCGAGCAGTATGGTTCCTAGTAATTTAGTCTTATTTTTTTAAAGAGAAATAGTGCAAAAAAATCATTTTCTGTGACGAAAATCAAAAAGAAAAGAATGCGAAGTTTCAACATCTTCAAGATTAACATTCGTATTAGTGCCACACCAAACGGATGTAGCTGGGGTAACGGCCGGGATCGTCCCTGAATGTTCTTCAGTTGCGAACCGAGGATTTAACTTCATAATTAATAGCACTTACCATGAATTTAGGCGTTCCACAAAAATCGTAATTTCATCAGGGATAGTGGTTGAGCCAAAGCAGGTAGGCGCTGTAAGGTGGTATTTCTTTTTATCTCACGATAATTATAACTACCGAAAAGTCCACATCCTACTGTCTACGCAAAATGGTGCCGCCAAAAATATTTTACGTGGAGTCTGAATAAAGGCTGAATCCTTTTAAGGCTGAATCCAGCGGTTTACTACGTTGTAAATACACAGATTTATACTCCGTCGTTTCCGGTGTGTAACTGAAACGTGCATAATTATACGAATTGTGCCGACCCGTCGTTTTTAAAGTCTTTCTGCTTAAAAGACTAAGGACTTACTACGGACGATGGCGTAACCGCATGGATATTTGTCAACAGCCCAAATGATAATTGATATTTGTCAACAGCCCAAATGATAATCACATATTCCAAGAGTAATTTTGGCCCAGTTTCAGCGACAACCACTGGCTGTATCCCCGCGCGGAAGCGCTCTATAAAGCCGGCTTACTGTGCTGGACGAAACACTTGTAATGCCATTGCCATACAGGATCAAGCCTCGAGTTGACCGTTGTTCCTTATCCACAAAAGAATACTTGTTTTAATATACCGATATAAATAAGATTTTTTACCGGTCTTTAGCAGGCTTCTTTCTAATAGTGCTGGACATTGTACAACCGTGACCTTGACATATATATAAAATTGTATAGATCCACCATGACAGCCTGTCGTATTGCTGCAGTTGTAGTGTTGGGATGCGCGTTCCTTCAAGGTTAACCGGAATCTTCATTGATTTTTATTTCTATAATATTATTGTTGTTATACGTTCATCATAATTTTCTTCATTAAATTTTCTTTCTGATTTATGTTTTACCGATAAACCGAGGAATTTATTGGTACAGGGTCAACGGCACGTAGCGCTAACCTCCGCACCGTCAACGTCGACACACACTTTTCCACATGGCAAAGAACAACGCCGATTCCTTATTGCCTCGATGCGTCCTTCTGTAAGCTACGTCTGTCCCAATTTTAAAGAACTGTATTTTTAGATCTTGGTATTTATATTACGGTGGGTGCGTCACGTGCGTGTGTTTCTACAGTGGCTGCGGAGACAACCGCGTTCAACACGGCCCTCGCCAACATTACCGCTACAATCGGCAGCTGCATGACCTGGACGGCCGTACCCTGCACTTCCACAACATTTAAGATCCGTTTCCTACCCTTAACGTAAGTGTTCACCGAATCCCCTATCCCGGGACCATTTTTTATGATTTACATAATGTATGCGTGAACAGCGATGGTACGACTCCATCCTACGCGTATCCAGGAAAGAATTTGGCTCTGTCGAATTACACACAGTCGCAAGTGTACGAACAGATTGTCGGACTGCAGCGTTCCGATAGTACACTGTGTTCCACGGATTACCGGTGTATCATGAAATGGATGGCGATTTCCCTGAGCAAGCGTATGGAGCACGAACGTGGGGATCGCAGCACGTACATTGCCGTACTAACAAACAACTTGCGCGTTGCAGTAAGCGCCTGCCATTTTTCAGACGAATAATATATAAAGCACAGATATGTGCCAATAATCATTTGTAGTGTGATTTGTACATAATATCTGTCCAGAGTCCACACATTAGGCACTAGAATGCATCAGTGACTGTGCCACAAAACTTTAGTACGCCCTACTATACAACTATACTATACAACAGTACAATACAACTAAATATTGTACAAGTGTCAAGTGAATACATCTGTAAATCTGCAGCGCAAAAGTGTTCCAACATTTTAGGCAGCTTACAACGTGTACTCAACAACAGATGCCTACTGGAACTTATACCCGTATGACTACTGCAGTATTACGGTAAAGATCGACCTGTTACTGTTTTTGATGTTATTTCTATAATGGCTCAATTCATCGTGTGACGCCGCAGCATAACCGAGATACCGACTACGCCCAACCCGGCACCAAGGCATTCACCGTCCTCCAGGCCCCCTACTGTATTCCCAGGATGGCGACGATTAGCAAATTCGATTGCTACTACATTACCCGCAATTACCAATGCGCGACAACCGTCTGCGACGCTCTTCGTACGTCCGCAACTTGCATCATCCGCTCTGCTTAAAAATTACGTGATCTACCTATGTTCGAATTAAGTTTATTTAACATTAATTTGATTCAATCTTTTTTCCGTGTAGTTATTTTCAGTTTCCAGTTAACTTTAAATGGTTTTTGCAGCCGACTGTGCAACCCAGACCTGCCCATCCACGACAACCACATCCGCCACAACACCAACCACACCTACAACGCCCGCCACCCCAACCACGCCTACCACGCCTACAACTACGCCCGCCAGCACCACCACGGGTTCCACAACCACTTCCACATCTACCACGTCGACCACCACTACCCCAACAACGACCACCACCACCACCACCACGACCACGCCTACAACAACAACTACCACCACGACCACCACCAGTACGACTGCAAATTTTGCAAATTATTGATAATATTATCTTACTTGGCTTGAATTTTAATCGGTTGGCCATCTGCTTACAGCCGCGCCCGTATGCATCGACTTTTGCCTGGACACGACCAATATCGACGAAGCGTCCAGGCTATATAATGGAAACTATTACATGTTCTCCGGTAATTTAATTGAAATGTCCCACTTTTCTACAAATCCACTGCGTTACGATGGCCTTAAGTGCAATTTTCCAGGCAACTGCATGGTACAAATTGATACGAGCAACAGATTGATCGGCCGTTCGGTGCAGATCAACACGCTCCTTCCGGGCATCACCGGACCGGTGAGGTCAGTGTGGACGGATAAGTATGGAACCACGTTCGTGATCACCGGCACGGTATGTAGGGTTGTTTTAAACTGCCGCAACCATTCCCCTTGTCAAATAACCGTAGTGTCTGTTTTTCTACTTCTAGGCGCAATACCAATGCCTCGGCACTCCCGTCAACTGCATCACCCTCCCGATTGTGGACACGCCCTTTGCTCGTACGGATTTCCTAGGGACAACCTTCAGTTTGACCTGTAAGTTCCCGGTCTGAGTCGCAATAACCTTTTCATCGGCATTCTACATGTTTCGGCTACGGCTTGGACTATGTCTAAGAAATCTAAGAAATCTAACAAAGGAAATGAATATGAATGTCAGTAAATCGCGGTAGGAAATGAATATAATTGTGCTGCAGCGGCAACCCCGACCTCTAACTACCAGAATGATGGGACGTCGGCCGTGGTTCCCATCACCCTTGGTGTTAATTGCCAATACACTGGTGTATGTGGAGTGGATCCACAGACATGGAGTGCCATGTACACGGTAAATTACTTCATAATTTTTGTTGGAACTGCCAAAATAACATACGCAAAAACAAGGGTAAAATATCTTCAATTATGCACATATCGTTTTTTGCAATAAAGAGAAAAACGCTTCAGTACTGCTGTTTTTCGTGGAAAAGTGGCGGCAGTTTTGGGCACCATCCCGCTTGTAAAACGGCATGATAACGTTAAAAAGGGTACTGCTTGCTTTGGTTTTGTAACCTACCGGTATTTAGTTTCAAGTAGTCGTGTCTGGTTGTAGCCATAAGAATTGCTAAATTAATAAAGACTTGTAAAAAATAAATGAATGCGCTTATTTGACGTAGAATTATTGGTCCTTGCAGCTTGCTATTACACCCCAATTTGGCATAATGTACGTCATCGGGAAGAGTCCGGCCACGCCGGGTCCGGTGCAGCGCGCCATGATGACCTTAATGCAAGCGGATATAATAACTCCAATGAATGCCGGCGCTGGTACCAGCAATAACCTGGCGACGGTCGGCAATGATGGTGTCGCGCTTAGTAGCGTCCTGGGCTGTCCTAATGCGGGGGCAGGATAAACTGTTTTACGTCATCACCGTCACCACTCTGAAAGCTCTAATGCCGCTGTGTTGAAATGGAGAAACCCCTGTTTGGTGGTGTGTTCGGCTTTGAGCCGGCTGGCTGTACATACGTATTACTTTGTTATGACATTGTTTGCTGGAGTGCGGTTTGCACCAGCATGTGGAATAAGATGAGCAGTACAATAAAATGTTCAACTAGCGATACTCGACCACATTATTACCACCATTAGCAAATTAACAGAACCATTAAGAAAATACTGAAGTAGAATCCAGAAGCTAAATTAATACACTTAAACTTCGACAACCTAGGTATTAATCACGAAGACACTGAAAGCCTAGAAACCTAAACGAAATTTATCAGAGCTCTGGATGCTCACATAATCCTGTATGTTACTCCGCATTTCTTCTGGATGCCAAGGAAAATGAACCTTACCATGGAAAACCATACGTTCCATAAAATGAACGTATTAAAGCGTGGAAATCCATGAATAGTTAACAATTGGTCGATTTACTTCGCAATCTTTAATGCGTCGATAAAACAGATCGGCTGGCTGTGCATTAAGCTGCTTCTAAATGACGTATCTTCTAAATGACGCATTTAGAACCTGGAATGGTTTTGTGTACGTTGTTTTTCCTTTTTTAAGAAGCAGTGCGGGAGAGTAATTTTTGTGACGAAAATCCAAAAAATGTGCAATTTCCAAAACTTCGAGATAAAATTTTTATTATGTTTGTCACATCGAGCGGTTGCAACTGCTTCAAGCACCGGAAGTCCGTGAATTTCTCTCATCTAAATTTTTCAGTTTAGAGGTTTTGTGAACGATAGATTATGTTAGACAGGAAGGTCATCGCACAGGAATACCAGTTACTCTGCTGGGAATCGCTCTTGTGCGTTAGAAGCGGTGAGTCCCAGGCAGTCAAAATACGTAATGCGATTCTGAGTAATTTCTGACGAATATATAAACTGTATGATTAATCGCAATTACCATGAATTTATACGCTCTTTAAAACCACCGTATGCACTATATTAATGTACTTACAGATATCCAGGGCAGTATTGAAGTTACAAATTTTCGGCTGAAAGACGGGCAAGACACGACTGCATTAACGATATCCTGCGACGGGCTCTGGTTTCGGCAGGCATCCCAGCGCGAACCGGAACCTAGAGGCATGCACCACGAAAACGACACACGCCCGGATGCAATCATCACCTTTCCCTGGGCCAGAGGGCTGTGTTTAACCTGGGATGTAACTTGTGTTGACACCGTTGCCCGTTCTCATTTGGATCAGACCAGCGTAAAGGCCGGAGCAGCAGCCGACCAGGCCGAAGCCGACAAAGTGAGAAAATACAGTTCCCTGTCAAGACGATATGAATTTGCTGTGTCGGATTCGAAACTTTCGGAAGCTTTGACACATCAGCCAAGAAGCTGATCCAAGAGGTCGGAAAGAGGATTGAGCTGCAAACAGGCGAGATTCGCAGCCATGAGTTTTTAAGGCAGAACATTTCTTTAGCTATTAAAAGAGGTAATGCTGCTTCTGTTATTGGTACGGTGAAAAATGTTGTTTTGTTTAACAATAAGTGAAACTGACTCTTGATATTGTTGTTGCGTCATTGGAAATAAATACTACCATTCGGCAGTATATTTTGTCAACGAAATCTGGTGAAAAATGAAAAAATAGTGAACGGAGCGAACGTCAGTGCAAAGACTGTGAAAGATTGTGAACAGGCTGGTCACCAATTTTTTTGTCCCAGAGTAATGATAATTGATAAACACCGGAACAGCCGCATCCAGATGCCTATGCAAAATGTTTCCGGCAATATTATTTTTCGTGCAGTATATCAGGTCAATGGAGCGGCTTATTACGTTTTGAATACCGCAAATGTTGTGAATACCATCGTTTCCGCTATGTAACGGAAACATGTATAATAACACAAATTGTGCCAGCTCATCGTTTTTAAAATTCACTTGCTTCAAATCCCCGACTAAGGACGATGGCATAACCGCATGGATATTTGTCAACAGCCCAAATGATAATTACAAATTCCAAGAGTAATTTTGGCCCAGTTTCAGCGAAGACCACTGCGATTGCCACCGCGAACATGCGCTCTATAAAGCCAGCTTACAATGCCGAACGAAGCACTTGTGCTGTCGTTGCCATACAGGACCATTCTCGGATTTACCGCTGTGTTGATCATCATGTACTTTATTATATCGGTTATTTTCCTAGCGATAGCAACAGGTAAAAGTCGGGATCTCCTGGCTGTGTTGTTTTTCGTATCCGGTGTGCTTCGCGTTATGTCTCGTGTTTGTTTTGCTGCGGACCATGTTAACAATTGATTTTATAGAGTACGTCAGTGCGCACGAACCGGACAATGTCCACCCGACCAATTCGATCAGCATGTTCGGTCGCTGGAATAAATCCGCGATTTATTATTGCCTGGATTCCAGCTATGGTACGTTGTACAAGCTCGTTAAGAAAAACCATTCAGAGCCCGAATATCTTAATGAAATCCGAAGCTAGTGGATTTCAGCAGTACGTACAGTATTTGCCGGATTTTTTAAACTTTTCTAGTTTACTTTAAAATTTACGGTATGCTAATACATGTTTGCAAAATCCTGTTTAATGAGGTTTTGGTTTTCCACAGCGCCACTAGAAGTCGCCACCATCAATAATTCCATTCACGCGATGATGGTCGCCGTGCCGTGCTTGACCTTTATTCCGGTGTCCTGCAGTGATACCGTCTACAAAGTCCACATCACACCATATACGTCAGCGGCGTCGTAAGCCCGTTATTCTTTCGTACCTTCTCGCTAATACGCCACGTTGAACGTTTTTTGTCCTCTAAAGGTCTACCTTATCAGCCGTGTCCTTCAGCTTTCCCGGCATGCATTTGGAGATGGCAAAGAATTCCTCCGAGCAGGTGTTGTGTATTGCACGTGACACACAGAGCTGTTCTGTCAATGAACGGTGTGTGCTGAAATTCCTGGCGGTTCTTCTGGGGAAACGCAACGAGCACCAGCGCGGCGATCGGGATCAGTACATCACTGTCAACTACAAGAATCTCCTTATTCCGGTAAACGAACCGCCATAAAATCGAAAAAACAATCCATAAACTGGAATTATTTTTTATTCTTATTTTTTACCATACATAAAAATTATAATTGAGCAGAACCGTTGCACGATTGAATTAATCAGTAAAACAGCAAAGGAGCGATTGCTGAGCAAACGAAATAAAATAACGTCTAATTAATCTTCCATCATTTTCAAAAAATTTTGCAGTCATTTCTGAAATGTCATGATTGTTTTCGCAGTCAACATACAGACGCTACAGTACGGACGAAGCGTATTGGCAGCTTTTCCCATACGACTACTGCAGTATCACGGTAAGGCTAATAACATTCAAGAAGCTCCTTGAATTTGATAAATAATAAACGGTTTGCAATCAGCACAACCAACCCACGGATTACGCAATGGCCGGCACAGTGGCCTTCAGTGTGGCAGCCGGCGCGCGACCCGGCTGTGTACCGGCGCTCAACACCATCAGCAACACCGACTGCCGGCTGATCAGTCTGATGTACCAGTGCAATACATCCCAATGTGCAGCGTGTAAGTACAACATTATTTATATTTTATACTGCAGAAAGAGTACTTATTTATGTTTGATAATATTTGTTATTTCTAAGATTTAATTTGTAGTAATCATACTCGTTAATATTGCAAAGATTTATGTACCAGTTTCGGTATCGATTATTAACACATGTAGGGTTACCGGTTTTCATCGACTGAGGTTGAATAATTATATTACAGTGGACTGTGAAAACCAGCACTGTCCGTCCGCCGCTGCTACGGGTGTTTCCGTTGCCACCTCTGTCAGTAACAACATTGCTACCACGCTTACCATGGAGACTACCACAACGTCGAAGAGCATCAACGGAAAAATAGCAAGTAATAATTGTAGTGCCAGTGTTTTGTATTGAGATTGGAGACTGATTCTTCGTCATTTCTTACGGTTTTCTCATGATAGCCATACCTCCATGTGCGAGCTACTTTTGTGCCACACCAACACCAAAGATTGATGAAGCCTCCCTCTTATACGACAATCGGTACTTTATGTTCTCAGGTACTCGCAACGATTATTGTCGTATTGGATAGCAAAAGGCGTCGTAGTGGTGCTGACTCTGAGCATTCACTCCCGGTTTGGTTTTACAGGGGACTGCGCGGTACAGATTGACGAGAGCAACAAAATCATCGGCGAATCCATGAAGATCAGCTCCCTCTTTCCCGGTGTCAGCGGTCCAGTGAAATCCGTCTGGACGGACCAGATGACCGGGGTCACCAGCGTTGTGACAGCGGTAGTTAAACAACCTAAAATGCATCATTTAATTTCTTTTTTTTTTAGTTCTGTAATTATGCCAGTATGCAATGAAATATTATTTTCAGGCAGCTGAGTACGCTTGCCTGGCCTCCGGCTGCACGCCGGTCAGTCCGATGAACGCTACTGCCGCCCCGCGGTTTGAATTTGCTGTTATGCAGTCGACGCGGTTTGATGCGTACAATTACGCTATCAGTATAACAGGTAGGCGTCGTGTGTGCTCGTACTGATTTATCAACAACTAATTTAATTGAGTTCCTGGACGCGCGTACAAGTCGTTTGTGATTTTCACAAATAAAAAATTTCGAGGTGTTTTGACTCATTACGTATCTGTATATTGCGAACTGGTTGACCAGTAGACTGGAGTTTAAAATGGCTTTAACCCATACCCACCCGTATGCAGAGCATTATTTTTATAAATTCCACTGCATATCCGGCAAAACGCAATTCTAAGCTTGCGGACATTATTCCGAGTAGTTTTATTTATTCTTAAGCTATTTTTTATATTTGTTTTCTTTGAAATTATTAGAACGCTGCTTTTAAAGCATCTGAACTGGGGTTGCTTATAAAGGGAAGGGAAGCAAACGACTGTTAAGCTTGGAAAACGAAGCGAGGTCACGAAGCAACAACAGTATAATTACGATTACCAAAATTGAGAAACACAGATCACTGTGCGGCCAGATCGCAGGTCTTATTTACGAAGTAGAACTTATTTTTTATTTATTTATTCAGCCTTATTTATTATTTATTTCTGTAGTTTTCGTTCTTCTTTCGTTCGTACGGGACGATCCCGTACGAACGAAAGAAAAACGAAAACTAAATCAGGATAGGGACAACTTGGTCAGCTAGCTTCCTGTAATGTGCGCAGTCATGGTGCGCTCATGGTAAAGCTGGTCACAACAGACAGCCACGGCATGGTGAACCGCTTAGACAACATTCATCCGCTTTATCGTCAACAACGATTGACCTTTACAATATGTTGTACAGGGGACACGTATATCAACGAGCAGACGTCCCATCAGAAGCCGCTTAGCAGCATCACATGTCTGCCGGCAACCGGCCCATCGTCAACCCCGTGTAAAATTAAAGGAGCGTGGAATGCCGCATATATGGTAGGAATACGTATACAGTGAACCTTATAAATTGTCGGCTATCATGTACTTTGATAACAGGCTCTAGTAAAATAATTTTGTCACAGCTGCGATTGGCCGGTTTCAACATGGTCAGCGTTATCGGCACAGACGGAGCGGATCCGGAGCAGTATCTGCAAGTGATGCAGTACACGGGCACAGAAATGGCACCAGATACCTTTCAGTTTTTAACAACCGGGATCCGATTACGGGATGCACTGCAGTGTTCGCCGTGAAAATTTGCCTATACCTTACAATACACAATATCATGACGAATCTCTCAAAACCATGTATGGACTGTACAAAAGTTTCGACGTTCTGTATACAACTGTAAATGCCACGCACTGTAAAAAGCACATGTCCGCGTTGATGTAAATTACTTTTGTTGATTCGGGTGTTGCGTTATTTGAACAACACAAAACAACGTTCAACATCGCAGTTTACTGGATTGTAATTCGAGTTTTCGTTCAGCGAAGTTTCCAGCGAATACCGATATTCAGTATCGTACGTACGTACATCACGCCGTATTAAAACGGAACTATAAATCAAGCGACAAGCTGCACCAGAAATAATTTGTTTGTCAGAAAATTCAACTGCCATAGGACTGACTAGTGTATGAATACTGAATAGTAATTTTCCAAAGTCACACAAAAGAATTAAAAAAAGCGCAATTACATGTTCTTTTAAATTATGAAACGGTAAAAGGCGACAGACGTTTGGTGCAGCGAATGTGTCCTACTGAGATGAGTAGAATAACGACAGCTGACGGAATTTAGCTGCACTACAAAAATCAGTTACTGAAAGTGTTCTACTACAGCGCACGATGCTATAAAGGTGTCACATTCGGTCCGCGACCGACAATTTTATGGCCAGGACCAAATGACCAACATACAGGAAACACGCAACTGCGCATAACTCAAGAATCCAAACGCTCGCGCCGTGCACATCTCGGAACTGAAACCAACAACCGATATCTCACAAGGATGGGAAAACATCGAAAAGATTTTCGATACCAAACAGAATATCCTTTAAAAGATCTAAGAGAACAATAAGCCATTTTAGATTGTCGTCGGCAAAGCGTATGATTTGCGTGAAAACTGGAACCAAACCGTAGATTCAAATCCTGTGCTGCGTCTACATTGATTTTCTTTTAGATCTCATAAAAAACAACTGTTTGGTATCATCGTTCTTGCTTTTTTCTCATTCGTTTGACACATCGGTTAATGGTTTTTGTACGAAATGTGCTCGATGTAGCTGTTAATATCAGCAGGCGTTGGCCAGCCGGAAATGGCTGTTTGAGTACAAATTAGTGCCTGGTTGCACGCGTTTATATATGATTATATATGTAAATGTACCTAACACGTTCATAGTGTCCACTGTATATATTGCTGGTATTTACTGTCCGTGTACTGGTTTCGGGTGTGTGAATTGGTTTCGGGTTGGCCAGTGCGAGATGAGAAAATTTGTGTCGGGTAACTCTTTTGTAAAACATAAAGTAAAAGACTAAAAGTGCTTCTACCGGTCAAATTAACTAAAAGTTCCATTAACCATATAACACCGACAGTATTATCAGAAAAACTCTATAAATACAAACCCACAACATACAAGTTGATGCTGTGCTGCGTAATTTTCCCCTGCAATTAATAATCGCCACAGCCATCATGAAAAAATTCCCAGTTATTAATGGCACATGCAGAAAAGCGACAAGCCTTGCACTAAATTAATATCATACCTGCACCGCGTGCACGAAGCATAGGCGATTTTTAATGACATCTCGTTCCAGGAAGATTGTTAATGTTCCTGCTCTAAATTCACATGGCCAAGTACAACTAAGCGGTCCACATATAAAATATAACCTTGACATTGAAAAGAACGGCTGATCGGTTGACAGGAGCGTCATATTTTGTTATAGACGTGTGTGTGTATTTTCGGGAGGCAATCATGGCGAAATATTTGGTTATTACCACGACGTTGTTGGGATGTGCGCTATTACTCCATGGTATTTGTTATCTCTTTTCTATCTATTAATTATATGATTTCGATTGTTGTATTTAAGTTGTAAAATTCGGTGGCGTGATTAATGTTTGGCAAAACCAAAAGAAATCAATTCTGTTTTTAGGAGTCAGTGCGAAAAAGCCGGCCAAAAAGCCCAGTCGCAGCAGCCAGGTGCGCGCGATCAACATGAACACTAATTATGCTCAATGGAACAAAGCCAGTATTCCATACTGCTTGGACAGTAGCTTGAGTAAGTGCGCCTCCATGTGCTGGTGACCTTTATAACCTTTATGGCTACCTGGCTATTAGCCGATAATTAACACCAGCACTTTATCTTCGCGCAGCCACCGCCGAAAAGCAAGCAGTCACGGATGGCATCCAGACATTCGTTAACGCCACGAAAAACGCCGGTGTAGCCTGCTTCAACTTCGTACAAATGAATTGTGCGGACTCTGTGTACAAGTTACAATACCAAGCGCAGTAAGTACAATATTTTTCATTCACGTAGAACGGCTAACAGCTTTAGGGAAAATTGCCTCGTACATGGTGTCAAAATTGGGATACATTATACATACTGTTTACTCCGAATCACTGTTTTGTAATTCTTTATGCCATTCTAAGCCTACGTGATTTGTATACATTGTTCTCAAAACCGTTTGCGCGCACCATCCAGTTGCCGAGATATGGCGTACTACTCGTAAAACGCTTTGTTGTGTACCAAAGTCTGGTTATTACCAGATTTTCTTCAAACTTTGCTGTAAAAGACACATGACCGATTTTTTCCCCCGATTTTAAAATGAATCTGAAAAATCTTAAAATTCATTTTAAAATAATGGGAAAGCACTATGAACCTAAAATTGGTTCACTTTCGACTTCATGGTCATGTGTCTTTTACAGCAAAGTTTCAAGAAAATCCTTAACAACAACCATAAGTGTTTACAACCCGCGGCTGTTATCTCCTTAAGATATGTTACGTAAATCAGTACACTGGATTATCTATACGACTTACGATCCTTATAACAGATCGGGAGCCGCCAGCTTCTCGGTTCCGGGAATGAACACGGCACTGAAGAGTTCCGGAGCCTACAATCAGGCCATCATCCTGTCGCGGGACGACGGCTGCAGTACCAATACCCGTTGTGCGCAACGCTGGACCGTCTTCACCATGGGCAAACTCAACGAGCACCAGCGTCTGGATCGTGACCAGTCGCCAGGTCCTTTCATCGCGATGAATTCGGCTAGCATGTCGGCCAACAATATGACAGTATGCTGCGCATATGCACAGCGCTACCAGTCTATATCATATTGCGCTAAAATTTGGTTTTTCTTCATTTGTAGCTGTATTACAGAAAATACACTACCTCCGAAGCATACCTTGCCACTTTGGGTTACGATTACTGCAGCATCACGGTAACTAAATATTCTGTGCGATATCACTTTTCTAACCGTACAACAACAACTGTGACCTTTACAAATATTCTGGACAATTCCGAGGTTTTTGGTGCATACCTTAGCACAACCAGCCGACCGACTACGCCTACCCGGGCACGCAGGCCTTCACCGTATTAAAGGCGCCCTACTGCATTCCGCAGCAAAGCACCATCAGCAACATCGACTGCAATCTGTTACTGCAATGGTACAGCTGTCCCAAAGCGCCCTGCAGTGCAATACGTGAGTGTTGAACCTACATCATCCCGATGATGTAAACTATTTTGACTGGTTGCTCCGCAGCGTTGTGCTCGACGCAAACGTGTCCCACCACCGCCGCCCCTCCGTCTTCGACCACCCCGGCCAGCAGTGGCGCGACCAGCGCTGTTTCGGGCGCCACGGGTGCTTCCTCGGGATCCACGTCGCCCGGGGCGTCTACCTCGCCCGTCTCCGGTTCGACCACACCGGCTCCGTCGTCAACATCACCCGGCTCGACGAGCGCCGTCTCTGGATCGACCAGCGCACCTCCTTCCTCCACATCGCCCGGTGCATCCACATCCCCCGTTACCGGTTCCACGTCTCCGGCATCAACCACACCGGTGTCCGGCTCCACAAGTCCGGCGCCGTCCTCCACTTCCCCTGGCTCATCGACAGTGTCCGGATCCACAAGCGCATCCTCTGGACCGACATCCCCCGCCTCGTCTACTGTGTCGGGAGCGACAAGCCCGGCGTCGTCAACCAGCCCAGGGTCCACCAGCGTTCCGCCTTCGTCGACATCACCCGGATCCTCCACATCTGCGGGATCAACAGTATCCGGTTCCACCAGTCCTGCACCGTCCTCGACTTCTCCCGGTTCCACGGTGTCTGGATCCACTAGCCCGGCCCCGTCATCAGCTTCCCCGGGATCAACAGGGTCAGGCTCAACCAGTCCTGCACCGTCGTCAACCTCCCCTGGCTCCACGGTATCCGGATCAACCAGTCCTGCACCTTCATCCACTTCCCCAGGTTCAACTGTCTCCGGATCCACCAGCCCGGCTCCCTCATCAACCTCCCCTGGTTCGACCGTTTCCGGATCAACCAGTCCTGCACCTTCGTCAACTTCCCCAGGCTCCACGGTGTCTGGATCCACCAGCCCGGCTCCTTCATCGACATCCCCGGGGTCGACAGTATCCGGTTCCACGAGTCCTGCTCCTTCATCAACTTCACCAGGTTCAACCGTCTCCGGGTCGACAAGCCCAGCCCCGTCATCTACTTCCCCAGGTTCGACTGTGTCTGGTTCCACTAGCCCAGCTCCATCATCGACATCCCCTGGTTCCACGGTGTCCGGATCCACGAGTCCTGCACCTTCATCCACTTCCCCAGGTTCAACTGTCTCCGGATCCACCAGCCCGGCTCCCTCGTCAACCTCCCCTGGTTCGACCGTTTCCGGGTCCACCAGTCCTGCACCCTCATCGACGTCTCCCGGATCTACCTCTCCGGCGCCTTCGTCGACCTCTCCAGGGTCCACAGTCTCGGGGTCGACCAGTCCAGCTCCTTCTTCGACTTCGCCCGGCTCCACGGTTTCCGGGTCCACCAGTCCGGCGCCGTCATCCACTTCCCCCGGGTCAACCACCCCCGCATTATCCTCCACGAGCCCTGGCTCTTCGACCTCCCCTGCGGCATCCAGCACAACCCCGGCCTCCACCACCACGACGCGCCCAACAACTACTTTAACTCCAACCACCACGGCGACCGGCACAACCACTCCTTTTACAGGAAGCACCAGTAAGTAGAGCGGCACATAATCCGAATACACGCATTATTATGTGCTGTTAGACCACCAGGTCATGTGTTTTATTCCGTAACTTTCGAAGAATTTTCGGGAAAAGTTCTGACTGCTCTTCAAAATATAACAGTCCCAATATATACAGTAAGTAAGTTCCCTGTTTCAGCCGTTGGACCTTGCGTTGACTTTTGCCAGGAATCAACGCCCATCGATGAAGCCACCCGCTTGTACAACACCACCAACTACTATATGTTCTCCGGTACGGTTCAAACTTGGTACTTGATAACTTTATTTCGTTTAAATAAAGTTTATGCATCAGTCCCATTAAAACTGTTCTTAGGTGACTGCATGGTGCAAATCGATGAAACCAACAAACTAATCGGGCCATCGGTCCACATCGGCACCATTCTCCCCGGCGTCACAGGACCGGTAAAATCAGCATGGACCGATAAATATTCCACAACGTTTATTGTGACGGTACTCCCCGCATTCGGTTCGGCTGCTGGTATGGCAGCAGCGTAACAGAGGTTTCATTCCCATTTCTCTACAGGCCACGGCGGAGTATAAATGCACCCTGACGACTGGTTGTCAATCCATCAGTGCCGTCGATAGTCCTACGTTACGCTGGGAAAATTATGTTACGCCAACTACGTTCAATACATACAGTTACAATCGTATGTACCGTCACCTATATTTCCTTTAATCACTGGGTAAATTTGAATTTCATCCAGCATCACGTTTGACCTTTCAGCTGCCGGCACGTCCGCCTACACCAATGAGAACGGAGGCGCTGTGACACCGGCATTTGCTGTTACCTGTACCTCGGGAACCTGTAATATTGACAACGCCAACTGGAAAGCCGCTTACCTGGTAAAAATACCCCGTTTCCGAAACTTAATCTGAAAAAAATTAGCAAAAATGCTCTGATGAGCAACGATGAAAGTTTATCATAGCCGAAATGAGCACAAATGCTCCAATGGGCAGTAATGAGAAAAGGGGAAAATTAAAACGAATTTCTTTATACTTAAAAAACCAAGCCGCGGTATTTGTTGATACGAGGCCAATGGTTTTGTAGGTGGCAGGACCACCGGGCGTCAATATCGTCACGGTGATCGGGACAAATACAGCCGGTGTACGGTATCTGGCCTCCATGATGCCCGGCAAGCTCTTCAATCCGTCGGCCAACGCCGACTCCTACCAGATGATTGGTGCGGGTACTCCGCTCACCGCGTCACTGGGCTGTCCTAACGCGGCGGCTGGATAAAAGGGACAATTTATGTATTGTGGAGCCTGATTACAGAATAGTAAAGCCTAATTTATTCTTGAACATGTGGGCACGGTTTTCATGTGACCCAAGTTCAGGCAAGCCGCAAAATACATGGGCGACATCATGATTGTCATAAAAGATTTTGCTGTGTAAAGTCAGTAATTAATGCGCACCGGTCGTTTGAAAGAAAATCGTGCGGTATTGATTTAGGTTTTAAGAGTGTAATACTCCCCAAAAATTCGCACATCAACACAGAAAAAACCTTCTTCTCAGCTTGTCAATATTTTAATAAGTATAGCTGTGTTTTATTTCTGTTTTGCCTTAACGTTAGCAAAAATATCACAAGCTATACAAGTATACATAGCTTGTGATATTCTAGCCTATCACAAGATCTTGCTAGCGTGTAATACCGTACGATCGTATATTCTTACTAGCGTTATTGCTATAATATATCTGTACGTATATTATAGCAATTGCCGCAGTATTTCGCTTACATTTATTAATGCACCAATTGCTCCTACTGAGGGTTAATTAAGTACAGTAATTATTAACGGCACTGATATGATACCCCTACGTTGAACAAATGCCGAAACACGTGCATTAACGCACGCATGATGACGTGACGTTTTCGTTAGCGGCAAGCCGCAAGGTGAAAGCCGGTATTGTACAAGATTAGTGAATAAATGGGTTATGTAACAAACAATATATACGGCGGAGTTTTAAATTAGAACTTTCTGCTGAGTATGCGCTGGTGATACAGAAAACTACGGCACTCTATGTTTGCGTGCTCCAGGCACCGGTATACCTGACTGTGTGTTTGATGGTGGACTTTGTTTCCGATTCACCGAGATTGATAACAAGACAAATATCATTATGCACACATAACTCCAGCAGAAAGCTTATATAAAGACAACCCGCAATAATATATACGTTAAGTAAGACAGCTGAAGTGATCAGTAATTTGTTACGGGCTGCGAATATAGCGCTCGACCGTCCAGAGACATCAGCTGTGGTCTGGTAACTACATACAGACAATCAGCATAAAAATTAACGTGATTTAAGAAAATGGCTCTGTCTGGAAAAGTCGCTCTGGTTACCGGCGCCTCACGGGGTCTCGGGAAAGGTATCGCTCTGCAACTGGGAGAAGCTGGAGCAACTGTTTATATAACAGGTACGTGCGATGTACATCCCGAAGCAAGTCCGCTATAGAAAATACAGGGAAATGTGGGCACTTGGTTGTATGTATCTGCAGTTTTATTTGTGTGATTGTGAAACTTAAACAGAGAATAGACACTACGTTTTACTGCTGCTGATACAAATGATGCAACATAATCAGTATTCAATATTAATAATTGTCTTAAATAGTAAAGTAGCTTGTAGTAAAGTGCGACTAATTGTATAAGCTCATAACTTGTACAGTACACTGTAAATTTTAATTCTATAGTGCAGGTTGATATAAATCTGATATTTATTCTGTAGACCAGTAATTTCGTATGATACTAGAGACATGTATCTGTAATAAGTAGACTTACTTGCTTTACAGGGCGCACTGTTACCCCTTCCAGCGGAGCGGCTGGACCGGGAAGTCTGCAACATACTGCCGAGGAGGTACATATGTTTTACGAAGCACTTAGTTCTATCGTTCCTGTCGCAACAGTTTCGTTACGACAGCGATTCGCGATGAAAACAACGAATATGGTACAAGCGCATGTCCACACACTGGACGTTATTAAATCGTAGGTGACAGCCCGAGGCGGCAAAGCCATCCCGGTTGCCTGTGACCACAGCAAAGATGAGGATATCGAGGGCGTATTCCAGCAGATCATAAAGGAGCAGGGCCGACTGGATATCCTGGTCAACAATGCCTACTCCGCCGTCAATGCACTGCAGGATAACTTCGGACGGCCGTTCTGGGAAATTCCCGAATCCATCTGGGATGACGTTAACAATGTCGGACTCCGGTAAATAAACCAAATTGAAAGCTTAAAGTGAACCACGGAGCGGTATCGCAAACGCATAGGAATAAATATATTACGCAATAAATAAATAATACCAAAAAAATAAATATATGATGTACGATAATTATATTAATCTTTAGTAAACTCAAAAATGTACGTTTTTTCCAGCAACCACTACATCTGCTCCGTTAAAGCAGCCAAAATTATGGTTAAGCAGAAATCCGGCCTGATTGTCAATGTGTCGTCCGGCGGTGGAAAGCAGTACATTTTCACACCCTCCTATGGAATTGGCAAAGCAGCAGTAAGTTATAAATTCTGCATTAATTAATGACCCACAATATAAATACAAGGCAGAGGAAATGCGATCGTATCTTTCTCATCTTGATTTTCTGCTAGTTCGATCGTATGGCGGCCGATTGTGCTCTGGAACTGAAACCCCACAATGTCACATACGTTAGCCTGTGGCCGGGACCAGTTAAAACCGAGCTCATCCAGGAAGGACTGGAGGCCAAGAAAGCCGGTAAGGCCCCGGCATCCACGGAGACCCTCAAACTGGGCGCCAATTCCTTCGTCCACCAAGCCATGGCCAATGGCGAAAGCGCGGAGTTCAGTGGAAAGTGCCTTGTCAGTCTCTTCCAAGGTAAGGTTGTCTGCAGTTTGGTAGTGAACGTGCTTTTTAGTGACATCCGGTCTGTGGCGTATGTTTTGTCGGTTTTGCAACAATCTTTATGGTAAAAGTGTCATTTTTCTTTCCTATAACAGATCCCAAGATGATAGAGAAGACCGGAAAGATTGTCACCACCGCATCCCTGGGCGAGGAGTACAATCTGGTTGATATTGATGGTAAACTGTGAGATCGATGAGAAAGCCAAAAGTTTTTCTAAGCGATGTTTTTGTTTAGGACGCAAAATCAAAGATCTGCGAGGATAAAACTCCTTATTCTGGCTGCCGTGCATGTCATGCTGATCCCAAAACTTCGCAAGGCCAAAAATACTGTTTTTCTTCTGCAAAACGTAATGTTGAGCATGGATACTTAGAATAGGGCATTCGATGGAAAGTATACCGTACTGTGGTGTGTGCAAACGAAAGTACAATTCATATGTTTGAAATTTGAATTATATCACCAAGAGTACAATTTACAAACAAAATCGGAATAAAATCATATAATTATTTCGGCCATACAAAGAATAACCTCGGTAATTAGCCATAAGTGGATTACTACCAACCGTACATACAAAGTATACTGAGGGAAAGGCGCCCATATTCATCTGTTACATGCAGATCTGAATGTTGCACACCTGCTAACGCATTTACCGTACTAACACAGAGTTCTTCCCAAGCAGTTGTAACGTTAAATAATTCTCAATGATAAAAACCAAATGATCTGAATTTTTCCCTATGAAAACCTTTGTACGAATGCTCGACGGTCTGCATTCGTAGGCAGAACGGTTGCCCGTAGAAAATCTTTTACAATCGTTTCGTACTTCTTCCTAACGAATTACGCTTTTTATAAATCACCAGTTGCCGCCAGTACATTAAAATTAATTTCCCTAACATAATATGTTGATGTCTTCCCGTACACTGTGCAGGGCTTTGCTCAATGATTTAAACCTAGTATTAAATCATATTATTTATCATACTCGCGGTACTCTTTGCTTTGTACAACAAACTTAATTAAACTGGCCTAATTCTGCCGGTAGCATTGTAGCGTTATACATACAGAATGATCGATCAGAATAGTATAGATGGTCTATGGGTACTGAAAGGCGCACTTCCGGTTTGTGTAAGGTATTGGTAGTCAGTAAACTTATCGATTGGTTATGTTCGATCCGCGACTCGGGGCGCACACAAACTGCTGACTATCACAATGCGCCCAGACACCTGCTCTAGCTGACTGCAACATAAAACACACACAGATACAGTACGCAGTTGTACACAACTAATGCAGTGCAAAGTGGCAAAATTTCTCGATAATCCCTACAAAGTCGCACTGTTTTCGGTTTGTACTGCTGCAGCGCAAAATAATTTTGTTCGATATTGCTATATCTTCAGAAAACTTTTCGCGAACAAACTGCTGATATAAATTACCGCCATTCTCGAAACCATGGCTTTATCGGGGAAAGTTGCGCTGGTTACGGGTGCTTCACGAGGAATTGGGAAAGGCATTGCACTGCAATTATCAGCTGCAGGAGCCACGGTTTACATCACAGGTTGGCAAGAAATTTCCGTGCATTTTACATACATGTGACTGTTTCCTTACTGTTGCTAAAACCGTTTGTGTACTAGCATAAAGCGCACGATAAAATTATTTATATTCGTGAGAATGAATTACTGATAGTGTCCTACAAATGTACAATTCTGCCGTGTACCGGTCTCGGGAGTTGAGTGGGTGTGGAGCTAGTGGGTGTGCATTTCTAATCTGGGGTCTTTTTTTAACGCGAACCACCCTAGTAGTTGATCGGTACAACAGTAAAACTGCTGCCTATATAATTAGATAACATTTTATACATCTTTTCCTCCAAATTTATAGGTCGCACACTGCAGGCAGCGAAAGATGCAGATTTTCCAGGCAGCTTGATGCAGACGGCAGACGAAGTAATGCTATTTACGTAACATCTTTCGTATTATATTATTTTCTTTTCTTTCTCTGTACATAAGTATCCTGAAATGTAATTCAGCGCTTCGTTTTATTAGTGATATATACCTACTGAGTAGGAAACAGGAATTGACACAAATTAGCACTATGTAATAATATTATTACATTTATGATAATTATTTACTGTGGATTATTCAAAATTGCCAACCAAAACAGAAAAACATTACACTAGCGTGCTTGCTTTGCTTATATTATCTGCGTAGTCTGGAGCGTGGACATTATAAACTATGCAAAACATTGATACAAACTATACATTCAAAACTTTAGCTGTGTGCTCTGTATAGTAAGACTAAGTACGGTAAAGTGTATTGTAAATAGTACGGTATAGTCTATAGTGTACAGATATGTGATAATATCCTTGTGCACTTTTGACAGATATGTGCGCGAGGGGGAAGTTGTATTCCCGTGCAGTGCGACCATGCCAAAGACGACCAGATCGACGAGGTGTTTCGCCAGATCGAAATGGAGCAGGGCCGGCTGGATATCCTGGTAAATAACGCATTTTCCGGCGCGGCCGCCTGCATCCGCAATCTGGGCAAGCCGTTCTGGGAGCGACCGGAAACCTTCTGGGACGACATCAACAATATCGGTCTGCGGTGAGTGGGCGACGTACGGCGACATAGCATTCCGGCCAAAGCTGCTTACTGTGGCCATTTATCGACATTATCCAGCTTCTGAGAGCTTTGCCAGAACTAAGCTGCACTGGACTGATTATAAAATCTATAGTAGTAGTAGAATATGGTGGTCTAACTACTTGCACTAGAACAGAAAATACTTTTTCTTTCTAATACGTTTAATATTCTTCGTGTTGTCAACAGGAACCACTACATTTGCTCCGTTAAAGCCGCCAAAATGATGGTTAAACAAAAGTCTGGGCTGATTGTGATGATATCTTCCATTGGAGCCATAAAATATTCGGATACACCGGCGTATGGCATAGGAAAAGCAGCGGTAACACTCATAGATTCCTTGTTTAATGGGTATTATCTTGTTACCGACGGTTATATCTATATAAAAATGTTTTTCAAAAGCAATTACAAATTTCATGGTGCTAGTTGTGTTTTGCTCTAAAAATATACGAGCTGAAAAAATACGAGTATATCAATGTTCCCAGGAGTTAATTATTTTACTGTACCATGGCGGTACTTATGTGTTCACGCAAATGCAATTTGGTAAGGCAAAGTTTGACAAATTTTCCGGAATTGTATTGGAACGTGATGGCATTCCATAGCAGAATTACTTGTAAATTGATAAGTATCAATAATGATATGGTAGTACCGTAATAATATTATTGGTACGAGGTAATACATGTAATGTGTAGTGCGATCGGATGGCAGCTGACTGTGCACTGGAATTAAAAGCCCACAATGTGGCGTACATTAGCCTATGGCCGGGACCGGTCAGCACGGAAGTCATGCAGCAGTTGGCCGTCGATCAGAAGAACGGAAAACTGGCGGACAAAGGTCAAGGCGTCACCGGCTCCGTCGTGTACGATGTGGCGGAGATGCTGAAAGTGGCCGAATCTCCGGAATTCAGCGGCAAATGCATTGTGGCCCTGGCGACCGGTAAAATTATAACGGCAGCAGAATATGTTTATTCAAACACACGTAATTATAATTAACTATATTTATTAACTGTGAATGCCGTACTGGCATGTGCAGCACTAATCGCGTGCAGTAATTACGAGTGATAAAATTAACAGGATTTTGTATTTTACATTATCAGATACCAGTGTGATGGATAAAACAGGGGAGGCCTTCTCCACGGCGGCGCTGGGCAAAGAATACCACATTGTCGATATCGATGGTGCGTATATTTATATTCACTACATAAATATAGATATTTATTATATCTCTGTATTGTACACTCGTATTTTATGAATAGGCTTATACTCCTCGGTAAAGAATGCTTTATTGCTGTTATTTTTGTGTTGTAATAAAGCAGCTGCCATGTCGAAACCGCACGATTAACGGCATGACGCTTTCTGTTATTTACAGGACGCAGAATTGAAGAATTCTCTTTCGATGAGGCATAAACCGCTCCCGTTCCCAAATTTTTAATATTTATATATATGAATTTATTTTTCCATCTGTTGATAGTTCGCGTTGGTACACGGCTGTTTACATAAGCAGGAAAGGCCTTTAAACTTGAATAACTTGTCTGTATAACTTGTCTGTAACTTTGTAAGAACTGTATTTTACACCTCTTTATTTAAGCGAATTGGAGAATCGATCCTGCGTATATTTACAGAATTTATTAAGTACTCATGAAAACAGAACGAGGCGGAAACAAGAACAATACAGTATTAACATTGACAACAATCCCGTCATTGAATTTAACCGAAGAACTGGTTCACGGAGCAATAATATAATTTTTCTACGATTTTGAGCAATAACTTATCATTACTTCTATCTGGACGGAATGAATCACCAGTCCTGCATACCGAGAGGAACAGCAGAAAATAAATGAAAGGAACGATAAATAAAACAAGAAACTCAACAAGTAAATCTGTGGTGCGCATGGAAGCAGCGGCACTAGCTTTCCCTGGTCAACTTGTCGGGACTGCAGTGTGTAGTTACTTCCGGTCAACTAGCAGAACTGCTGGATGCCGCCACATCCGATGGATCGGGATGCGCGCTGCCGGTAGTACTGGCGGCGGTCTTGCTGCAGGAAATGATCGGCTTGTCACTGGGCAGCGGCCTATAAGACATCCACATCATCATACAGAAAGCGAAATGCGTCTTAATTTTTTGATTTTTTTTATGACCAGCACTGGAACCATCGGTTTCCCGTCATCAGTTATTCTTTGCTTCTTAGGCGTTGCGGTGTCGGCTCCATAACGTAAATAATTACTTGATTAATTATTATATTAAATTATATTAAATTTCTTTATGATTACAGGTATTAAATCAAAGACAGACAAATTATGACAATAATTATAAATGTCAAAAAATAACAACAATAAAATTGTGTAAGAAAAATGTTACAAAATAGTAAAAATAATAATCATTAATAAAAATAGTAAACAAACTTGTATAAGAGAAATACATAAAATAGAAAGATATTAAATAACGAAACGATTGATGCGAAAATTAAAAACCAACAAGTAAATTAAATCTCGAAAAGATTAAGAGGTAGGAAAGCAAAGAGTCCACAATCTGCATGGAACTTTCAGATCGTTTTAAGACTGGAAATAACCAAAACGGGACTATTATGAAAAACTGCCTCATAAAATAAATGCAAGTAGATTATTCACTAAGCGAACGCCACTATTCAACCGGAAGTGGCGCGCAGAAACTGATTTCGCAATCGGATAAAATAAATTAAAACATTTGATCTCCAGGCAGCAAAAAATCATCTGCCAGTTCAAAACTGCGCCATTGTTTGCGGGATATGCAATTGTAGACAATTAAATGATAATTATTCCGTCAATAACGGCATCGTACTTACTGCTTGGGTGAGATTCTGCGCTTTCTCTTCCGGCTACGTCGGGGACGATCGCCGCGCCACTCATCGTCGCTGTCCGTTGTCTCGCTCCTGATAATCAGGAAACATGCGTCACTGGACCACAAAATACAGAACAAAATTGAAGGGATATTTACGCTGAGTTATCCGATGCGCCGGGCGTCGTCCACCCGAAATGCCACTCATCGCTCTCCTCTTCGGCCTCGTGCTGCGCCAGGACACCGTTCCTGTAGCATTTTCACACCTCATTAAAAATACGCTCGTAACCTCTTTTTCAGAAGAAGGAACAAGAAAACGCGACATCTCAAAGAGGAACACAAAAACACAGAGTACTGCAAAATAATTCTACTACTTTGTATTAACCTCTGTAATTCTCTATAACCAATAATGCTACAATTAATTCTATAATTTTCAAAAGTAAATAATTCTACAGGTACCATCGTAATTAATTTTTTTTATTCCTTCTACAATTCTCCACAGCAAATCATCCCACAATTAATTCTATAATTATTCTCTAAAGAAAATAATTCCACAATTAATTCTATAATTCTCTGCATAAAATAGTTCTACCCATTAATTCGATAATTCTCTACTTCGACAGATGATTCTACATTTATTTCTACAGTAAATTATTATATAATTATAATATAATTCTCGTCTATAATTGTAATTCTCTAACGCCGGCCGTAAGTACTCGATCAGGCGGGTTTCCAGCTTCTTGACGTAATCCCGACCGAGGAATACCAGGCCCTCACCGGGTACTTCGACGCGTTTCTCCACGGGCATTCGCGATCTACAAGAACACAATACAACACAGTTCAGACGAAAAAAATTATTTTCGGAAAATACAACAGCAGTCAACGGGATAAAGCAGTTCTTTAATTCAACAACTGAGTAAGAGCTGTCTGAAGAGCACGTAAAACATTACAATATGCCCACAAAGTTGACAATTTAAGGCGAAATATACGAGAAAATTAAAATAATCACGTTAGAAAATTTTCAGACAATATTGCGTTGTACATAATGATCACTGGCGTTTGCGAATTTCTGCTGAGGGCGCTTTACTGATATTTACGGTGCAATTTAGTGAATTTACAGAATGTTTTTAGAGCGTAACGTTTCCACGATGAAACGACTCAGGGAAAAGTTCAAATAAATTTTCCCATTTTCTATAATTTTAAATTGTATGAATTTTACACTTTCATAATTCGAAAATTGCAGGTGATGGATAAATCTGAACCGCTTACAAAATACCTTCATTGACAAAAACTGAATTATTTTCAAAGGAAATATTATTTCTGTCAGCACGGCTAGTCGGATTTACGGCTATTTAATTCAAACAACTGGCTGTTGAGAAAAATCTATAACATTTTGCAGAGCACCTTACACATGATTAAGCTTACAGGACATTCTGATTATGTAGTCCGACAATGCAGAAGACCTCCTCATCCGTCATGGTATGGCGATCATACAGATGCTTCTCGTCCACGGTCTCCTGGTAGAACTTACTGCAGCGCATATAACAGATTCCGTGCAGCGCATATTGAGCAGCAGCTGTACTGCGTAATGCGTACTAAGCACTGCCTACCAAGTCTTACCCACTCTTTTGGGATTTCCATGCGTATCGCACATCGTACACGGGGAACTGCACGGTGCGCTTGACACCCGCGGCGCCTTCGTCCAGATCATCGCAGCGCAGACGCAGCGAACGCACACAGAGAACCTGGAAAACCAAGGATGGTGCTCACGTACAGCGAGTATGGTGCTGCTGGTGTGGTGCTGCATCTTACCTTGGCTTCGTACACCAGCCACTGGTCGATGTTGGGGGGTTTGCAAAATGTCCACAATAGATCCCCTACCAAAAATCGTAGATATGAAAATCACTTGAGAGAAGTCTGTGCAAAACAGCAGTGCGCAGTCTAATGACGAGAAATAGTCACGCTCTGCAGCGATGATAACATGGAACGGAGCCATCTGCCATAGGTGGGTACTAGGTATACCTTTCTTGTACAGTGGTGCAAATTGATACTGGGGACTGAAATAGAGATCCAGACGTCGCTTGTCAATGATGCGACACATTTCCAATAAGGCCAACACACAAACAAATATACGGCTTCCAGAGAAAGGAAGGATTCGCTCTACAGGATTCGCTGCAGTACTCCAGAATCCAGATGCAACACACACTGTTAAGCCAGCAGCCTAGCACTGCGTACCAGCGGGCAGTGTTGCAGAAGTAAAGCTTAAGCGATTATTCGACATGCAGCATAAAAAAGGACAACTACATAGTAACTATCAATATCGTAGAAATTCCCCATGTCGAGATTCCTGGAGAGCAGTTGGAAGTTGGAACTTGGGACTGCATCATGAGAAAACGGAAAACGATCAAAAAATTGGTTAAAATGTACAGAATAAAGCCAGTTCGACTGCTTTCGAACACGGAGCATAGAGCCTAGAGCCCGGCACGAGCAGCAGAAGTGCTGCTCGGCGCGCTCGTTTTCACTTGCCAAAACTTTCCGCTCGTTCAGCTCGCTCGCGGCCGAACCGCCGCTCGCTCGGCTCGCTCGTTTTTCAATTTTACCTTGTTGTTGCTCGCTCGACTCGATCGTATTCTTATTTTTGCAAATCGGCTCGCTCGGGAGCGGAGTTAATTTAACGTTTCAAATTTTTTTGCGCGAATTAGATATTCCAAAATTTTAGTCTCACCAAAAAGCAAAATCTTAGTCAAAAAAGGATATCTAAAATTACTTCTCTTCCACATCGGCAGTTAATTTTTTCTTCGTTTTTTCGCTGACAGCTTTCTGCAGTTCGAACTGATTCCCATTTTCTTGTGTATTTTGAAATGCAATAAAAATGTTTGAAATGTTTACCAGGCAATAAAGGAATTAAGAAACGGGTTCAATAATGTCTCTTTGTTGGTTACGGATTATCGTTACTTAGTCCCGACTCCCGAGTCCAACATATCAAGGAAAAATTTAGTAAACTAGTTCGCGCGAAGCGCGAAGGTGACGGTGATTTACGACCCTTTTCAGCTTGGTCAAGCTAATTTTTACGCAGGAAACTCTTTCAGTTCGCATAAAGTCAGCCTATAAGCTCGTGATCGCTCGCACCCGGCGATCCCGCTCGCTCGGCTCGCTCGCATATTTTTTTCCTGTTGCTCGGCTCGTTCATAAATTTGCAAAACAGCGCCTGCTCGCTCGAAGTGCTCGCGAGCACCGAACGCTCGCGAGCCGAGCCGAGCTGCTCGGCTCGTGCCGGGCTCTAATAGAGCCCAAGCGACTTCCGGAGCGCTGGCATATCGCACTGTGCAGTACAATACAATACTAATGCATACGGAAGTACAGATACGAGCTAAAAGTACTCGTACAATAAAATAATTACTTGTACAAAACAAGTACATTTAAACGAATTAAAGCGATAAAATTAATGGTGCCTAGAATCTGTAGAGTGAAAATAATTAACAGGGAGTTACTGTACTTATAAAATAGGGCGAAATTATAAGTGCTGGGCCTTATTTAAAATGATTAATTAATTTGAATTTAAAAAATTAATTTTTAACATTTTACAATTTATCCGATCAGTTCTTCACCTAACATTTGAATTTGAATAATAATAATAAAATAATTTCAAATCGCTTGAAGTCAGCCGGTCTAATTCTGTAATGTGAAGTTTGAAATTTGAAAAAAAATTAATTATTGCAATTCAAACCTAGAATGTACAGGTAAAGTACCGGATACGTATGAAGTATAAAAACATATATTGTGTACAGTCTCTTCTCATGTTAACTGGGACAAATTCTTCATCTGATTGTACTATACTGAGTGGTTCTCGTTGTTGTGCATATTGAAAAATAAAAGCACATAAAAATATGCTTGCCTGCTCCTTTAAATGCCATCAACAGCAGTTTCAAGTATTACAAGGCAGAGTGGAGAAAATTAGTATTCAAATTAATATTCAAACTCCAAAATTCATTAATATTCAAACTCCAAAACTTTTTGTACTGTTTATCTGGACATCGATGCAGTCGCATCTTGCCATTGTATTCGTATTTCTACAGTATTGATAGTTACTGTGTAGTCGTCCTTTTTTATGCTGCATGTCGAATATTCGCTTTACTTCTGCATCCAATCGTACGTTTGCTCATGCACAACTTTAGAACTACATGTATGTATTTACCGTTTGTATCGCTTATTATAATATTGTAGGTACAAAGAATAAGTGTTTGGTATGTACTTACAATTGTATTTATGCATGGTACAGTACTTCATTTTCATCGTGCTGCGTGCCTAACCTTGTACTGTACCTACTGTTTTATAAGACACAGTGATTCGATTGCAAGATGGTGTAAGTTTTATCATACGCGTACTGCGCTACAAAATAAAGAGTATTATTATTTGCAATTGTTTTTGGCACAATATCTAAATTTGAATTTTCGCTTAATTTTTAGCGATACGGGAACATACACAACATACTTGTACAGGTGCTTGTTATTTGTGCAGCTCATTTTAAATTATTTATTACATCAAAAAATTCTGGTACAGTATGTTATAAAATTAAAAAGAATATACACGAAATTATTAGTGTACAGGTAAATAACGCAGCCATTTAATTTTACGATGGTCACAGGAAGTTGCCGTGACTTTGTTACCGTAAACTAGAGTGGTACTCACCTCGTATTCGCACCATTGTACGGGCGAACAGTAACCACGAAAGTTTTTTGTTATAAGATTGTATTTTATAGTCGTATAATATTGTGCTGGAGTTAAGATATTATACACGATGACGATTTCTAAGAGAGCCATTATTCGATAGCTGGTTGGTGTTGAAAAAGCACGATAAACACTGTAATTTCCGGATGCAAGCGTCTGCCGATTGGTGCGTTTGGAGAGCGATTCCACGTCAGTAGCCGAATGATGGCCGCAGGGAAGAAACTGCATACCTTAAAATTTCTACCGTTGGTGTTTTCCCATAATACTATAACCTCGATGTGGTTGTTGCATATAAACCATAGTAGCGATATTATATTGATAACGAGAAAGTATTTCGCTTTCTCACTAAATATACATATTCTGAAAAACACAGCGTACTGCATGGCAGAGTATAACTGCGACGATAACAGTATCCCCGTTTACATCTGCCAAAGGTATAATTATGCGTGTTTTGTAAATACTTTTTATTTCTTATTGAGGACGAAAAGAGGAATATGGTGTTCGGTTTCCGGGGGTTGTGGTTACATAAAAAACCGGGGGTTCTGGTTACATACATGGCCGAAATGTGGAAATGCCGAGTCCCTTCAAGAACGGAGTGCTGAGGCGGTTGCTGCAGTCGGTAAGGTACAAGTATTTATTACTGTATTTATGGTGTTATACGTGATCGGCTTGATAGTTATTACATGTATTGGTCTACATAGTCTAATTCGTACAGGATGTACAAATCAATTAAATTTATTTTAGGGCAGTATGTAATATTAATGTGAAACTTGTATATGTATATACGAGGAAAAAAATACGATATATCATATGTGTACAAATTACTTTACAAGACCGCGAAGCTGTTATACTGTACGGAAACGCACAAAAACCGGCAAAGAGTTATTTTAACCAAAATTTTGAGAAGCAAACTACATAAGTACGAAATTTAAATTTTTACTTAGGCAATTAAATGTAACACTGGTTTTTTATTGCATTTATATAAATTCACTCTAAAGGCTCGTCATTATCATCAATAAGGCCCAACAGGTGCTGTTTAGCATTTGCTTTTGAAGATACAAAATTACGAGTACAACGTATTATACAACAGCATGTATCGTACGAAACAGCCCTAACTCATTTCCGCCACGCAAATTTTCTCTTTATATTTCATGCGAGTATTAATTAAAAGTAGGGTAGCAAAAAATAAGTACCGGCAAGTGCAGTGTCCCCTCACCTCACTTAACTTTTCGTTCAAAATAAAATAAAATATGAAATATTCTGATTAGTTAAAATGTGGTACAGTCCCGCCCTATTGAACGACTATTGAATCATCTCGTAACGAACGGCAAATGTTCGTTACTATAACGCTCTGGCAGTCGGTACCGGTTACAATTTTTCGTAAAACTGGCTCTTCTCAGTCTTCTGCCGGTAAAATAACGTCGACTCATGCAGCTACAGCAGCACATACACTTTTCTGCTACGAAAACCTGTGTAAACGGGCGTCGCTATGGCGTAATAAAAGGTATCTGCTCAGGAAGACTTCAGTTTTGATGTGCGAAACGTAACTAAATAGATGCGGCAGTCTGTTTTTATTTACTGCCACCCGATCAGCAAGCCGGTGGTTTACATATAATTATTACAATACCTGTAGTTTACATAATTTAATTTCGAACATACAATATTTATATACCGTTTTTATGCTACCGAGCTTACGCAGAAATTCTTTTGAATAGAGTTTATGACACGTTTCATTTGACTGTTACAGAAATCAGAACGTGAGCCATGCGCTTTCGCAGCATATAGAATATTACCTTGACGTAAGTACATTTCCTGTGTGTTTTACCATTGCCGTTGCTCTAGACCGTGTCGACGTACATATGTAGAAAATCGTAGAAGCTTGGCGCAGACCGGGCAGTCGCCCAATCGACTTTATCGGGCAGCACCTACTCAATTTCGCAGTCCACGCACTGTACATGTATGGAGGTATAAGAAAAAAATATATTATTTATGTAGAACCAGTTTTTCTTTAGTGTAGATGGCTGTACAGACTGTACAGTAGCGGATTTTTGTTTTATATACAGTACTTAATGCTAATCTAACTCTGAACCTGCAACTTAATGCAAGACACAATACAGAGTAGTTATTATACCGTTGCAAAAAAAAAACTTCCGAATGGTGCAACAAGGGCGGAAATCCCGGTCTTCATAGGTCATGAAGTATCGCAGTCAAACTTTTAGCAACAGACAAAATCTAGCTCTGTACTGTAGTTAAATCTCAATTGTTGACCAGCTGTGTTTGCTTCAAAGTTTAAACTTTTTTTCAACTTTTCAGGTAATTCTGCCTAATGAATGGTTAGAAATTTAGAAAAACAGCTGTAGTGGCTGTTGGCGGTATTGCAGCTTGTGTGCAATCTTTTTTGATTACAATACTTTGTATTATCACTACTTAGTACTTACTAGTACTGAACTACAATAGCCAACCTCCTATAGCGCAGATAGTGATACTGTAGTGTTGTCGGTACAAAGAAAGACATTGAGTGCTCTGTGATTGCCGCGTTACCGGCAAGGCGTGATAGTACTTCCTGTAACAATCCGGAAATTTTGAAGTAACAGTCACCTCGACGTTCTCCGCCGGGTTTGCGCAACTATGATTGTAGTTGCGGTATATATGCCGTATCACTGGCGATGGCACTGCAGGGAGACCCCTTGTACAATACGTAAATTAACTATGTTCGGAAAGAGTTACGAATGCTCGATTGGTAACAGATCGAATATAATTATAGACATACGCAGTCAGTAGTCGCTGCAGCCTCTAGATACTCGTACAAAGATACAGGTCCTAAAAATTCAGTATTCATTTCAAAGTGCACACAGTCTGTGATCCAAACGATGATGCCATCGCTCGTCGCAGCGTCCGAGCGCGAAATATTCGTAGATGCGAGATAAGGTGCAAAGGTGCAGGCAAACAAGCCCTGTACTTGCTGCCGTCACGCGGCTGGAGTGTAACGTTTCGGCTGTACATATGATTAAATCAGGCGCGGTACATAAGCACCATGTTTAACCACAACGTAAACTCCAGCCGGGTGACGGCAGCAAGTAAAAGAAGTGCTTTGCCACAGCCCTTGAATGCCCCTATATTATAATATTAAACAGCGGAAAGTGTGTTTCTTGCAGACGTACTCGTACGTTATTTTATATTATGACATTGTAGAGGACTAATTAAACATGTTCAAGCGTTTTCGGCTACCGTAGATGTCAGCCAGCTGGTGGTTTACGTTGTGGATAGACAGCATTAATTATGCAAAGCGCTGCTACTAACGCAAGATTGCAGGTACATCAAGTAAATTACAGGTATAAAGGTAAATAACTGTAAGCACAGTTCAGCTAATACCACGTGTACCGTCAGTTCCATACAACCTTACCTTTATAAAAAATACTGTCAACCCGCAACGTAAACCACCAGCTGGCTGATATCAGCAGTTGCCGGAAACGGCGGAGCACGTTCAGTTTTGCCCTTATTTTTTGTATTTTTGTATGATAACGTTGCACCGTGATTTATACCGACTTCCTATCGACCTGATGTTTTAAACTTTTTTCCTTAACAATAATTCAGATCCGTGCAGTACGTGCTATTTCCCGAAAGTCACGCCTACAACATAAGCGTCTGTACAAGATCACATCGCTATTTGCCGAAGTTTTACCGCAGGCCCGTTTGTTAAGTTTTTTGACATCTATGTGCCGTTACTGTGTACTTGTATAACGCTGCTGTACTGCATATCTATCTATATACACAGTACAACTTACAAGTTACAAGTATTTCTAACTCGTGTAGAATTACTTGTAGGTGCTAGGTAGTATCAATACTTCAAGTATAGCCGAATTATAGTACTGCAATTTATTGTGATTGTGCCCGTGATTAATAAGCGCATTCATATCCTGATTTCGACCAGTAAGATCATTTCAGCCTGTTAATTGTTTGTACAGCTGAGTCGATAACTGCCTTCCTCAGCGAAATAAGAAACTTTTATATTTTTTAATATGTTAATAATTTTATTTGGCTAAAATTTTGAGCTACATACTTCCGGTGTGGTTCTAACGAGCAAATGTTCAGACTTCGTACACAATAGTAGGGCGCTTTTTCTTGTGTGATGAATTTGAAACAGAACGGATAACATGATTACGATACCAATAATAATCTAAAAACACTATGTCTTAATCTAAAGACTAAAATCATATTACTGGAACTAATACTGCACATTGTGCACAATGCTTGCAAAATTAATTGACGTACTATAGTACGTACGAAACTCTGCAGATGGATAAATAAGCAGTAGAGATTTCTGTAGAATAAGGTGCCGTAACAAATAAAATTGTTATAAGGTTTCTATGTTGTTGTGCCACATTAACCACGTTGATACAACGTGCATTTACAGTAATCAGCCGCTTCTTTCTTCCAGGACTACTTCGAATGGCGGTGGATAGAAGACGACACCGGCGCTGCCCTGGAGGGACGGCAGAGCGGCGGCTTCCGGGAGGCGGATGCGGAAGGTATGGAGGATGTTGGCGATGAATAAGAAGAGCTCCTTACGGGCCAGCTGCTCGCCGATACAAGACCGGCGGCCAGCACCAAAGGGAATGAAGAATTCCGGCACGGTCAATGTCTGGTTGGCCGTGATGAAACGTTCCGGTCGGAAGGTCGCGGGGTCAGTCCACAAGGCTGGGTCGTGGTGGATGGAGTAGACATGGACCATGACGCGGGTACCTGAAAAACACATGTGTCACAACTTACCGGTAAGGTCAAACGGTACAGTGTTTGCGGTGACCAGATACAACATCGCAAAACAATTCGCTCACTTTAGGTGAAACACTGTCTTTTGTTTTTTCAAAATATTTTTGTTACACACTCATTGGAGCTAAGAATACGTATGTGTGACCTTACAGGAAAGTACACAAACGGGTAGTTCATTTTATTAAGCGGCCCGCCTTTACAGCAGTTATTCCAGGTACTATTATCAAAATCACATTAATACTTAATTTGTAAGTCATAATTGAGTTGAAAGATACATGTACAAGATGCTTACGGCACAATATACGAGTACTGTACAAGCCTGATTAGATATTGAGCATTCGTAAATACATGTACAACGAAGATTCAAATTTATGGTTACATCAACCTTCATTCCGCGGCGCTCCACGCCACATTGTTTATACGTTACATTAACTTACATGCATCTTGATCTGGCATGGCTGGTGCATGCCAAAATGAATAAGAATTACCGTTACTGCCGTGTGGATGAGGGCTAAGCGACAATAAAGGAGCGATCTGGCGTCGGAGCACAGTTTGTCATTGCAGATTGTACATAATGGTAGTGCAGTGGCTAAATGGCTATCGTTCAGGATTCTAACTTGGCGCACGCCGCCCTGTTCTTTTAAGTACATGTTCAATACTCAATAATATGTAATCAGGCTTGTACTACATAAAACGCATTTTGTGAATGAATTAATAAACGAATGAATTTTTATAATCTTCCATTCATTTCTACGTATAGAGTTAAAAATATGTTCTGGACTCATGTTTGTGCACGTTAGATTTTGTTTTCGCGCTTTCTCAAACACTTTTTACATCATCTTATGGCGTTCTGTCGCCAGATACAGATAAACTGGAGCAGGATTGTGAGAATCGTATAAAAGTCAACCCGTTCCTTAATAGCAAAGGTGGTGTATACCTACGCACGTCAGATTTTGCTTTCGTGTCCACCCATCACTTTCCCTTTTACATCGTTTCTTATTATATAGCGTTCCAGCCAAAGAAATATTTTATCATAGTTACCCAAGCGGAGGTTGCGCTCATACTGTACTTTTAATTAGTAATTACCAGCTAGGAGGATATTTTACCTTCAGGGATATGATAGCCGGCAACACTGGTGTCCATCGTGCTGGCATGAGGGACACTGAACGGCAATAGGGGATACTTGCGCATGGTCTCCAGAATAACCGCTTCCGTATAGACCAGCTGATCCCGATGCTCCAGCGTGACCCGCTCATCGGCACGGACCACATTGTCGATCTCTTTCTGCATGCGTAGTTGAATGTCCGGATGGTGCAGCATCATGGACATAACCCTGCAATATCCGAAGTACAGAATATCGCCACAGCTGGTGTATTGCATTTTGAAAAGATTAGAAAATATGTGCATTTTGAAAATAAGAAATATACCAACCTAAAGTCTCTTTGTTGAGGGCTAGAACAGCACTGACTATGGGATGCTGATAAAAAGCTGCATATTACCTATGTTTCAAGAAAGAGTGATTTATTTTATGCCAACAAATTTACTATAGTGACTTGTAAGTGATATTTACTAAATTTTTTATCAAAACTAATTACAGTTTCTGACGACTTTTGTGATGTTAAAAAACTGCAGTAGCTTATGCGATTTTTAAGGCCAATTTTTTGGCCGATCCTTACGTCAGCCGTAGCGTAATGGAATAAAGTTATTAACCATGTGGGGGTGGCCCAAAGTCTCATACTTCACCCATATTTGCACAGAATTAAGCCGGCTTCCCTTTCTGCAGCTGCCGCATTCAGCGGTATGGCGTTTGTTTATTGTGTATCAGGATGGAATGTTAAGCAGTCCTCACTGGTCCGGATATCGAAGCAAGCTTATTTCATGTTTATCTTTTCTTCAAAGTTCATTAGCCGTTATTTTAATAAAACTTTTAAAAAACTAAAAAAAGCTTGCATAACCAACGTATATATTTAATACAGTGTGATTTCAGCCATGGCCGCTTTCGAGGATTATGAAATCTTCCAACGAGATATCGTTTTAGCTCATCTATTTGTTCAGATTAATAAATAAACTAGGTAATACTGTTTTGACAAAACTCATAACTCGGTGTATTTGAATGAACATAGGGATATCAATAATTACTGTGAGGTGATGGCGGAAATATCAAATACCGTTAACTTGACGAAGGAAAGATTCTGAAGGATCTCACTACAGATACAAGTGCGATATTACCATACAAACTTTTAGAACTTGACTATTCCACAAGTGGCCATAATTATATTGTTGTTGTAATCCCTTTAACAGGTGATTGAAATTTGCAGTCAATCACTCTCGTACCTTACGGATGTTTATTTGGCAAGCACAATGCGGTCCTATGATACAAGCGCCAGTTTGATTGGTTGTTAGTCATCACTCTGCGGGTGCTAAAACTGTTAAAAATTGCAATGCTATCTGGCTGACGCTGTGTACTGAATTGCAGGCAAAAATTATAAAGTTTTAGGAATTTACGAAGTTTACGAAATCAAATAAGACCCAATGATAATTAAGATTATGAGTGTCTGGAAACTTACTTACTGTACGTGTTGTATAAATATTATGTACACGGTACAGATACAAAGAGCTTCGGCAACATCGATATAATACTACTATCTACATTCTACCGTACATAGGTTTTAGTAATCTTTTTTGAGTTACCTTTTTATAGATTGTCGCAAAAATTTTGTTAAATGGTAGGTGCAAAGTTATCAAGACTAACATGGCTTCCAGCTACCGGGTGAACCAACAAAAAACTCTCACCATAGAATTGTGCTGCAGGTCGTCTCAAATCCGCCGGTGAACATATCAAAGACCACACTGGTCAGATGCTGCTGATCGAACGGCCCTTTCGCCGATTGCTCCGCGTGCTGCAGCCAGCAGTCAATGAAATCGCGCGGCAATCCGGACACCCGGATTCCGACATGCTCCTTCACTGTATCCGCCAGGATACCGATTCCATACAGGAAACGCCCCAAATGCTGCTGGTACTTTTTCTTTAAGAACGGCTTCAAAAAGGGCAGATACAAGTTCTGCTCCTTAATGGTCATAACCTCGACGCCCTGCAGGAGCGAATCCATGAGATCCCGGAAACCGTCGGTCCCGTGCGGGAAGGTTTTGCCCAGGAGGACCCCGGCGATGACATTGGCCGAGGCGTTGGCGATTGGGGTGCGCGGGTTGAGCGGACGGCCGGTGTGTTGGCGGAGCGCGTCGAGAAGGTTCGTGGTCTCCAGTAACATGGTGTCCTGCATGGAGGTCTTGCCGAAACCGAACGAGCGCAGGGTGACCAGGGTGAATTTGCGGATGGCGCGGGCGTCCTCGTCCATACCCGCCGCGACAATGCCTGCAGAGAGGGAGAGAAAAGGTTGGTAAATGGGGTACCGCACTCGATATATTAACGTACACGAGGCGAACCAGTACATAGTACCCAATACATATGCAGTTACGTAAAATTTCGTTTTCGCGCAATTCAAAAACTTTTTTCCGGTGGTTACAATAATAATATTATTGTTATTATTAACACTCCAAAGTACTATCGGCATTACATAATGATTATCGGTTCATAAGAAAACTTCAGGTGCGCGCACCTGATTACGTTTAAACGTTTTGGAATCTCGCTTGACCCGTGACTTTCCAACCGGTTGCAGGTACTTACAGATACAAATGGTTTCATGCCTATAAATATGTACATATACTGCACACAAACAGTCGGGCTATAAAATGTCGCAAGCAATGCAAGATGTGTTTTGGAGTACGCAAAATGAAGTAGTCTAGAGATTTTGAAGTGAGATTCTGAATGTTTTAAACGCCAAAAGGTGCACCAAAAGTTTCATTGTGGAGCGATCTCCTTCAAATTCTTCACAAAAACAACATTTCCGCACAAGATCGTTTTGACACGAATCCGGAATTTTGGCGTTTTATTTAATTTATAGAAGAATTTTAAAATTCGAAAAACATGATGGAAACCTAATTTAAATCTTGTTTCACCCGTTACTTCCCCATCGGATTTTGTGTGAGCAAAGCTTTTCACACCATTGCGTGAGAATCATTTGACTACAGAATGCAGTAATAAAACGATGTGAAAAAGTATTTGGGAGTGCGCGAAAACGGAAGTTTTCGTCATTAGTGCCTGAATATGGTATCGGGTCATGTATCGCGTCACTTTCTTAACCTAACGTAACTCAACTGTTGTAACTTGGCTTACTTCTATCTGTACTAATATAGCTTTATGAAATTTTGCAGCCAAGTGACTTAAATACATACAGCTGATACAATACTTTATATTAATTTTTTCTGTACATTAGCGGGGAACGTTCTGCATGCGCAATAGTCGATTAATCAATCGCGAAATCTTTCTGCAGAAAGATTTCTACTACAAAGTTATACGAAAGACGATTCTAAACCAGCCTTATTGTTTTTGCCGTTCTTCTGAAATTTTGAAACTAATTCCGATAATGTTGAAAATTCGAGGGTAAAGTCTTAGTGAATGTATTGTAAAAGTACTCTGTACAAGGCTTGATATTCAGTACATGGTTTGATATATAATTATCAAGTAGTACGGGAGTTTCTGTTGGGATTGCCGAGGTCTTTCAAAACCTGCGTATATGAAATGTTCAACCAAACGCCTTGCCAATCTAATAAGAATTTATTTATCCTAGCCTTTTATCCTGTATGTATAGCACGGAAAGGTCAATAAATCATTGGAAATATTGTGGGTGGCAATATATGGCTGACTGAAAGGTCATGACCACGTAGCTTAGACCATGAGTTGGCACGGAGCATACAGAGATCTCTCTTCAACAAAGTCTAAGCAAAAGTTTCTGTGCGGTATAAAAAACCAAAAGGGAAATTTTTTTCCGACATCGAGCACCGGTGCTACGCAAATTACGGCTTAAAAACAGTTCCGGGAATTTCGAGAAAAAAAAATTTGTGCGAACTCTGTTTATGATCCGATACTGTCGCTTGCCAAAACCACAGCGGCGCGCAAAATCTTTTTAGGCGACGTCTGACAGTTTATCGATTGCGAAAACTTTTGGGTGACTGCAGGCTTATTGACAACGCTCTCAATCGGCAGTTTTCTAACAGCAAGTAAATACGCAAACCAGTTCTTGCTAAAGCGTACTGCTGTGGGTGTAGCAACTGTTTTTCCGAGAATTTCAAAATACCTTGTAGTTACTGTTAGGCTAACATAACATAACATTTCTGTTGAACTACAGAGTTCCCGGTAACTGCATGGGCCGGGCAACGCGCAGCTAATTAAATGAAGCAGGGTTTTCTTGCAGATGTCACTGCAGACAAATAATGGAGAGAAAAACGTTACCTTTGACGGGAACACCATCAAAATGCAATTCCGGAGGCCGACCCGCGAATTCCCATGCGTGGTCAACGAGGAATTCGCGGAAACGCTGATAGGATGTCAACATAATTACCTTCCTGCAAATTACAAACAGGTGTTTAAAATCTAAAATAATTTATAATAATTCTAAACTGTCGACTTTTCTTTTTTCTGTTAGGAATATTTTTGTAAACTGAAATTATGCAATACGCACAAGAGATGTGCGTCATCCATTAAGGTCATCCAACCTGGTTCGTGAAGATGCCTTTAACTAAATATCGAATTATGCTTGAGTAAATTGCCACTAATGCAGTTTTCAACTCGAAATGCCTTGACTGATTTTAAATTTTAAACAATCTGTTATCTGTAAAACTATAGGAAACCATTTATTACTTCTTAAGTCATTTTATTTTGTTCCAGAAACGTCACTTATAATTTCTGTATCTATTGATAAATAACAGTGTTTAATATCACTAAGTATTTTTCTCTTAACAAAGCGCAAGATAATTAGAAAACGTTGCGGGAAACACTTCATTAAAATCACTTAATAAACAGTAATTAATAACACTTCATTAAAATTACTTAATAAATAATAATAAATATGACTTAATAAATGTAGAGTATTTCATAAAGAAATTCTAAACTGCGTTTTCCTGCGAATATTCCAAGATATATGAATGATAATATTACCAGTATCATGACAATGTATTTGTAAGCTTAAATCTGAAAGAAGAAAAACTGTACGAGTACAATCAGGTTGAAACTGTACTGTCTCAGTATATTCTTCTTAACTGTTTAGTTTATCAGAGATTTTAACTTAATTACTGCAGTTCCGATGTGAAGTGTTATTACAAAAACTTGTTCATTGACTAAAGATCACTTAATTAACCGTTATAAATAAAACGTTTAAAAGCACTGCAACCGCTGATAAGATTATGATAACTAAATCTATCTCAAAACTAAACCTAATGGTTAGTGTTTTGTGACAGAAAATTATGAATTTAAAAACCACGAGCGTGAAAATTCGTGAAACAATTACATGCACCAACTAGTAAAATATTTTATCGTAAATGAGTATGTTATCTCTCATAACGTCCCCCGTTACCAAATACTGCATAAGTTGACTATGCGTGGGGGGCCTGGCGTGCAGTGGAACGAAATCGAGCTTGATCTTATTGACTCTTAAGATGATAAATATTTTATTAATATAACACAAAAAAGCAAAAATAATAACTTAAGCAAAATATTTGTAATCGAGTTACTTTTTAAAAAAAACTGTTAATTAGTCCGTTGAACCATCAGTCTATAGCTATAACATACTAATACGAGTACATCATGTACATGCTGAGCGGTGACCTTTATGGAAGCTGTCAACAAGTGCATTCACTATATACTGCGAAAATGTTCGTATTACGAGACATTGTTAACATTTTTTAATTTTTACCTTGGACCGAGTCGTAACGTAAACATTCCCTGGAATCTCTTTCCTAATTCCTGCAGACGCCCGTGTACCGCCTCGCCACACATGACCAGCATGTTACCCAACACCGGCCAGCCGTGTGGTCCGGGCGGCAGTCCACGGCGCGCCTTCCGTGTCCAGTTATGCGTCTTACATAACCTGTCCAAAAAGTGAAAAAATCCAACCAAGAATGCAGAAATGGCGGTGACGCAGGCCATAGACAGGGCAACTTGCAGCGGCATTGTAAAATAATTCCGTCAGAAAAGGTTAAAATCGTCAGTGGAGAAAAAATCGTAATTAATTATATTAAGCGCCAACGTAACGATAGGTTTGTGTAACAAAAAACTTCTGATTTTTACCGGTTTTTAGTCATTTTTATTTGTGCATAGCTGACAGTTTAGTGGATTACTCGAGGCTACCGTGTAGCACCAATGTACAGTACACACTGGTGTTAGAAGAAAAGCTAAAGAACACGCCTTCGTGTTTTAGGGACGGTAGCGGCTGTACAAACACATTCACGTGTGGTTTTTCCGGGTAATGCAATAGAAATTCTTGCAGTAATTAATTTCCATTAGTTTACGCGCCGTGGTGTACACTGTACATACGGCACGGATGCCGGCGGAAACGGTTACCGCATTTGATAGAGCGCCGGCCGGGTAAATGTACTTGGGTACGGCGCCGTCAATTGAAGTGGGGATGCCGACGCTGCGACTGCCTAAACCGGTGCTGCGCCTCCAAATCTGTCAGTTACTGACAAAATTTTAAAATTTAATGATTTACCGACAATTGGTTAAGGATGGTTTGTTTTTTATCCTTGCGGCTTTAATAGTAAAGTACAATGGAAAGTAGCTTTAAGGCCAATGTTTTTCATGCCTTACCCTTTTTTGGGATTTTCTGCAGCGGTAGATCTTGTGACTGTTCATCGCTTCTTGCCAAATCAGAAGAAAAATTGCTGAATTTACTGGTATCTTACTTATTCTGCGGTTATACGTACATAAATTAAATTCCAGTATGAAAGCCGTATAGTACATTATTCCACTTATTTTTTACAATCCTGAAATTGTGCCAGGTTCTAGAACAGTTTTTAACAAAGTCTTATTAGAAAAGGCTGTATTTACTTAACCCTCCAGCGGGCGGTACCCGAAGGAGTGCGCGTTTTCTATTGAAAATCGGGATTTCCCAATGAAAAAATTCAATTAAGAATGGGAATTTTTTGCGAGCTTGTGCTGACCATAGGTCAGCGGTGGTGACTATGTCGTTTGCCAACGCCAATGCCCATGGACGGTCTACAGCATAAAAACGCCTAATTTTGTAATAATTAGTCTAATAGGGATAGAGTTAAAACAAAGGTTTCATTAAATAGCTCAAAAAAAGTACTTTAAAACAGGAGTATAGAAGTGGTCAACAATTTGACCACTGGTCAGTAAAAATTTAAAAACTGCTAAAAAGCGTTTCCTTGCATTTTGACCACTACTACACATACAAAACAATATAGAAAACAAGCGATGCTGACAATATTCCTTTGCAAACTTTCATCACTCTCTCATACGGCACTTCAAGAAGCCTTTGTGCAATTTAACATTGCACTTGCTGCATTTTATTTTTTAAACACGCCGAGCCGCCTTTACACTGCGTGCACCATTCGGACTTGCACGTTTCCTGGTATAGCCGCAGTGGTGGGAATGGGGAAAGCGGCGGGTATAATCCAGCTGCAAAGGCGATTGGCGCCGAACCAAATATTAGTGGTCATTCGCACTTTTCTAACACATTATCGGCCGGATGTAACCTACATAAAGCTATCGCAAAGGTCAACATCACTAAGGTGGTCATTACAGCTTGCAGTCGCCCGAGACTGGTCAAAACTGAAAATTCGCATGTTTCTTTAAATCTGCGCTGCTTCGCTTGCCCAAGCGGTATTCGGTACTCGTATCGAAGGCAGAGAGCAGCAGAGTGCAGGGTTGTGCAGCCAATTACAGTGCTACGTACACTGGCGGTAAAATTACAGTCAGGACTAACGCATCAGGACCACCATTCCGACCGCCCGGGGTGCCGTTCAGCAACCCCATTTTCTGCCAGCTTTCGACAACCAAAACCACATGGCGCATGTTTTGCGTCCGAACCGACAGTAACTTACTCTGTTTACGTAATGAAAATAATCTGTCGAAAGTGCACCCCCCCGTGTATTCACAACCCTTCATGGGCAATGGTGTTGGCAGACGACACACGTTTTTGAGGGACTGTGGTCATCTATGGTTCAGCTTTTAGATTCTGTGTAAGACATTTTTGAATAAAGGGTTGCCAGTTATACCTTGTTGATTTATCTCGGGTTTAATTATTCATCCACTAATTAGTTAATCAGCAAGACCTACGAGAGGTCAGAAAGTTCAAAATTAGCGATTTTCGCGCACCTATTGTTCTTAATTAACTTAAGACACAAGTTCAAATTGTGTTTTTATTGCTGTTTTAAGGTCCCATTTTGCTTAATACGTTATGGGACAACGAATAACTGTTGCCGATCGCTGGGAAAAAAATCAAAAACCTCTTGTCGTTTCCAGACACCAATGCCCGTCAACGGGTTAAGAAATATGTTAAAAAAGTTACACATCTACAGACTGTACATGAGGCGATTTTTAGCGATTTACAGTACGTACGTTAACGAAGACAGACAGGAAAACGTAGATATCACGCAAATGAATTCCCGTAACGTAAATTATCTAGTTAACAATAAGTTCACGATACAATGCATCTTATTACAAGTGATTAAATGTATATAAGGGGCAAGACCAGGCGTCTTCCACGCATCCCCTGTATTGCTGGCGTCACCCGCCTGGAGAATGGCGTTACGGCATTACATATGGTTAAATCTGGCGCGGTACATAAGCGCCATGTTGAGCCACAACATCGAAGTCCAGTCGGTTGACGGCAGCAGTACAGGTGAACGGTGGAAGAAGCCTGGTTTTGCCCCCTATATTCAGATACAAGCTGAGATGCGATATCGCATGCCGTATACGCGTTTGCTGACTGCTTATGAAACATGCGCGAACAATCGTCGATCTACATAAAATTCGAACAGAAACTGCTATAACAAACTGTCGCGCAGTTATAAAAAGCAAGGGCGCTTAATCACCCAATATAAATACTGTGTTAGCAGCATATGTTATCGCGCGCCTGTTTGAACAACCATGTTTTTTTGTGAAACCATACAGCGGAACGGTTTCTGCCGCAAAGGGCATAAAAAATTACAATCTACGATGGGGGTGACGCCGCGGTCAACCCATTGGAGACAGCCGTCAGGCAGGGAGAATAGTGTAGCAAATTAAAGCTACAGACCTACAGTAGATGAGATAGCGAGCGAAGATAAGTTGTCCCAGAGATGGAGCTAGCGCGGATCAAGAGTAGCAATGTGATTTAGCACTCTTCAAGTTCGGTGTACCCCTTCTTGGAACGAATGCTTTCTGTTTGATCACTTCATGGCCACGGACTCATGGTGCGATTTGGCGGTGTAGGATGTTTTATCTTTTTCCCTACTGGTCCGTGCCGCCATATCGTGTATTAAATTTCCCGCAGTCATTTACGCTACACACAATAAACTACACAATAAGTAATGTTCGTTAAGTTAACTGGGAACCCATGCCTAAAGGGAACACTGGAACTTTTTCGGGTACAGCATAATGGTATATGAGTCCGGGTACTCGGCAGTCGGAGCTCAGCGAAAGATTTCAACGAGAACTGGATTGATTGTTAACCGTGTTTTGATCGTTTACAGATTGTGCTAATGCTTTTCACCTTTCAGGAGCTATGAATATTTAGCTATGAGTTAACATTTATCAAGATATATCAGGGCGGTTCACTTTATTACGCAATTTAACAGATTAGTCCCAGACTTCCAGCCAAAATGATAAAGGTTCTTAGCAGCAAATGCAGGTATCATTAGTCGTACTGAACACATAAACTCCCCAAACTCGGACACAAACTCAAAATTCCCCAAACAGACAGACATAAGCTCCCCAAACTCAAAATGTATCAAGTTCTCCAAAAGCCATAATGAACCGTGTTCGGAATTGTAATAAAAGTTATCGGGAAGCTGCTCATGCTTAAAAAAACATAAAAGATAGATAGATCTATACAAACAGATTATACAAAAACAATCGCTTTGTTAAAACCACATGCAAATAAAAGTACAGATGCAGATAAGCCACGAACTTTACAAAATGCGACCGCTATATGTGCAGCGAAAACACCAACCAGCTGCGCAGATAAAAATCCCATTTGTTTACTGATTCCGACAAGGTTAAAATGTTACCCTGGCTAATCTACGGAAAACGCTAATAAGTGTGAGTGAAGACCACAAAAACTTGCAAGATCCTGACGATTACACTATTCCTGGCTCCTGCATCTGGACTTCCACATCCACCGCCTGCAAGTCCAGCTGGACCATCGTCTTGCGAATGGCGCGCATGTACTGCTGTTTCTGATCCGGAGACAACATTTCCAGCATTGCCGCAATGTACAGAACTACACATGACAAGGGCAAGGGCGATATACAGCGAAATGCATATGGAGATTCCACTAAATAAGCACTAACTGCCATATACGGGCGAAGTGTAAATATACTGCTAGCATTTTTATTACATAATTTGGAAAACTAGTCACACGGGCGCTCCCGTATCTTCGAATAAAATTATTATTAACGGGTAATACACGTGTAATACACCTGTCATGTAACTCATATACGTATACTATTAGAGTTTTAGGCTCTAAGTCCATACACGACGTACAAAAGTAATAATTTTTGAGTGGCATAATTCTACATGCATACAGATAGCAGAACAAACCTTATACGTGCCTGATAATCAACAAAAGTGCAAAAGCGCACAAGTTCCTGGCAGGCAGGCAGGGGACCTTTAGTTTTCCTGTTTTATCTTACGGGAAATTCAGAGGTGCGCTCTTGAGAGTGAGCACGGTTATGGCGCAATCGGCTGTAGCCAGCAAGCTACTGAATACGATTACTACTTTGTATTAAACCGGTTTTGGGGCAAGTCAGCTTCACGCTAACATGTGCATCGTGTTAACGGCAGCTGTTCGTGGGGACACTAAATTTCCCATAATTGAAAAGAACAAGCACCAATAGTCCCCTGCAAGATAAAAATACATATCATATTTTACATTTACTATAATTACTGCACAGTACTGCAGTGGTATTTACTTAAACAACTGCGCATACCAAATTTCGCTTCATCGT